CCTACATCTATTCAAACTTTAATGTGTACCTCATTATACTATGGAAAGTGGAGCTATACTGGGAACTCAGTGCGGTAGTACTGGTGACGAGATTGTATTTATTCAGGGGGATTGCCCTTTCGTTGACAAGCAGAGGTCAGCAGTCAAAGTGAAGTCCAAAAGCCAGATGCGGCCATGGGACTTTAAGAGAAATCTATGAAGGACGGGTGTCACCTGTGTAGTAAGGGGAAGATCTGAAGCCAGGTGTGCCGATGAGAACATGAGATCCTATGAAAGGTACAGGTGTCAACTTTGTAACAAGCTGGAGGAGCTACATCATGGGACCTCCTTTGCCAGTAACAAAATATACTAATAGGGGGTTCCCCCTTTTTTCTGACAACAAAACTGACACCTTTTGCAAGGAATCATGTTTACATTAATCAAAAGGTGTCAGTTTTGTTGTCAGAAAAAAATGGGGAAACCCCTATTAGTATATTTTGTTACTGGCAAAGGAGGTCCCATGATGTAGCTGCTCACCCCGAGCTCTCATTACTCTGATAGTGCGTTGTCTTTGAACTGTGCGCCTTTTGGCGTCATCTGGTCGAACACCATATGAGACTAGGCTCTAAAGAAAGCTGTCTCTGGTGTGGACCAATCAGTTTCAAGGACAATGCATAAATGATCAGAGTATTGTTTTTTGTTTGCATTTGACTGCAAGTATTGTGGTTAATGTAAACATGATTCTTTGCAAAAGGTGTCAGTTTTGTTGCCAGAAAAAATGGGGAAAACCCTATTAGTATAAGCTGGAGGAGCTAAAGCCAGACACGTGGTGGCGGTGGCGGTGGTCGTGGTGGTGGTGGTGGTGGTGTTGGTGGTGGTGTTGAGAATGTCAGACTTTGATGTTCCAGCGACGACTCTGAAGCAGTTGTGGATTCTGGTTGAAGCAATAAAATGGTCGTGAGGTGTGGTGGCGTAAATGGCATTGGACGTGGTGGCCTCTTAATCTGTATCAACACATTAACATTTGGTTTAACACGTAGGCTTTCGCGACCAATATTATTCATAATCAACGTTTTTGGGTTTAGATCGCGTTATTTATAAATGTGTCGTAACCCTCCACCACCCGACACGGCCAATCAGTAAATGTTGTGGTTTCACGCTTCAACACACCGGTGGGCTAAAGCAGTGAACTATTTGTCTTTTGTCAACGTGACACTTTTTTACTGATTGGCCGTGTCGGGTGGTGGAGGGTTACGACACATTTATAAATAACACGATCTAAACCCAAAAACGTTGATTATGGACATTAACATTTCACACTTGCCTAGGCACGGGCATGTCAATGTGTTTGCCTGTGTGAAGGAAATATATTAATGGAATAAAATACCATTATTATTTTACCAGGTAAAGCCCACTGAGCTATACATCTCTTTTTCAGAAGCGACCTGGCCCCAAATGATAACGAACTTTCTCATCATCACGTGGAAATTCATAGCAGCAGTCGAAGACTCTAAACGCACCGCCCTGTGCTCTGCTCTCGGTAGGGTGACGCGCAGGGTAACGCCAATCTCTTCCATCAGTGATGCAAACGTTCCATTGGACCCCCAATGGGAATTAACCATATCGCACTCGGCTTAGGATGACGTGAACACGTGACCACCCTGACGAAGTAATTTGCTAGATTGTATGCATCGTCGTCAGATAAAATATATTTGTTTAATTGCAAAGTGCCCGGCGAGTTGCATTATCTCTTGCTCGGTCGACCTTACCGCAGCCACAAAGGGAACGTTATGGGTTCACTGTTAATGTTGGGTACTTTTTTTTTATCTCGGGTAAAGGCTGTGACTAACAAGTGGGTTAAGAGTGGTCGCAGGATCAACTCAGCCCATCATCCCTCCGGGGTCGATAAAATGACCCCGGAGGGATAACGATCGTCCCAAGGAGAGCGCGTTCTCTGCCATCGGAACGTGGAATTTCCATTGCCTTACGGCTGCCCTGTGAAGCTGAAAGCCATCCGATTGGGAGACACGTCTGCTTACAATATTATTTGCATTACTACATAAATTAGAGGCATGCAAATATACAAACATTACATGTGAACACGTGCATTGCTCAGGTATGATGCCTCGTTCCTGTGAATGGCCTCACCAGCAAGGCACTCATAAATGCTTTTTAATCTTCTCCAGAGTATTTGATAAGAGGAAAGAGCAGGGGTAGTCAGAAGTATTCTTCGCCAAATCGAGAAGGTGCCTGAGGTGAAGCCCTGGCAATGGGGTTTCTGTCTGTCGGAGCACTGATCCAGCACTGCCCCCTGGTCACTCTTGCAAATCAAACTCTTACCCTCATCTATGAGGTTCTCACCTGGCAAAACAAATAAACTCAAAACAGCTGTCTTTCCAACGTTTGGATTGGATTGAGTGTGAAGGACGCTATTGCATCACCCTTCGTGTGATACACAGTGTCTGTTGTTGAATAAATGTTTGTTTTAACCTAGTTGTGTTTGTACTTTTGCGACGTCAACGTCGCATGTTCTTGAAATGTCCTTTCGGGCATTGTACTGTTTTCGCCGAAAACCTGTTTACATCCTTTCGTGAACAAAAATAATTTACTTTCAAACCTCCCAGAACGACGCAATCATAAACCCCGCACGATAATCTACAAGGCTTTTTTCCGTGTAAACATTTAAATGATTAGGCACAGCACAAAACCCCCGTACTTTGAATTGCACCTCAACAACTCCCCAAAATCCCCTCCCCCCACCCGCCCTGGCTCGTGACTAATCACAAGCGCACGTGGTCACGGGGACTGGCCAGGGGCAGGCCTGGACTGGCCTTTAGGGCAGCAGTCCAAAGGGCAAATGTCACTGTGGGACCGGTACATTTTGAAGGGCCGCGAGGCCGGTTTGTTTGGGGAAATTGCAAATGCGATCAGAGTAAAAAAAAAATGTGTTTGTTCGTTTCTCGGTCTGTGTTTGTCCTGGTGAGGGTCGTGGCGGCAGCACGCTGAGTAGGGCGGTTCAGACCTCCCTGTCCCTGGTGACTGACTCCAGCATGACACTACGATACACTATACACTACTATACATTACTATAGACTACTATACACTACTACACTATGCATTACACTATACACTACTCTATACAGTACTATACACTACTACACTATGCATTACACTATACACTACACTACTCTATATAGTACTATACACTACTACACTATGCATTACACTATACACTACTCTATACAGTACTATACACTACTACACTATGCATTACACTATACACTACACTACTCTATATAGTACTATACACTACTACACTATGCATTACACTATACACTACACTACTCTATATACTACTATACACTACTACACTATGCATTACACTATACACTACACTACTCTATATACACGACTATACACAGACTCGAGCTCTTCCTGGGGAATTCCCAGGCGTTCCCAGGCGAGCCGAGTGACATCGTGCCGCCAGCGTGACCTGGGCCGACCCCGGGGTCTTCACCCATTGGCACGTGCTGCTGCTGCTGCTGCCCGGTAGAGTTCCACGGGGGGTCTACCGGGGGGCATCCTTGCCGGGCACACTGAATACGGTGTCGCGATATGCAGTTGGGCATTCGCGTGCATTGTGATAGCATTGCAGTCGTTGTAGGGTCAAGGGTTGACAGGCAAGCAAGCCATCATTGCCATCTCGACAGGATCATACTAGTAGGAACCTCCTGGTTACACCAGCCCACAGGGGATTATTGTGTCCGTCGTGCAGGAAGGGGCTGGGTGGGGTGGGGAGGGGCTGGGTGGGGAGGGGAGGGTGGGGAGGGGCTGGGTGGGGAGGGGCTGGGTGGGGAGGGGCTGGGTGGGGAGGGGCTGGGTGGGGAGGGTGGGGAGAGTGGGGAGGGTCGGGCTGGGTGGGGAGGGGCTGGTCACCCCGTGGTGCCCTTATAAAACTCAACGTTTAACCTACTCACGCCGGCTTGTGCCCACCCTCACAGTCGGGCATATTTTCGGAATACACCACGCCGCCGTTGACCCTGGCCATTGACCGAGCAACCCAAGGTTCCTACCAGCTCCCTCCACAGAAATGCGTTAAAATAGGTACCGATTTGTGCATAGTGGTTCTTAAAGATGGCCACTGCCATGGAAATGTAGAATTTCCACTGGTGGACATGAGCAGCGCACAATGCCAGTAGGAGCATAAAGACCATTTGTCAATCCACTGCTGGATGAGAGCCTCCCCACGCCATGCTGGTTGTGGTGGCCGTTTGACCATACTTCACCCCGGCTGGTCAGTGCGGGTTAGTAAATGCGGGCAGCATTGACGTACAGTACAACTCGATATAACACACAGTTGCCCCGCAGCTCAATGACAACCAGTTTGTGCATGGCGGGCACCCATCCAGCCACTGACCAAGCTCAGATCTGCTTGCCTTTTGAGTTCCAACCATATCGGGCGCATTTCAAGTCCGGGTTACCGTATTTGTTCATAGGCGTAGAGGGTTATAGTGATGCTGTTCTTAAGTTAACATTTCGCGGTGCGAGATGTTAACTACCTTGCATGGTATACAGGTCGTGGGTTCGATGCTGACCCTCACGTCTGTACATTTGGAGTTTGCATGTTCTCTCTATGGTCGGGTGGATTTTTGTCCGGATCCTCCGTTTTTTCCCTCCACATTTACACACAAGTGCTTTGAGTATTTGGCTACTATAAATGTACACATAAGCCACTGCATTGGGCTATCATTTGTGGCCAGGTCGCTTCCGAAATAGGTCCAGTGGGCCTTACCTGGTAAAATGAAATAGCAGTTAAATAGTTAAAATAGTTTTGACGGTAAAAAGTTACGTAAACTAGTTTTTCAATGTACACACTTTTATTTGCACACACAAGTATAAAATTAATAAAAAAAATTTACGTGCTGAATAAAAGTGGGTGGCTTGCAGGAAGACAAACGTATTGAAAGGAAACCACCCACTTTTATTCAGCACATCAAATGTGATAAATTCTGGGGTCAAAATATTTTTCGTCTACTTTTGCATGCAAATAAAAGTGTGTGCATTACAAACCTTTTTTTTTTAACCAAATCTTTGTTGGTTAATTTGTGCCTGTACGCCAACGCAGCGGCAGGGTCACCAAATAATTGTTCACGTTCAATTGTGGGCATACATCTCGTCTCTAAACCACCCATTTTGCTGCTCAGTCAGCAGCTGTGCAGTGCTGATCTCCCATCGTGACCTTGAGGAAGTTCCACGTTGCTATGGTGGGGTCCAGTGTGCACACGACAAATGCATTCGGTCGACGACTCGAGCCTTTAAAATATCTCACTGTACCCCGACTAAAACGTGCAAACACATGTAATTATAGCTTTTATTTCCACAGCTCATCCAAATATTGCCACATTCCGTTGTAGTTGGAATTTTTAATTACTAAAAAAATAAGCGACTATGCAACATTAAAATTACAGTTCATTGTAAAGTTCTATGCAATGGGAATGTAATAAATTACACGTGAGCCCCCCCTCCCACTCCCCTGACTGATCAAACTCCGATAAAATCCAGTGGCCCCTTCAGCAGCAGCAGCAGCAGCTCGTGATTGTGCTACCTTCGCTGTTGTGGAAGCTCGGACAGTCGTTCCCACGAGTCCCAGAGAAATGTGCTGCATTTCGACGGCCACTGCAACGCAGACCGCCGAGCCGAGCCGAGCCATGCCGAGCCGTGCCGTGCCGAGCCGTGCCGAGCCGAGCCGTGCCGAGCCGAGCCGTGCCGAGCCGTGCCGAGCCGTGCCGAGCCGTGCCGTGTCGAGCCGTGCCGAGCCGTGCCGAGCCGGGGACGCCAGGCCCTGCACAGCTCGTTTCTTATCCCAAGAAATTGTGGCCACTGAACTTGGTGGCTTTTGCCCCGTATAATTCGGCACCCACCTTCCCCACCTCCCTTTCTTTCCTTCATAGGTGGACTAGCCCCGAAGCGGTTGAAAATTTTACAAACAATATTTAACAAGGTTAGGTTTTCACCATTCCGATGTATTTTGTTATATATTTTTTGCCGTTGGGGTTTTTTTATTGTTATTCCCCCTACAAGTCCGCCAAGTATCGTCCCGTCCGCCTTGACGCCGTGGCCGAGTTTGCTCGAAAGCTTTGCAGATTGATGCTTTGAGCATCCCTACGTGACATCAATTACCACCTGTGGCCACGACGAAATATAGTTCACAGTGCGTGGTAAGACGTGGGTGGGGGGGGGGCGAGAGAGGGAGGTTTGAGGTGTTTCGAGCACGGAACACTTAAAAGTACATACAGGTTGATATGTATCGGCTTAGTTATTAACACGCAAATCCCTGATGTCAATGTGCTTATTCGACTACAGTCTATGATAGGTGCCATCGTTTTGGACACTTCACTTAAAGCTGGCGAATGCCCACTGAGATGCATTCAAAAAGGAGAACTGGGACCATTACTATGCGAGTAAAACATGCGAGTATACATTTAAAACAAGTCGAAAAGTCCATTGTGGCTCAGGGACTCGTAATTATTTCATTGCTACACTCATTTATTCCAGGAGAGCCTCACCGAGTCTCACGACTCGTCTTCAGGAGGCTCCTGCCACATTGTCGTCGTGGGGGAGGCGACGTTTGCCGCTGGGTATTACTCCCCATCGGGTGAGAGAGCACGGACGATGGCTGTGTAAAGCGAAGCTCGGACTGTTGACCGGGGCCCTACCCCGGGCCAAGGTGGGGCCGGGCCGGCCGCCCCCCAGACCCCATGGGGGCGAGGCGCGAAGCAAGATCGAGGCTGTGAGGCAGAGGTCGCAATCGGGTACCCGATACCCGTACCCTACCCGATACCCGGCTACCCGTACCTCACGGCCTACGGGTACGGGTAGGCCGTGAGTCACTGGTGAGTAACCGTTTGTCACTCATTTCGGGTAGGGTAGGGAACGGGTACCCGTACCTGGCCGGGTACGGGTACCCATTTGCGAGCCTAGTGCGGCCGGGTACGGGTAAGGAATCAAAACCCGTTTGTGACCTCTGCTGTGAGGCCTTGTGGAGGTCTCCCCCCTCCCATATCGCTTCTCTCGAGCCAAACGAGCGAGATGAAGAAGTCGAGCGTGGACCCGAGAGCAGCAGCAGCGCCACCACCGATTACTCCCAAGCGCCACCCCCCTTCCTTTGGATTACGCCAGGGAGGCCGAGAGGGGAGCCATGTTGCCTGGGCAACACAGGGCCTCCATACACCTTGCCCAGGCTTTCTGTGCCCTGGAGAGGAAACTCCAGCCTCACTGTGCAGCGAAAGTGAAGACACCAGCATTATGTCTGGGATGCTGGAACGTCGGGTCTATGCCAAATGTACTAACCGACAACCTACTAGAAACAAGCGATGCCTGCAAGACTGCAGTCATAAATAACGAACACCAGAAATAACAAATTGACATTTGCACCCTACAGGAAACCCAACTCCACTCATCAGGCTCCCGGAGGGAAAAGGACTACACATTTTTTTCTGGCAGGGTAAGCCCCCCAAGGAAACCAGGGAATATGGAGTGGGTTTTGTGGTCAGGAACACCCTGCTGGAAGCAATGCTACCACCCACAGGTGGCTCAGATAGAATATTAGCCCTCTGCTGAACACCACCATGGGACCTGTCCACCTGGTGAGCGTGTTTGCTCCAACACAAACATGAGCAGCTTTACCTGCTTGGTGACTTCAATGCTAGAGTTGGTGCAGACCATGACTCCTGGCCATATTTTTTGGGACACCATGGCATTGGTAAGTTGGATGAGAATGGCCAGCGACTCCAAGTTCTGCACATGCCACAACTTATGCATCACCAACTCAGACTTCCAGACCAAACCTGGAGACATCCACGGTCAGATCACTGGCACCAGCTGGACCTGATCCTAACACAACGAGCCGATCTTCCAGGCATTCTCCAAACCCGCAGTTCCCACAGTGTAGACTGTGACACTCACCACTCCCTCGTGTGCTGGAAAGTCAAGCTACAGAAAAAAAGATACACAGAGCCAAACAAGAAAGAGCCCCCCACATCGACAGCAGCAAAACAGCTGACCCAACAAAAGCTGCAGCCTCCCTATGCCCTAGAGGAATCACTTCCCCACACACCCCAATCCCACTATGCCCAGCAGAAATGGAACAGCACGGCCTTGACAGCTTTTTGGCAAAAAGCTGAGAAAGTCAAACGACTGCTTTGAAGCCAATTCAGTGGAACTGACTCCCATCCAGGAATAAAAGCTCATTGCCCTCACCAATTATAAATGTACCCGAAATGGCAAGACCCTAAATGCTCTCAGAGCGGCGAGAAAGAAACTCCAGCAAGTCTCAAGAGGCTGTGCTAACGATTACTAGCTGCAGCTCTGCAAAGACATCCACACATCAGCTGACACAGGCAACATTACAGAGGCATGTGCGTCGGCATCAAAAAGGCACTCGGACCATCACCTCGCACATCTTCACTAAAATCAGCCACGGGAGAAACAGTCTCTGACCGCTCAAAACAACTGGCCCGCTGGGTAGAGCACTAGTCTGAGCTCTATGCCAGCAAAAATACTGTGTCTGACGCAGCACTTGGCCATGTGGAGCATCAACCCACCATGGAGGAGCTCGACAAAGAACGAACTAAGGAACTCAGCAAGGCAATCGTCAGCTTGGCCAGTGGAAAAGAACCAGGCAGTGATGGGATCACAGCTGAAGCCCTCAAATTTGGGAAACCTGCTCTTCACCAACTCCACGAGCTCCTCTGTCTGTGACGGAGGGATGGTACTGTCCCACAGAACGTGAGAGATGCCAGTATTGTCACTGGTTAAGCTCTTTGCTAGTAGTTGCACGAAATAGACTTTAGGTCCTCGCAGAGAAGCTTTACCCAGTGTCACAGCCAGGTTTCAGAGCAGGAAGGTCCACCATGGACATGACCTTCTCTCTGAGACAACTCCAGGAGAAATGCAGAGAGCAGAGGAAACCACTCGACACGGTCTTCATTGACTTCAAAAAAATTAACCCGTAAAAACAAAGTTTTTCACTATAAATCCTTTATATGCGTGGCGGCTAGAGTCCTCTCGTCCTCTGGCTTGAGATGGCTGCCACCTATGGGTCAGATGATTGCCTGCCACCATTAAGCAATTGGTAATTAAATATAATTTATTTTTTCCTAAAAAGTGTAAAATTTTGGAAAAAATATTTCACGAAAGTAAATTGTCACGCACAACGAGTCTGTGTGCAAAATGTCAGCTCGATTGGATCACGGGAAGTGGGTTAAAAAACGGCCGAAATATTTGCACGGTCGTAAACGCGCAAGCAAGCAAGCAAATGAACTTAATATAAAGGATTTAAAAAAGCTTTCGACCTTGTGAGCAGGAGCAGCTTCTTTAAGATGGTCGAACGGATAAGTTGCCCCCCCAAGACTCCTCGGCGTTTCTTCAGTCCTTTCACAACAAGATGCAAGGCACCATCTAGTTTGATGGGTCTACTTCAGACCCTTTCAAAATCTGTGGCGGAGTTGAGCAAGGACATGTGCTGGCACCCACACCCTGTTTGGGATATTATTTTCCCTCCTCATTCGGCAAGCCTTTCGGACATCCACTAAGGGAATCTACCTAAACACAAGAACAGACGGGAAACTATTCAGCCTGCTCGGTTAAAAGCGAAAACAAAGATGCAACCACTCCTCATTCGGGACACGCTGTTTGCAGATGACGCAGCAGTATCAGCACACCCCCAGGAGCACCTACAACCCCCAATGGACCGTTTCACCCAAGCATGCCAGGACTTCAACCTGACCATCAGCCTGAAGAAACCAAAACAGTGGTGCAAGACCCTTCCATCAACAACGACACACTGGCAGCTGTCAGCACTTTCACTTACCTTGGGTCCACTATCACCAAGAACCTGTCACGCGATGCCGAACTCAGCAGCTTCATCGGAAAAGCAGCCTCCACCTTTGGAAAACTGAAATCTAGGGTATGGAATTACCAAAAACTCACAGTCCACACAAAGGTACAAGTGTACAGAGCCTGCGTCACCAGCAGTGAAACATGGACAACATACTCGCATCAAGAGCGGAGGCTAAACAACTTCCATCTGCGCTGTCCGAGCGAATATTAGGCATCACCTGGAAGGATAGGATCACGCATCCAGCAGTCCTGGAGAGAGCACAGCTACCCAGTATGTACTCTCTCCTGAGGCAGCGTAGTCTCTGCTGGCTGGGGCCACGTCCGTCAGATGGATGATGGACGAATCCCGAAGGACATTCTCGATGCAGAATTGTCCTCCGGAAAGAGGCCAATTGGCCGCCCACAGCTGCGCTACAACGATGTCTGCAAGTAAGACCTCAAGCCCTTCACCATCAACACCAACACTTGGGGAGAAGCTGCTCAGGACCGTCGTCGCTGGCAACAGGCACTTTGCAGCAGGCTGCTGATAAACCAAACAACTCTGGCTTACCAACGAGAAGCAAAGAGCGAAGAGGAAGGAACAGCAGAACACCACCACAACATCCGAGCTGGCCTACAACTTTCACAACTGCGACCGAGCCTGCCTCTCACGGATTGGACTTCACAGCCACAGCAGATGTTGCGCTAAGACCTCGCCTCCAAGGCACAAGAAAGTATGGTCTCCCAAGACTGCGATGCCGATGACAACGATATTCCCCATCAAGTAATTTGCAGATAATTTTCAAATGTGGAAAATTCGTGAACCACGACACCGGCCACACAATGCGCTGCTACTCTTGCAAACGACGTACCGGGATGTTTTAACGTCCGCTGTGAGTGAAGCAGACGGCGCGTAGTATTGTTACGGTTAGTACACAAGCCGCAGTATTAACCAGGGGCAGCTAACCGAGTCGAACCGCAAACCTCTGCAACAAGCGGTCAAACACGCTACCACTGGGCAGCGTCACCGCCCCCCACAACGGCGGCCTCACACAGCTGAGTTGGAATCCGGGTTCCAGGCACATTAAACCAGATTCTCAAGTCAGCTTGGTCACCAATGACAGTATTGTGAGCAATCAAATAAAACACATTTTGCCGAGCCTAACAATGAGAAATTGAAATGGTCACGTAGAAAACGCTGAAATTGCTAAATTGCAGCAATGTCTGGTGTCTCATTAAGAGACCAGTTGTTTGATTTCATCATCCTCATCTTAGCTCACCAACAAATAAAAACGCCACTAAACTGCCAATACAGTGGTCCACAAGACATGCTTATGCCATGTGACCTGACTCGGATGACAGCGCGACCGAGATATAATTGGTGATCAAATTTTGCGCAAATTCCCTCGGAGCATCTTGATCAAAACGTGTTGTCCTCCCCACGTACACATCGAACCCGCATGCACGGCATGCAACGGCTGCATGCGGAGCGCCCCCCCACGAATCACGTGATCGCACGTGCCGAGTAAAAGACAGGCAGTATGGGAGAGAGACGCCGTTCGCTCGTCCATCCGTTCATTGTAAGCAAACTTGAGTTCATTCCGCGAGAGTCGTCGAATTTGGTGGAGGAGCATTAAAGAAAACATCGCAGAAGTAATGATAAAAAAATTGACGGCGACCGCTTATACCGACGGGGAGACGAGCGCTACACCCAAATGTCTTCGGTCGTTTCTAAGAGTGTGCCTCAAACGATGGCCATTTTGCTTGCCAATTGCCACACGTCTGACAAGACGCACGCACCACGCTTGCATATATGTTGCGAAATTCCTCATCGCGATTGAACACAATCCCAGTTGGCCGGCGGCGGCATGGAGGAAGGGAGGCGAGGTGGGGCTGAGTGCTTCGTGCGCCACACAAGCCCCAAGCCGCGGATGTCGGAGAGCAGCTGTGGAAGACAAAGCACGACGCCACGGAGTCCGTGGGTGGCAGCCGTGCCCTCCTGGCGAGTGGCGACGCCACTGCGCACGTTGGCCAATCTTTTCGGCAAACGAACGGCCGTGCGGAGCAAACTTGCAGAGTAATGCTGCCATTCGTTATGACAGGCCGCAGGGCTGCGTCGGTTGAAGGTTGAGGCAGAGATGCGATTGGGCAGTGCTCAATGAGGTGAGTAGGGGAGGCGAGCACAGGGCAGGGCAGAGTAGGGGGCCGTCAGAGCAGCCCGAAACCCTCGCTGCCCTCCGTAATGGCGTAGCGCAGCATCTTGTGCAGCTCTTCACAAGAGTCGTAGGTGGGCAGGCAGAGCTGATTAAAGCTGCGAGAGAGGCACGCACACGGGAACGAGGAGAGAGAGATATGGAAAGATACACGTGAGGGATAGGAGATGCACAGAGGCACAGAGAGGAGATATAGAGGCGGACACAGAGCCACACAGGGGAACAGAGACATATAAATATAAACACAAACACACGGGAGATAAATGAAACAATAATGGTTCAGGGGTCATGATGGCGATTGCTTTTGATGCCATCTCTCACCAACACTTTGTATTTCTAGATACCATAGCTTTTATATAATTAACACCAGACTTACATGGTTTGTTGGTACACGGGTACGGTACCGAAACTATGATAGGATCAGTTACACAGGATTTTGTTCTCAACAGCTGATTGAATGATGTGAAAATGATGGCGCCACATCTGACAGGGGAGAGTGTTAAACAATTGAATGTTAATTGAGATTGCCTAGACAAGTAGACATTAACATGAGAATAGGTTTTCCACTTTTTCTGGCAACAAAACAGGTGTTAAGATGTTAAAACACCAAACTGAAACCTTTTACAAGGAATCATGTCTGCATTCAACCACAATGCTTGTGGTCAGAATGCAAACAAAACAGTACTCTGATAATATATGCATTGTCCTTGAAACTGATTGGTCCACACCAGAGACAGCTTTCTTTTGAGCCTCGGTCTCAAAACGGTGTTAGACCAATCAGTTTCAAAGACAATGCATATATGATCAGAGTACGTTTTTTGTTTGCATTCTGACCACAAGTATTGTGGTTAATGCAGACATGATTCCTTGTAAAAAGTTTCAGTTTGGTGTTTTAACATCTTAACACCTGTTTTATTGCCAGAAAAAAGGGGAAACCCTATTCTCATATTTTGGTACTGGCAAAGGAGGTCCCATGAAGTAGACATGAAGTAAAATATAGTTTTATCTAGAAAGTCTTATTATCTTCGTGGGATATCTATACATGAATCACTGAGTATAAGAATGCTCCCACATCTTGGCTCCGACCTTCACCAATCGACATTGACCAACGTGGTGAAGTATGGTCAAACAATCCCCTACTACCCACACCCCTTGGAGAGGTCCTCAACCAGCAGCGGATCAACACAGTGCTGGAAATGTACAAATAAAGATAAAGTTCTACGGGAAAGCCTTTAACAGACTGTTGGGACAAGTGTTGTTAGCGAGCTCCGATTAAGGCTGATAGGGCGCACATGAGAGGGTGGGTGGCCAGCACCACGCTTGGCCACCTCTGTCTCTACAGTGCTGCTATTGTGACAGGTTGTCGACCTAGGGGTGACCCAGGACCAGTTAAGGCATTCGTCACCGATCTTGGCCATGTCACCGAGGTTCATTGCGCAGTGCGCTGACCACTGCGCCACCGCTCCCCACTATGTACGCTCACAAACGTATACAGAATCAGGATATGTATTCATACTGGAGGAATCCGATGAGCTATGAAGCTCTTTTTCACATGTCCAGTCGGGGCGGGTGAGAAGGTTACAACAGACAGGACAAAAACACGATAGGAGTGCAAAGGATGGGAAAGGTCAGCAAACAAATACAAAAGAAAACAAAATTTTTATTTTACCGGGTAAAGCCCACGGAGCTATTAGCTTATTTTTCAGAATCGACCTGGCCACAAATGATAGGCTCAACGAGGTGACCTTATCACGTGCAAATTTACAAGAACCAAATAATCTAAATGCAAACACGTATACCCTCACTCGCGCATGCACGCACGCAGCGGCTGCTCACCAGGTATGGGCGGTGGGCAGCGTCCCGTGCTTGGGCGAGCTCACGATCTGAAAGGGCGGCGAGAGGGCAGCGAACCCCCCCGTGGGCAGCAAGGATGAGCCCGTGGAGAACTGCAGCAGGCGGGCCAGCTCCTCCTGCGTGAAGCTCGACACCACGGCCCAGAACCACAAAATCACCTGTACCGGCGGCGGCGGCACCGGAGAAACAACAAAGGTCACCCGTTGTTGCCTCAACAGACCGATACATCTTCTTGGTTCTTTCGGTAAAGTCACGCAGAAGGAAAATAATAAAATAATAAAAATAAAACATGATAAAATAATTCTAACGACGTTTCAGCCGCTTGCGTTGTGTCTACTTGACAGACCTGTTCTCCACCTGAGGACGGCTGCTTGCGTTGTGGCCGAAACGTCGTGAGAATTATTTTATTATGTTTTATATGTGTTATTTTATTATTTTCCTTCTGCGTGACTTTACCGAAAGAACCGAGAAGATGAACCCCTGCAGTCACAAAAGCTTTAAATCGAAACAGACAGATACAGTTGGAAATTGTCCAAGAGCAGGCTGGCAGCGTGTAGCTCCCTGTGCAAGCGTGACTCTACAGCCAACGGTTGCCAATCCAAACCAAAGATCCCCCCGGAAGAGCCTTAACAGACTGTTGGGGCAAGTGCTGTTGACGAGGACTTTTGAATCCCGGCGAGGGGGTGGGACGTGAGGGGGTGGGGCGGCCAGCACCACGTCCGCTGTGAGCGAAGCGGACGATGCGTAGTATTGTGACGGTTGGTACACACGCCGCAGTATTAACCGGGGCGGCCAAAGGAGTCAAACCACGAAACCTCTGCAACAAGCGAACGCGCTCCCGCTGGTCCGCGTCACCGCCCCCACATAATGGCGACCAGAGCACCGATCTGACACGACTGAGTTGGAATCCGGGTTTCAGCCACGTTAAACCGGATTCTCAAGTCCAGTGGGACAACAGTCTGGAGTTAGCTTGGTCCCGAATGACTGCATCATGAGCATGAGCAAACAAAACCCATCTTCACAGGCAGAACGTGATCTCCCCAGTGGTGATGTCTACACACCGCACCAGGTACTCATGTGAGGCCGGGTCGACATCCACATATACACAAACACATCGACACGCGCACATGTAAGTGAATACTGTTCAATACTGTTGCTCCATGTATTTTGCACACCACACCAGGTACGGATTTCAGGTTGAGTCGATCTAAGGGAGGCCTAGTACCGGTTCAGATATTCATCGCTGATGTTGGCCGTGAGTGGGAATCGAACTCGGGTGGCCGGGTTTGTGGTGCAGCGTGCTCGCCGCTACATTACCGTTGCACACACGCACGCACAAGCACACGAGAATGAAACTCGAGCAGCCAAATAAACAGCAGTTGGACAAAAAATGACGAAGGCAGATGGATAAAAAGACCGACACAGGACGGTTTGGCTTCATGTGCAAGGGGGCATCACTGAGCTCATGTGATCACATCTCATCGTTGTCTTTTATCCCGATGGAAATTACTCGCAAACACATGTTGCGACGGGCAGAGAGAGCCTTAGGCAAGAGACGCAGATGTGAGGTCTATCCACCAAACTATGTCATCGGATTCAGATGTCCCTGAGAATTGTTACGAGTGAAACGAGTAGAGAGATCACGTGATATTTATTCATTGCTATCCAGCGATTGTGTGAGGCTCCCCGCGGCTCTACGAGGCTTATTTGAGCGTTTTGCAGATGTTGGCACAAATAAAATGTATGGGATAAGTTTCAAATGAAGGCCTCTAACAGATCCATACATATCGAGAGTAGATTTAGAGTATTTAAAAAATAAATATAGTCACTGTGGAGAGTATTTTTAGGGCCATGGAAGTTATACGGAAACTTGGGAGGTGGTGTTAGTGCATCATGACGAGATGCAGCCATTGCCAGCATAAGACTCCCAGCCTACTGGGCTAGGAGGTGGCCAGTAGATGGCTGTACAGCAAGTAGGATTCATGACTGTGATGCATCTTTTCACGTACGTGAGTTGTCTCTGGACAGACAACCTGTCGGCTACGTTCACACGCAGACAACTTTTGTCTTTCTTTGCACTGTCGCGTAGACAAAACGAAGCTGAAGATCAAACCCATACAGCCGAGTGGGGCAGGCCACTCTCGCTCATGGGCTTTGCTAGACAAATGGAAATGCCAGACACCCAGCTGCGTTCCAACTTGGCTCATCATCTCCACAGGGATTCAATAAATAAAAAAGTTAATAAAAAACGAGCTGCCCAATATTTATCCGCAAAATCCTCGCCGAGTTTCAGGACTGGATGAGACGCAGGCAAAACGCGACCTCCCACTCCTGTGAAGGATTGTCAATCGATTCATGTTATTACATCACTGGCAAAGACAAAACAAACAGCATCCCATGTTTGGTCTTGGCAGTGAGGCCGGCACAGCACACATTGCGCCCAGCACGGCACGCAGCATGTATGTACAGTATGTTGAAATTCTTTCACACCGTACGTAGCCAACCGTGCTAATCAGAGGTCCACGGGAAGGACAACTAAACACAAAAAGGTTTTGCACACGATGCACCTGGCACGGCACGCGGAGCGCGTCTGTATGTGCCTCAGTTGAATCGTCTCAGTGGCATCCGCGCTTTTCAAATTTTTGCTGAATATGGCGGCGCATTACAAATCTTGGTTTGACTGATTGTTAGGAAGGTTGTGCTGCCAGCGCCGTGATTGTCCAACTGTGTATTTATGTTGACACCCTCACACCTGGAATTGATGTAAGGCTGAGCTGACCTAGATGTGGCCCAGGCCAGGTTCACATATCAATTTCCAAGGTCGCTGGGATCAATGTGTGAGCAAGCTAACCTCTACTCCACCACCGCTTGCAACACATGCATGCACAAGCCCATACACAATCCAAAAATCCCCTGCATAGCCTGAACAGACTTTTGGAGCAAGAGCTGTTAGTGAAGACCTATGAAGGCTGGCACGGAACACAAGGGGGTGTTGTGGCCTGCACCAGACCCAGCCACCTTTGTTTCCCCAGTGGCGATGTTTACGTATCACACCAGGTACTCATTTGAGGCTGAGTCAACCTGGGGGGGCCATGGGCCGGTTCAGATAATCATCACTGGCGTTGACCATGAGTGGGAATTGAACTCGGTTGGCCGGGTTCGTAGCGCAGTGCGTTAACCGTTACACGAAGCAGATTCAGATGAAGCAGCCACTCCATATCCGAGATAATTTCCTGATGAAGCTCAAAGAGAAAGCACACCGCTTAAGTGTGTCTCAGCGGTGTGCGCTTTCGCTAAGCTGTTCCCCACCTGAAGAAGGATGCTTGTGATTGCGCCCGAAACGTCGTGATTTAATTTATTTTAATTTTTAACCTACGTGACTTTACCGAAAAAAACAAAGAGCATGAATCCTTGCAGTCACGAATACTTCAAATCTAGTTTGAGCTTCATGGGCTGATATTAAATTCACTCAGTGAAACATTTTCAGCTGTATACAGCTTCTAAGTAATAATACGGTGTGTATTTATGTTGTAGGTATGTATGTTGAACTTCTTTCGCAAGCACACATAGCCAACCGTGCTAATCGGAGGTGCTGGTGGAAGGACACCAAACTAAACATAAAAACAATCTTCATTGAGGATCTGTATTGGCTCAGAATTTGATCAATACATCAACACGGTATAAACAATAATATCTTTGTAAACGTGACAATTGTGTCACGGTGGTTGAGGATTAATTACAAAGAAATCTGACGTAAAACTAACTACCACGTGACCAACCCCAAAGAAGAAACACAAATCATTTCACTGCTACGGGAACCTACGTTTGTTTTAAGCACACGTGCTTGTAGGCGTGTACGTGCCTTCATGAACGTCGGCCCACGTGAGCGCTTGCGTTCGCGTGTCTCTGCGTCGCACATCGGTGAAAGCAGCCCCGATACAAACCAAGTGACCTCGGCCTTGGCCAACATCGCCGGGTAAGCGGTAACTATACACAACAGTCTTGGGGTCTTCCTTTGGTCCACTCGGTACATCGCCCAAAAGCAATTATTAGTTTGCTGCTATCAATTACTACGTGATAAGTCACTTTGATAATTGGTTTTTTACCCTTTTATCTGGCAACAAAACTGACACCTTTTTTTACAAGGAGTCATGTTTGCATAGACCACAATACCTGCAGTCATAATGCAAACAAAAAACATAACTCTGATAATGTATGCACTTTCCTTGAAGTTGATTGGTCCACACCCGAGACAGCTTTCCTTAGAGCCTAGTCTCACATGGTGTTGGACCAGATGACGCCAAAAGGCGCACTTTGTTGGGCTATCATTTGTGGCCAGGTGACTTCTGAGAAACAAGTTAATACCTCAGTGGGCTTTGTCTGGTAGGGTGGGGATGGTTTAGTTTTATTTGTACGTTTTTAACCGATTTGTGTGCCTTTCCTGTACTTTGCACTCCTATCGTGTTGTTGTACTGTTTGTTGTTCTGACCCCGTGCCCCAACTGAACATCCGGGAAAAAGAGCTTTATAGCTCATCGGATTCCTCCAGCATAAATAAATAAATATTGATACTGGAGGAATCCACAACTCCACGTAAGTACCTTCTTGCGGAAATGCCAGGAGGCTCCGACAAGCACGGCGTTGGCTTTGAAGTCGTCAACGCTGATGTCCTCCGTGCCGCACATGAGCATCTGGGGAGAGGCCCAGGGGTGGGGGGGGGGAATGGGGGATGGGGGGGAGAGAGGCGGTTGAATCGTTGGTTGTTGTCATGACTGGACATCTGTGAACAAGATCTCTGTAGCGCATCGGATTCCTTCAGCATAAATACAGATTCTGAAGTTGTAGAAAGGGATCGCAATACAGAACAAGATAGCTTTACAGCGCGTCCTGAGAATAATGCGGGCGGACGCACAGTGTCCTGCACATGACAGAGTTTTTGTTCGTGCAAAACAAAGCATTCTAGTAAAGTTCAAAATTCGAACAGCGGGCAAAGCGAGGGCGACTCTCGTGTGTTTTCCTTGTTGCGCTGCGACGCTGCGGAGATGCGTGCGGGTCAACGTGACCCCCCCCCCACCAACCCCACCCCGCCCAACCGCCCCCCCCCCCACCCATCCCCACACCCACGGTCCTCTCACCTCCAATTCGTTTTCATCAAAGATGGCCAAGAGGTTTTCTGGAACCATCTCATTCAGTCCTGTGATTGACAGCGCAGGAAAAAACGGGAGATGGGGAGGAGATGGTTCCAGGGCAGGGTGCGAAACACAGTCACACACCTTAAGGCTACACCAGTCAGCAATGGATTTTGTTTGTAATTGTAAATTATAGTAAGATTGCGCTGTGATCCCCATCATAGGTAGACATGGAGACATCTCCACGCGGAACGCTCATCGCGAGTAGCAATGTCGCAGGATGCCAGAGAATGGTGTTTGGAAAACGATGTTAAAGGTCGATGTTAAAAAACTACTACTTTAAAGCAATTTCAGCACCCTCGAAGACACACACACACACAAATACATTCGTGACGTCACAACTATACATCGTGCTATATGTACACGTACAGCGCTGTGTGCCACCCATCCACTGCCACTGGGCCAATTGCTTGACGCGTCCGGGGGGAACATCAACCGAGGAGATGGAGTGATGCAATCGGCTCGTGTGCAGGTGATTACAGATGTCGACGGCTGGGGGAGGCCTTCATCCAGCAGCGGATTGATTACACACGATGAGACATTGATGAGGATGTGTACATGGTGGGGCAGACGTAGCGGCTTGAGAGCGGATGAGAGTGAAATCTCCTCAAGACAAAAATGCATTGGGATGTGGATTTACATAATGTGACCGTGTCTCACGATGATGACAACGCCGAAAGACAGAACGAGCCAAGGGAAGGGGGAGCCCACCTTTGAGAAAGTGATCCACCTCTGTGCGGACCTGCGTGGCGAGCCGGTACTGCGCCAGCACGTTGAGATACGCCAGCTTGTTGGCGTTGGTGACGCTGATCCCTGACCCTCCCGGCACCAGGTCCACCACCTGTGCCGGGCAAAACCGTCGGCCGAGAACCACGCGGAAAACTCAAGAGGCGCGCGTGCGGGTCCCCCCCTCCGCTATGGTCCCTTGAGTCAAAACTTTGAAGTACAGTCTACACTATAACGCGTGTTGTTTTAAGAACGCAAATTGTATATAACGCAATGAATGTATTAGGGAACACTTTTTTTTAAGCGGATGAGAATTGGATATAACGCGATCGAGTGAACAGAACGATGTCACGCGAGTAGGAATAAGCGGTTGTGTTGTGTGGTAGAAAGGACGCTGAAGCTGGTCGTGTAGGGGCTGACGCCAAACTGTTTATTTAGGGCTTACGCCTAACTCGGGGGAAGAGGGTTAACACAGAGTTAGTAACTAATCTCCGCAGGGGAAGGGGTTAACACAGAGTTAGTAACTAATCTCCCCAGGGGAAGGGGTTAACAAAGAGTTAGTAACTAATCTCCCCAGGGGAAGGGGTTAACACAGAGTTAGTAACTAATCTCCCCAGGGGAAGGGGTTAACACAGAGTTAGTAACTAATCTCCCCAGGTGAAGGGGTTAACACAGAGTTAGTAACTAATCTCCCCAGGGGAAGGGGTTAACACAGAGTTAGTAACTAATCTCCCCAGGGGAAGGGGTTAACACAGAGTTGTTAACTAATCTCCCCAGGGGAAGGGTATTGGGAGCTCCCTACACCCCACCAGGCTATCGGGCTCTTCCCACAGCACTGACCGAGGGTTCAGCCAACTCGGCCAGCCGGGTAAAGCAGCCCCTTTAGCCTGGCTCTCTCCCCCTACTCCCTAACGCTCACTCCGCTGGCTCACGGCGAAGACCCCGTCTACGTCACGGGTCTCCCCTCAAATACCCCGGGGGGCATGACGTCACTTTACCTTGACGGCATTCCCCCCCGAGGCGAGTGTGACCTGACGTCAGCACTCCACTCCTCAACAGTTGTATGACTCCCTCGGCGCAGCGTCGCACAAGGCGGGATGCTGCTGGATGCTTCTAGATGCTACCCACATGCCTCAGTATTTGTTCAGCCTGCCTCAGCATCTCTCGTGTTATCGCGGACTATGCTTTACCCTACATGATTTATTATAACGCAATTTTTCCATTCCGTGATGTTCTTCAGGAACGCAACTACCGCGTTGAAGGAGAACAGACTGTACGGTGGCGTTTCAATCATTAACAGAGGAGAGTAACGTTTCAGAGAATAGAGCCGCGCGACATTGGGCAAGCTCGTTCTGTCAGCGATGTCGGCATCACCCCGCGCGATCTCAACAATCAATTGACCCCGACCATAACCACCCACTCAGGACTGCTCGGCCTACCATCAAGGCAGAGTCTGTGTCACACCTAGTTTGCCTACTAGATTGACTGCCCACATTAGGCAAACTGGTAAGGATATATGGTGTCATTGATTGTAAATTGGCGACAGACCAGCCTCGTTCGGCTATAGACTTGTTTTTTTTTCCTCTGGATACGACTGCCTCAATCAATGTAATCTGCTCACCGTTTCTGTGCATCGTCCTGAGACGCAGTGCAAATGCATTGTTACGAGGAATCCCACTCTCATCTGCTCTCAAGCCTATAAGTCTGCCCCACGTACACATCCTCATCTGAACACTTCAATGTCCCTGTGCATGTGTGACAAGAGTGGCGCATTCGTCATGGACCGGACTCATAAGGGTGCGTGATAACAAACGTTAGTTGCTGCAGCTCCATACTATTAACATTCCTTCCCTTTATGAATGCTAACCCTACTCCCTCCCTTTGATGCTGCTAATCCTGCATAATGCACGGGCATAATATGACTTTGAAACCCCCCGCCCACCTCCTACGCATTCCACAAGTAGTGACTAATCCCATATCTGCATTTCCCATAAATATGCTAAATTTCTCGTGATATGCAAATTCCTTTGTCAAGGCGCTCTTCCCCCTCTAACCCAGCTTAAATATACGCTGCCAAGCTTGGTGGTGCTCATTCAGACGCTGTCTTCCCGACAGACCTGTTCTTCACCTGAGGACGGCTGCTTGCGTTGTGGCCGAAACGTCGTGAGAATAATTTTATTATGTTTTATTTTTATTATTTTATTATTTCCCTTCTACGTGACTTTACCGAAAGTACCAAGAAGACGTTAATACTTATTTACCGTGTACATGCGCGTATGTGTGCGTGCTATGCGGCCACAGCCGCTTGCTAACAGCACTCCCCCCGACACGCCCTGTATGCTGTTGGGGGGAGTGAGTGTGTGCGAGCCCACACGCCCATGTGCCCGTGCCCGCGTGCTCACACCTGCACACACTTGCCCTGCTCGTCATACACCTCCTCCGAGAGGGTGAGATCCATCTCCGACACGTCGTTGTTGAGCACGAAGCTCACCTTCGTCTTGTAGAATTCGGGGTCGTCCGTTTCGAAATACTGCACTCACGCATGCACAAACAACCAAGACAAAGATCCCCCGTTGTAGCCGTTAACAGACTTTTTGGGGCAAGTTCTGTTAGCTAAATAGCACCTTATGAATTCTAGATTTTAAGCTGTCGTGACTGCAAGGATTCATACTCTTAGGTTTTTTCGGTAAAGTCACGTGGTAAAAAATAAATAATGAAAGAAAAATAATAGAAATAAAATTAGAAATCACGTAATTTTATTTCTATTATTTTTTCTATTATTAAAGCTTTATTATTTATTTATTTCCTACGTGACTTTACCGAAGAAACCTAAGAGTAAGCACCTTATGAAGGCCGGCACGGCATACGAGGGGGTGGGTGGCCAGGACTATCCCCGGCCACCTTTGTGTCTCCGATGGTGAAGTTTACACACAGCAACCGGTGTTCAGTTCAGGCTGAAGGAGACCTCAGGTAATCGTCTCTGATATTGGCCATGAGCGGGAATTGAACTTGGGTCGCTGGGTTCCTAGCGCAGTATGCTAACCAATATGCCACCGCTACATAAGCACAAAGACAATGCGCCTTCGTACAGCCTGTAACAAACTGTTGGGGCAAGTGCTGTTAGCGAACACCTATGAAGGCCAACACGGCACACGAGGGGGTGGGTGGCCAACACCACGCCCGGCCGCCTTTGTCTCCCCAGTGGTGATGTTTACACACCGCACCAGGTACACACACAAGCGCACAATAAGAATGAAACTTCGACTGACAAATAAAGAAAACGAACATCTAGATGGAAAGTCACATGTGTAAGGAGGCATCACTCAGCTCATGCGATCACATCTAATCCTTGTCTGTTATCTACAGCCGATTAAAATGACTCACAAACACCACGTGTTGCGATGGGTAGAGAGGGCCTCAGCCAAGAGAAGACAAAGATCCCCCATATAGACTGTTGGGGCAAGTGCTGTTAGCGAGCACTTATGAAGGCCGGCACGGCACACAAGGGGTGGATGGCCAACACCACGCCGGGCCGCCTTCGTCTTCCGAGTGCCAATGTTTTACCACCGCACAAGGTACTCATTTGAGGGCGAGTGAACCCGGGGGAGGTCCAGGACTGGTTCAGGTAATCGTCACCAGTGTTGGCCGTGAACAAGAATCGACCTCGAGTTCGCCAGGTTCGTAGCACAGCATACTAATCACTACACTGCCGCTCCCCACACACATGCGCATACACCCACACACACGTGCACACACCCACACACACGCGCGCACACATGCACACGCACGTACCCGGTAGTGCATGCGCAGGCCGATGAGCTGCGCGAGGAAGGAGCGGGTAAACCGCGCTCGCACCAGCTGCCTGTAAGTGTCACCCAGCGACGTCTCGAAGAGACACTTCCCGACGAGGCGGCCTGCCAGCTCGTACAGTCGCAGGCGCATGTGGTGCGGCCTGTGCGGGTTCGGATGCACCTGCCGGGGAAACCCAAAATTAATGCCAAAAAGTTTCACCGACAACGATGTTCTGCTCGCTGGACCAGACTGCGCAAGTTTGGATGTATGTTGAACTTCTTCAGCACCGTACGTAGCCAACCGTGTTCATCGGAGGTGCAGGGGAAGGACAACAAATGAAATACAAAAAGCAGTTCTCAAGAAATGAATTTGTCAATCTCAAGTGCATAGCTCCCAGTGGCTTCCTAATATTGGAAGAGCGTTCCAGACGGCCGCAGAAGCGAGGTGGGGGGTCAAACCGGCTCAGTGTCGCTCACACCGAGCCGGTTTGAATCTGGGCATCAGCCGCTCGTGGATAAATGGGGTTCTCATGTGCAGCGAGCTGCTGTCATCATCGCCACCAGCATAAGAAACCATTAAATTAAACCTGCCTTGTCACGAGTGTCAGAACATTTGAGCTCTAAGGATTAAAAATTCCGGCTAACGGCCGTGCGACGAGCACCCCTTCACAGGGCATCGTTGTGATGGTGAAGCCCAAAACCGCATTGCCCAGCATGCGCCCTATCTCATCGGAGCTTGTAAGCTAAGCAGGTGTGCGCTTGGACAGTGTTCGGGTGTGTGGCCACCAAGCACAGAGGGTTCATTATAGGCTGCTGCTGCGCAACAGCGTGGTGGGTAACAGAGGGCAGTTCAGCAAACTCCAATGTTGTAATGTACTTCTACGATCCCACATCTTCGGCTTCCCGTCTTCACCAACCCAGACCACGTATGTCTTGCGTGGTGGAGGCGGCACAGCCGGTGAGCATTTGCCTCAAACAATTTGCCGCCTCTTTGCGTTTTCCAGACTTGACATTCGCCGCTTTGCCCACTCGGTGAAGCCGGCCCCGGCTTTCCGCTGCCACCCGAGACCCCCAGCAGGCCTCACCAGCGCCTGGTTGTCGTCGACGAAGTGCGTGAACAGCTTGTTCGCAGGCTCGAAGAGGGCCTTGCACATGAGCTCGAACCACTCGCGGCGTGGCCCGCCACGGTCCAGGGCTGCGCAAGAGACAACCAAAATAAAAAGCAGCGCGTGGAGCGAAACGTCGGACATCATCGCGGCCGAAGAAAATGTGGCGCTCCCTGAAAATGCACCCGAGAGCCACGAAGGTCGAGACGGATTGTCGAGGCAAGTGGTGTTGGCGAGCGCCCTGTTCAGGCTGACAGAGTGCCCGAGGGAGGGGGTGGTATGGTGCTGGATTCATGTACGACATCAGATGTTAACATTTGAAAATCCACACTCTTCTTGTTGGTTCTCCCAGGCCACGCCCGCCACGATCGCCCACGCACATGTCGACAAGATCACACTCGAACAATTGCCCAGACACATGTACACCAGGTCAAGCCCACCACACGATCGCCCACGCATGTGTACACCAGATGACACCCCACACGATCGCCCACACACGTGTAAACCAGGTAACACTCACCCTCCTCGTTCTCAAAGGTGACCTCGAAACTTCTGAACCAGTCGTTCGAGGAGAAGTTGCGTACTGCTTTTACAGACTATGGGAGGAGCAGGGTTAGACACTGGGGATGGCAAGAAAGGAGATCAGATGAGCAGCATGTGTGGGTAAGAGTGTGTGTATCTATTGCTGCACGTAACGTGTTTTCTGCATCGCTGTGTGTACTCGTAATGATGACCTCCCTCTTTCTCCGTTATCAAGCCCATTCTACGTGGGTAAGAAATAAGATTTACATCGCCTACTTTACATATACATACCTGTCAACTCATACGGTTCACCGTATTCTTGTACAGGGAAATTAAGTCTTCAGGTCCATACGGCGTACAGCCGTTTCAATATCGGCAAAATATATATATATAGTCTATTTGTGTTTCTCCCTTATGATGGGACTATGTAGGATGAACGTTGAGATTTATAAGAGAGTCTGTAATAATGTAGGCACTGATAAGGGGTTGACAGGTATACATATATTTATCATTATCAGTGTTTTTGTTTGATAACAATTCCACCTTGTAACCTACCACACAATATTCGATCACTATGGAAGGGAGAAGACAACCTAGAGGCACGAGAGAGGCAGCAGCAGCAGCCAGGCGGTGAGCCGGCACCAAGCTCTGCGGTCCTCTATGTATGAAGGTGTTACGGCCAATTAATGACTGCTTACGTGTGGGAGGAAAGATGAGCACCTAGACGAAACTCGCACGTGCGAGGCAGCAACGCTCTATCCCATACAGATAGAAAGTATGGAGTCCACATTGACTTCCCTGGCAAGCCAGAGTATGGCACCTTGACACCCAACAATCTGTGCGTTCCACCAACCCTCGCTGCCTCCACAGTGCTGGACTACAGGCCACGTGGCCTCCGTCGCGCTAGACAACTGAGAGGTGACTGCGTGCGATGTCGTGAAGGATCCAACGCAGAGGCGTCGTCTCGCCAGTGCACGGCATGGGTGACGCACGCTGTCCAGCAGGCATTGCCGCGAGACTCGCAGCGAGATTTTGTTGCGAGGCTTCTTCGCGTGGAGTTTCCGCAGCTCCCGCTGGAAGAAGACCATTTTGTCCTGGCAGGTCTCCGAGCCGCCTGAACCCGACACACACAGGCCGGTGCGTGGTTACAGACGCGGTTACTCGCACGGCCACAGTGTGAGTGTGCGTGATGAGAGTGTGGTGCGTGAGTGTGCGTGTCCGAGTTGCGCTCACTGTGCTTTGACCCCAGCGACCCGAGTTCAATCCCCCTCTATGGGACATCAGTGATGAATAGCTGAACCAGTTGTGGGCCTCCCCTAGGTCGACTCAGCTTCAAATGAGTACCTGGTGTGTTGTGCAAAAACATCGCCACTGGGGAGACAAAGGTGGCCGGGCGTGGTGCTGGTCACCCACTCCCTCGTGTGTCGTACCGGCCATCATAGGTGCTCGCTAACAGCTCTTGCCCCAAACGTATTTTAAGGCTATACGGAGGATCTTTGTCTTTGTGTCCGAGTGGGAAATGTGAGCCTGCGGAGCGGTGGTGCAGTGGAGACCTTTCATTACTGGGGAGACAAATGTGGCTGGGCATTGGGGCACACCACAATACACCACCCCACTATCTGCGGTGCTGACCTTCATGGGCGCCTGCTAAGAGCACTTGCCCCAAGATATTGTGAAGGCTATACAGTGGCGTTTTGTCTTTGTCAGTCTCAGTGATTTTATGAGTGTTGTGTTTACAGGAGTGACTGCATATGAGTGTGTGTATAAGCACAGGTGGCGCATCTGCAAGTTATCCCGAATGATCTCAGTCAGTCAACCCACAATACCTGGGTCTGTCCCGTAACCTCCTGTCAGGGGGCTTTTGACACTTCACGTGGCCCCAAGGTGCACCTAGCCTGGTGCTTGTGCCGTGGCGACGTCACTGCAACCTCGTGGTCAATGGTGGCCATTGTGGTCGTGTACGAATTTCCGCGCGCGTACATATAGGTGCCACGGTGGTGAGATGTTAGCGACCTCATCTGGTATACAGGAGGTCGTGAGTTGGATCCCAACCCTTACTCTTGTATATTTGTAGTTTGCAGTGTGTCCCTCCCCGTGGTCACGTGGACTTTTCTCCGGCTCCTCCAGTTTTTCCCCCCCCACATTTAGAATCAACATCAGGCTTTAGAGTATTTGGCTGCTATAAATTTCTAAATGACGAGCTACTTCGCTGAGCAATAATTTGTGGCCAGGTCGCTTCTGAAGAAGAGGCTAATAGCTCATTGGGCCTTACCTGGTAAAATAAAAATAGTTAATAGTTAATTTTTTAAGTTTATAGGTGCGCAAGTATATGAAGCGTGGGCGTGCGTGGGCGTGCGTGGGCGTGCGTGGGCGTGCGTGGGCGTGCGTGGGCGTGCGTGGGCGTGCGTGCACGTGTGGGCGCGCGTGGGCGCGCGTGGGCGTGCGTGGGCGTGCGTGGGCGTGCGTGGGCGTGCGTGGGCGTGCGTGCACGTGTGGGCGCGTGTGGGCGCGCGTGGGCGTGCGTGGGCGTGCGTGGGCGTGCGTGGGCGTGCGTGCACGTGTGGGCGCGCGTGGGCGTGCGTGGGCGTGCGTGGGCGTGCGTGGGCGCGCGTGGGCGTGCGTGCACGTGTGGGCGCGCGTGGGCGTGCGTGGGCGTGCGTGGGCTTGCGTGGGCGTGCGTGGGCGTGCGTGGGTGTGCGTGGGGGCGTGCGTGGGCTTGCGTGGGCGTGCGTGGGTGTGCGTGGGCGTGCGTGCGTGCACGCGTCCTCACCGATGCTGCGCAGCAGGAAGCGCGTGAAGGTGGCGGCGAGGACGTTACGGTCGCGCAGCACCAGCTCGGCGGGCGGCTGGGTGCCGTCGTCGATCACCAGCGTCGGCAGACCCGTGGCGGCGTCACGGCCATAGTAGTGGAACTGGGGGGGGGGGCCGTGGAGCAAAAGAGAACATTTGGACGTATTTTGCGGTACACCGGTGCAGCGCAACACACCAGAGTCCCCATAAAAAAGGTCTAAAATCACGATTTTTACGGATAATTGTCTTCCAACTGCTGTTACATCACGAGAACTGATTTTGACACACCCCGCCATATTTTTGTGACCGGGTTCCAGTTGCGAATCGCAGGAAAGTAAATAATAATTAATAATTATGGCGTAAAATTTGCTTTTTTTATACGCCGCACCGGTGTTCCACCAATATATTAATTTGCTGAATTAACGGGTGGCCACGATGTTAATAACTGGATGTGTAATGATTTAATCCCCCACTTCCCCCTTCGTTGCACTGTCACCTCCGACTAGCACGATTGGCTACGTACAGTGCGAAAGAAGTTCGACACACGGATTATGCACATGTCACGACTTGAAGTGACGATCCGATTCAGGGACTGATTATTTCGTGTTTTCTTCATATGGTCTCATTTGCATCGCATCTCTTGTTCTGTCTATGACGTTTTGTCCCGTTGGCTTTGTCTTGTTTGGACTGACCGTTTTCGTTAGGGTACGCTGTCTCAGCTGTCGTGCCTTTCTGACTTACTCCGTCTTCCGTTGAGGTTTTAAGCGTACTTCTAGATTTGAAGCTTTCGTGACTGCAAGGATTCATACTCACGTAGGTAAAAAATAATAGAAATATTCCTGTGTACCGTCTGAGGGTTTGCAAACATTAATGACCATCTCTGAAGATTTCAACTAAAATATTCATTACTGTCATCGGTCATTATGCAAGAGTATCCTGCGATTGCTTGATATTTATTCATTCACGTACTCAAACTCTCTTCGCTGAATTTCCACTGAATGGTAATGAAAGTAGAGCAGAGGGTTTTGCCTGGCAGCCGTGGGGCCACATTTGGTCTGGGCGCTACACAGGTACACGAGAGGCACTCACTCACCTTGGTGCCCGGGCACACCCGGAAGGTGAGCAACCTCCAGGGAATGATCCGCAGGTAGTACTCTTTGATGGTGAGTTGCTGAAGACATAAAGACGTGGGTTTCAGAAAACTTCCAAAAGTAAAATGATGCAACGATAATCGCAGTACAGAACTTGTGGCCAATACGGTGGATCCGATATTGTATATGTAAACTAAACTATGTTTTATTTTAGCAGGTAAGGCCCACTGAGCTATATAGCTCTTTTTCAGAAGCGACCTGGCCACAAATGATAGCTCAACGAAGTGGCTCATCACGTGGAAAATAACAGCAGCCAAATACTCCAAACGCGTGATGTTGATTCTAAATGTGGAGGGAAAAACTGGAGGACTCGGAGAAAAACCCACGCGACCATTGACTGCAAGTATCACCGTATCACGGCAGCCCTGACTCCAAGCCTCTCCCTTTCCCACCCTGCGCGCACCTTGGGCGAGATGTAGCAGTAGACCTTCTTGGCTTTCCTCATCTTGTCGGCTAGCACAGTGGGGGAGGTGGGCAACGCGGGAAGCCACGTGGCCGCTGCCGCCGCGGAAGCCGAGGGTCCCGGCGTGGCGGGGGGCGACTCGGGGGGCCCCGTGGGGGGCCCGCAGTCTGGGAGGGCCCAGTGGATGTGCGCGTAGCTCGGCACCTGCTGCAGGAAGGCCTCGTGGTACACAGACAGGCCCGTGCGCTGCACGTTCTTGTCCACTTGCGCCACCTCCTCATCTGTGGTCACGTGAGCAGGACAACGGAAGATAAAGTGTAAACGAGCATGGTTATGGCGACAGACCAGGGTCAGGGTTAGGCTTTAGTGTCAGGGTTATGAATAGGAATTGGGCTTATGGGTCAGGGCTAGGAGTTGGTTTATGGGTCAGGGTTAGTGCTATGGTGAGCTTTACGTGTTGCTCCTCATCAAAAACCGCTGGAAGTCCGGGGTCAGGCTGGTGGTCGGGTTCGGGATGAGGCTCATAGTCGGCTCGTGGTGGGGCTTGGGGTTGGGCTGAGGGTCAGGCCCAGGCCCGGGGTCGGGCGTCACCGGTGAGGACGATGATGTCGAAGTCCCCGTTGGCAAGCGGCTGGCCCCCGCGGTGGGTGATGCGGGCGCGGAAGCAGCCCACGTGCTGCACCTCAACACGCAGCGACAGCTGGCAGAGTGCAGGTGCCGCATGCAACTCATACGAGTAGCACACACCCCCCGGGTACACCTCGTTCTCCACCGCGCCCAGCTGTGCCACACACAAAAAGACCCCCCCGTGTAGCCTTTTACAGACTGTTGGGGCAAGTGCTGTTAGCGAGCACCTATGAAGGCCGCACACATAAGCACACACAACACGGGCACACATACACACAGACAACACGCAGGCGGAGACGCGTGTGTTACGCGCAACAACAGGAAACAAGCGTGGGCAAAATACACGCAATGTACTGGCAGATGCTCGCGACGTACACACACACGCGTGTTTTCATGTGCGTGTGTGTTCATCGGGAGCGGCAGTGCAGCGGTTAACGCGCTGCGCTATGAACCCAGCGACCTGAGTTCGATTCTCGCTCATGGCCAACACCAGTGTCGATTATTTGAACCGCTACTGGGCCTCCCCTAGGTCGACTCAGCCTCAAATGAGTACCTGGTGCGGTGCGTAAAAAGATCGCTAATGGAGAGAAAAAGGCGGTCGTGTGTGGTCCTGGCCAATCCACCCCCTCATGTACCGTTCCGGTCTTCATAGGTGCTCGCTAACAGCACTTTTCCCAAGCCTGCTCAGGTTATACGGGGGATCTTTGTTTTGTCTTTGTTGTGTACACATGTAGGTACATGTGTGTGTACATGTGTGTGTACATGTACACACACATGTACCTACATGTGTGTGTACATGTACACACACATGTAGGTACATGTGTGTGTACATGTACGTGGGGAGCGGTAGTGTAGCGGTTAGCGCGCTGCGCTATGAACCTGGCGACCCGGGTTCGATTCTCGCTCACGGCCAACAACAGTGAGAATTATCTGAACCGGTCCCGGGCCTCCCCTAGGTCGACTCAGCCTCAAATGAGTACCTGGTGCGGTGTGTATACATCGCCGCTGGGGAGACAAAGGCGGTCGGGCGTGGTGCTGGTCACCCACCCCATCGTGTACCGTTCCGGCCTTCATAGGTGCTCGCTAACAACACTTGCCCCTACAGTCTGTTAAGGCTATACGGGGGATCTTTGTCTTTGTCTTTGTACGTGTACCCAGACCTGTACATGTGTGTCTAGGTATGTCTGTGTGTATGTAGAAGCGGTAGTGTAGCGGTAAGTGCACCGTGCTATGAGCCCGACGAACCGAGTGCATCTCCCGCTCAAGGCAAACACCAACGATAATTGTTTAAACAAGTCCTGGGCCTCCCCTAGGTCAACTCAGGTTAAAATGAGTAGTTGGTTTGGTGTGTATAAACATCAGCAGCACCGGGGAGGCAAAGGGTGATACTGGCCACCCACCCCGCCTCATGTGCCGAGAGTAGCACCTTCCTAGGCACTACTATCTCACAGCACTTGCCCCACACGTCTGTTCAAGGCTATCCGGGGGGGGGTCTTTGTCTTTGTGTGTGCATGCGTGCGTACGTGCGTGCGTGCTTACGTGCGTGCATGCGTGTATGTGCGTACGTGTGCATGTGTGTGTGCGTGCGTGCGCATGTGTCTGCGTGTGTGCGCATGTGTGTGTGTGCGTGCGTGTGTGCGTGCATGTGTGCATGTGTCTGCGTGTGTGTGCATGTGTGTGTGTGTGCATCTTTGTCTTTGTGTGCGAGCATGTGTGTGCGCGTGTGTGTGTGTGCGTGTGTGTGCGAGCGTGTGTGTGTGCGTGTGTGCGTGTGTGTGTGTGCGTGTGTGTGTGTGTGTGCGTGCGTGTGTGCGTGTGCGTGTGTGTGTGCGTGTGTGTGTGCGTGTGTGTGTGTGCGTGCGTGCGTCTGTGTGCGTGTGTGTGTGCGTGCGTGTGTGTGTGCGTGTGTGTGCGTGTGTGTGTGCGTGTGTGTGCGTGTGTGTGTGTGTGCGCGTGTGTGTGTGCGTGTGTGTGTGCGTGTGCGTGCATGTGTGTGTGTGTGTGCGAGCGTGTGTGCGTGTGTGCGTGTGTGTGTGCGTGTGTGTGTGTGCGTACGTGTGCATGTGTGTGCGTGTGTGCGTGTGTGTGCGCGCCCCACCGCTGTGAGGGAGAGGCTGTAGGCGTCCTCCTCTTGGAGCCCCACCGCCGTGCGGTTCCCGAACTCGTCGTGCGGCGTCACCGTGAGCGTGTGCAGCTCGCCCTGGCGCAGCACCAGCGTGGACAGGTGGTGCAGCACACGCGTCTTGGAGGGCACCACGGGGCCTGCGGGATGGGGGGGGAGGGGACACACAGCCGCGAGACGCAAGCCGTGACCGCACTGCGTGGGTTATCGTGCGGAGCTCCTAACTGCCCCAGGTCTCGACAGCTTCTTCCTGGAATTGAGTTCACTTCACGAGCTGGCAGATTTTTCGGCAATTTGAATCGAATTCCGGAAGAAGCTCCCAGCGCACGGAGCGAAACGTCGGGTGTCAGAATCTGAATATTTATTGACACTGGAGGAATCCGATGAGCTGTAAAGCTCTTTTATCAGATGTCCAGAAGGGGCCGGGTCAGAACGTGACAACGATGTCGTGCCGCGCGGAACAACCCGGCAACACGTCGGAGAGCTGTACCGCCGATAACAGGGACGGCGTTTAGATTATTGCTACTATATATTTCAACATATGGCGAAAAGCCACTTCGATGAGCTCTTATCATGTGTTGCCAGGTCGCCTCTGCAAAACAACTCGGTTGGCTTTACCTGATAACTAGTTTAGTTTATCCAGCAGTCAAGTGCCAAAAGGCCTGTTAACATGTACACGTGAATCAGTGGTCACGTAACAAAAAACCCATCGGCAAGTAAATTGACTACTCTAAACAGAAGACGACGTAGATGAACAATGAACACATTGTTCAAACATAATTTATACGTTTACATTACCCATTTTGTGGTTTTATCGGGATCACTCCACCAACCAGCACCGCCCCACCATTACCGAAGCTGATCAAAAACTGACTTGCAGTGTTCATCCGATGGATAATTACTATTTAACAAAAATATATTTTACCAGCTAAGGCCCACTGAGCTCTACAGCTCTTTTTCAAGTGACCTGGCCACAAATGATAACTCAACAAAGTGACATCACGTGGAAATGTATCGCAGTCAAATACTCTAACTGCATGTTTCTAAACATGGAGAAAAAATCCAGAGGACCCGGTGAAAAATCCACATGCCCACGGGGAGAACATGTAAACTCTAAAAATACAGGAGTCAGGGTTGGGATCGAACCCACGACCTCCTGTATACCAGGCGAGGTAGTGAACATCTCGTCACCATGGTGCCCCATCTCTGGTCTGTCACGCCACCATGACAGACCAGAGATCAACCCCTGCCATGGTAATGGTAAATCTCTACTAAACTAAAAGACCATCAGAGAGGCTCTGGATTCGGGAGATCCGCAATGCAGCCACCACCCGTTTCCCAGCAGCGTGGCTTTGCTGCGCTCCACCCGCGAGCCGCGCGGAGCGACGCGCGTGTGACAGAAGCGTGACGTACCCGGCGAGAATGAGCGCAACGCGGGGCTCCCGTCGACGTGCCGCCCTGCGACTGTCACCGAGATCTGGTAGCGCCCAGCCCTCCGCACCGTGAACGCCGCCCTCAACGTGTTGCCCGACGTCACTTCCTGCGCTTCGCACTCCGCCGCCGCCACCGGCGCCGCCGCTGCAGTCTCCTCCCCCTCCTCCTCCTCCCCCTCCCGCTCCACCTCCTCGGATGCCGTGTCGGCTTCGTGAGCGGCCGAGAAGAAAGAGGCGGCCGACACGTCCTGCGCCAGCGGCACGTTCATGCCCAGGTCGCAGTGGCGCACCGACATGATGGGCATCGCCACCTGGTGCAGTGGGCACGGCTGCCCGTTCTTGTAGAACAGCTGTGGGAAGTGACAGAGAAGGGGGGGGTAACGCCGGAGTTACCCTCAAATCAAATCAACGGCACATGAGGCTCTGTGTTTTGGGATGCGCTTAGCGTCCAGGTTAGAGGCATTAAGGATAGGGTCATGGTTGTGTTTTATGGTTTTATCTGAGGAAGAGGGTTGTGGTTAGACTGAGGGTTGAGTGAGGGTTACGGATTAGTATTGAATCTTATGGTAATGACTAGGGTTAGGGCTAGGATTAAGGTTGGGGATCAGGTTAGGGTTAGGTTTAAAGTTACAGTTCGGGTTAAGGTATTGTCTTAGGGTTAAGGGTTTAGGGTCACGTTCAGCATTATGGCTAAGGTTAAGGTGAGGTTTATAATTATGGTTCGGGTTGAAGCTTTGTCTCTGCACTCGAGTGTTAGGAGTTGAGGTGACGGTGAAGGTTAGGCTGCTGCTCAACTGGTCACTTCTGAACAAACCGCCATATAGCTCAGTGGGCCTCACCTGGTCAAATAAAAAAATAGTTTAATTTTAGTTTAGGGTTGAGAGTCAGGATTAAGTTTCTGGATTGAGGCTACGGTTACGCTCGTGGTTCGGGCGAGGTAGTCGTGCCACCCAACCTGCAGGCTGAAAGTCATGGTGTGGCCCACGGGGTGGGGGTCGTCCCAATCACAGAGCAGGCGGCAGCTGCGCGGCTCCACGTAGTTGCCCCGCACGTAGTCGTAGAGGCTGCGCGCCTGCGGCGCCGGGTCCACCTCATCGCGCCGCCGCAGGAACGAGGAGAGGCGCAGGAAGAGCTCCCACGCCACGATCGCTGTCACCACCGTTGCCAGCACCACCGACACCCCCATGCCTGCACCGACCCGCAGCGGGAGAGGGGGGTGGCGAGAGGGCGAGGGGGTGGGGTGCGAGAGCGGGGGTACAGAAGGGTTGTCGTTAAAGTTAATAAGAATTAAAGTTGGGGTGAACATGAGTTGGGGGAGGCCTAAATCGTTACATGTGTAATGACAGGGTGACACCTGCTGGCCTGAAAGGGTCATTACGGTTAAAGCTGCATTACCTAACGCCTTATTATGAAGGGGCGTATCTGGAATAAAGGTGAAGGGCGGAGTCAGTCGAGAAGCTCCAGGAACCATCCCGAAGGGTCTAGAAGGTTCTAGAAAGGGGGCGTGGCCAGAGGGGGAGCTTGGCCACTCCAGGAGCACCGGACCAGAGCTTTGGGGCTGTTAGCGTGGGGTCTGGGTCCTGGTTACGTCACTGCCGTCGTCATCTCTTCGTCTTCGACCACGTGGCTGTTCTTCTGCGGGACCAGCTCCGTCGCCGCCGCTACGCTCGTCGAGCAGCCAGCGTAGCGCGGGACGGAGAGGGGCTGCGTGTTAGAACAGCCTGGGTGGAGCCGCGTCACGAAGTGTATCGCCCTGTGTGCTCTTAATAAATAAGAAGCCTTCCTACTAGACGTGTGTCGGAAGTTGCTCACTACACGTGTCTAATGATTGAGGTTAAAGCGTTAAGGCTAGTGTTAGGGGTTAGGGTTAGTCCTAGTGCTTGGGTTATGGGTAAGCATTTAGCTAGGATTAAGAATTAGCCTAGGATTCATGCTGATATAAGAAGTATGGGTACAGTTAGGCTAGTATTATAAACCTGGTCTAGTATTAGAGTTGAGTAAGGGGATATTAGGGTGACAATAAGTGCAAGTCTGAGTGCTCGTGCTATGAGTATGGGTGTTATGAGTGTTGGTGCCATGCGTATGGGCTTGGTCAGAGCTATAGTCATGACGAGGACTATGGCATAGTGGCAGCCTGTACACCCACCGGTCTCCCACGTCTCCCCCATGGCTCTGCGCACCCACTCCAGCGCCCGCTGCCACCTGCTCGCAGTTCGGCCGTTATCGCGACGACGGGCGGGCGTCCCGGGCGGACGCTCACGCCGGCGCCGCTCACCGCTTTCCCGCAGAGGCACCAAGGGTAGCGACAGCAGTGCGCTCAGCAGCGGCGGTGGCGCCAGCAGCCCTCGCAACCTGGGCACACAAACACACGTGGCGCGGGTGCGCGTTCACATCTATAGAAACACACATGCGGGCACAACAAAAAAAAACCGCCGCGAATCGCCACTAAAGCGGTGGCGACATCACCACGGCCCTTGTGCCACGCTAGGTGCACCTTGAGGCCATGTGAAGGTTGAAGTCTCACTGGCTGGCCACGAAACAGACACAGGAGCGAGAGGTTGACTGAGATGACTGGAAGTACCACCTTTGCTCCCCCGCTGTGCCGACTTTCTGCGTTTTAGCCGCCCGGCGACTTTAGAGTATTACTTTCTCCTGAACGAAGCTTCAAACCCACGTCGGAGATCCAGCACGCCCAGCCTGGTTTAATGGGCCGGCTTGACACGTTGTCTTCGTGGTGGCATTTTTACTCTTTGCCTTGCTCACAGCTCATCTGTGCATCGACGCACGCACGCACGCACGCACTCACAGCCATCGCGACACGCGCGGCTCGGCCAGCTCGCTCATGCGCGGCTGTCCTCACATCCGTGCGTGTTGCCAGCGTGGTCTGCTCGACTGCGGCTTCCAGATATGGCAGTTTTGCTTCCTCTCAGTCAAACTAACCACAAACTGATTTTTGCGTTTTGTTTGTTGTCCTTCCTCCCCGTACTTCCGATTAGCACAGTTGGCTACGTATGGCGTGAAAGAAGTTCAACAAATATTACTTATGTAGTGAGTTCAACCGAGTTGCAGACGTACTCTTGGAGGCAACGCATTTATTTAACACCAACACACGGTGTAACTGCCCCTTAACAGAATAACATCCTATAGTGGTGACCACCAGGCTAACTACACTAATTACAACGTCACTAGCTACTACGGACCGGAAACCACAGCTCGGGTCCAGGTCCACGTGTTGGAGACTCGGTAGAATGTGGAACGTAGACGAAGGTTGATTCAGGATGAATAACAACGCCGGTCCCTCTAGGGGACCCGGCTTATATCCTCTGCGGCGTGGCTGGCTCCACCCTTGGCCACGCCCATCTTCCAGAATCCTCGAGCAGGATCTGGACCCCGACCACATGACCACCCCGAGTCCCCACTTAGGGCCCCTTTGTAGACTTAACTGGTCACGTGTCCTCTCGGGTCAACCGGAGTGCCATGGCCTCTAATAACCTCATTCCTACCGCCGGCACAGCCGCATCCTATCCTGTAGGGCTGGCACTGCACGCCAAGCTGGTGCCATCGAGCGCTATCCATCAGCGCTCACCGAGCCCCTCTATGGCCGGTACTCCACCCACACCGCTGTGGTGTCCGCGGTGTCGTTACACCGCACGCCGTGCCTCCCGAGGGCCGGCACTACACAGTGGTATCCCGCGGTGTCACTACACTTACATTGACGTCTGCCTAGATGGATGCGCCACAACTCATTCGAGCGGTCCGTGTATTTTTCACACGACCTTTGTGTTATCCACCAAGACCTACCTCAAATGCTGGAGGTTAGGGGGTCCGTGTTACTCTCAGAACTAGCGCTAAGGTTTGAATTAGGTTGAGGATAAGCATTGCAGTTGATGATAGGGTAATAACAACACTACACTTGATGCAGCAAACCTGGCTGTGATGGTCCCACCTGATGACGGAGACTTGTGTTGCCTCCGAAACGTCGTGATTTTATTGTTTCATTTTTATTAATTTTAATTTCATTTTTTACCTACGTGACTTTACCGAAAGAACTAAGAGTATGAATCCTTGCAGTCACGAAAGCTTCAAATCTAGAATGCTATAAATTTCCACGTGATAAGCCACTTCGTTGCGCTATCATTTGTGGCCAGGTCGCTTCTGAAAAATAAGCTATTAGATCAGTGGGCTTTACTTGGTAAAACAAAAAAAATAGTTACATTTGATTTATATATATTTACGTTTTGGGAATTTACTTCACTTTCCTATACTTTGCACTATCACGTGTCTGTATTGTTTGTTGTTGTAACGTTCTGACCCGCCACGACTGGACATCTGTGAAAAAGAGCTTATAGCTCATCGGATTCTTCTGATATAAATAAATATTCTAATTCTGTAATGACAGCAAACCATCCTGTGGCCATGAGCTGTGATTTTAAAGGTGAATTGGCAGGCTTTAATTTACACAAGTAAATATTAACCGATGTACTGCCGTTGTCTGTTGCAAAAATGCAATAAAACCCACATCAAGTTGTTTCATAATTAACATCCAAGATTCACCAACAAAGCGGAAGATGTAAAGCCAAACAGTGCTAGTGATGAAACTGCGACAGAAGCCTCTGGTGGCGAGACGTCAACTTTGCAACAACTACGGGATCTGTCAAAAGCAGGAAACCTATGGCAGCAAAGAAGGAGATTGTGAGCAATAACAGCATTGGCCGTGATGACCGCACCATGACCTTAAACAACCGTGAGTTTTTATATATGTACAGTCATACCTCGGTATACGACTGTTTTGGAATACGTCGAATTTGGTACACGTCGTGTTTTGACGAGAAAAATATGTCTTGGGATACGACGTCTTGCTTGGGATACGACGCGCTTGCTAAAACTTGTATGGGTCGGGATGAGTCACCGCGTAAAGTATCCGCGTACACAATACTGTGACGGCTCTAACAAGCCGTAACAGTATTGTGTGGAATGACCAGACAATGTCACAGTTCAGGAACATTCTTAGAAGAAGGCAAAAACAAACTTCAACGGACAGGTTTTTAGTAAAACTCAAACCTGGTGAGCCTCAACCAGGTCCAAGTCAAGAAAAAGACAGAAAAGAGAAAGAGGAAAAAACCCTGAATTTCAGCTTCCTGAAGTTTTAATGGAAGGGGAGTCTCCTTCCAAAAAATAACTATCAACTCCTCTCAGCAAGGTAAAGTGACGTTACATTTTATTTTTATTTCCATTTATGTTAAATTATTTGTGCATTTATTTTCATTTATGTATACATTTGAGTAATAAGTAGTGTCTAAATTATTTTATACAACCCCATTAATGTATAATATGCTATATAAAATATAATTTCTTATACTCTGGGTATCTACGTCATTTTCGGTATAAGTCCGACCTTCTGGAACGAATTAACGACGTATACGAAGGTACCACTGTATGTTCAACTTCTTTCGCACCACATATAGATAACCGTGCTAATCGGGCGTGCGGGGGAAGGACAACCAACTAAACAATAAAATCAGCTCTAAATAAATTAGTTTTCAATCTTGATTTAAAAGTGCAAAGCTCGAGTGATAAGGTAATATCGGAAGGAAAGGCGATACAGTGATCGTCTTTGTTCAATGGCCAACCAATAAAGGATTGCATTTCACAAGAGTCACGTGGGTCTTATGCCCACCAACGCCACTGCATGCGAGTATGGACAACGTCGTGGTGCATGTTGCACAATACGTTACTAAATAGGTCAAGGGTATTCGCTCGCTCACTTTTGAAGCGCATTTATACGTTGTGTTTCATACGGATATAATCATTACTCTGTTTTGCTTTCTATGTTTTAGGTAATACAAGTCACTCTTGCAAAGAAGACCATCCGGATCTGTTGAGATCTCACCTGGTTAAACAAATAAACTTGACTTGACCTCTACATTTTTTTTGTGAATTTCTGTTTCCTCGAAGTAACACGAAACCCATTTGGTTTATTGTAGCCCTTTGGTCAAATTACGCCCGGAGCTTAAAGTGGCAGCACCGAGCCATTTGGGGATTCACCCCAATTGACTTGGGGTGGATGACTCTGATCTCGGTAAACCGCGATAAGATCGCACCTCGAACACCACTGCCCGCCTCTGGGAATGCCCCGCCAGCCTGGGACAGAGACCACCTGTCCGGTTGGAGATGGTAACGGGCGCTTGGCTACCAGGCGCAGAGAAATTCGAGCTCCAATGACACCTCGCATCGCAAAAACATGAAGAGCAGTCACGAGGCGGTGTCGCTGTCGACAGCCTCGCTGTTCTACAGAACTCGTCATTGCACATGAAGGCAGTGCTTCTCAACCTCTCTCATTCCACCGCACCGCTCACACTGTCAAGCTTGCCTGATCTTTGCGGCACGCCGAACCAAAACATCACCGTGGGCCCAGGTGTGCGAGTGGGAATGCATTGTAGCCGAGAGAGAATTCACGATACCTTGCTTAGACTAATCTCGCCGAGAAACAATGAAATCAAGTGGCACTGGCAAATTCCGGGTCAAGAATTTGCCCAACTGTGTGAGTGTGCATCTCCGTATATCTGTATATGCCTCCTGTGTCTCGGTGTGTGTCAGCGTTGTCGTGTCTCCGCGTGTGTCTCCATGTCGTGTCCGTTTGCCCACCTGCGCATGCACGACCGAGGGAGTCGTGAGGGCTGGGGGTGTGGGCTGATGGCCCCGTCTGCTGCCGTACTGCACCGCGACCAATGGAGAGGGGAGGTCAGGAGGTCAGGGGAGCTTGAGGTTCTTTCCTTCCCTATAATTCTGATAATAGCGCAGCACGCCTGGGACTTGCCACGGCACACCACACAGGTCGCGATGCACTGCGCTGAGGTATAAAGTGTCAAGCACTGTAAGAACAAAGGCCTCCGACACAGTGCCGGCCGAATGCTCGTGTGAGCGAGCAGGCAGACGTTGACATTAATGCCAGGCTACTCATCACTATATTAAAGCCGACTTTTCCAATAATCGTAACGATGCTGACATTCGTGATGAGGGCGCGGGTTACGAGCAAGCCCACCCCGCAGGCACGGTGACATCAGGTCAGCGATGAAAGGGCACGGGGTGTTCAAGACCAGCCCGTCGTTGCGATTGACTGAGGTCGCTGAGAAAATGTAGCTACACCTTTCTTCGCAAACACGGAGACTCGTAACGATAGCCATCACGTAGATACCAAAAAATAATGTATTCATTTACACGTAAGTTAATCTATTGATTTATTCATTTACGGAATTTGTGTGAAGTGGATACGCCTCATAATGGCTGTGTCAAAGCACTGAGTCTGCACAACTAAGATTCTGCGTTTTCCAACACAGGTCTGGGTCGCCTGTGCTTAAACCGGGTTTGCAAGTAAATCGCGTTGATGATGTCAGCTGGGTACAAGAATGCGGTGCGTCAGGGTTCAACACTTAACGCAGTTATGAGTGTGAATGGTTGTAAGCGCATACAACTGACATTCCGTAGAACTTCTAGATTTGAAGCTTTCGTGACTGCAAGGATTCATACTCTTAGTTCTTTCGGTAAAGTCACGTAGGTAAAAAATGAAATTAAAATGAATAAAAATACGTGACTTTACCGAAAGAACTAAGAGTATATTCCGTGGAACATCTTTTTAAAAAATAGAGGTGCCAAATATAGTGGTGTGTGAGAGAGGCGGCTAAGCCTGTTGTAAGACATAAAATAAAACAAGAGCCTATGGGTATTCGAAAGCAATATTTTGCAAAGAACCATTTGTTTTCTAAAAGACAACACACACGTCAGTGGCCCTAAATCTGTGGAGACAATTCCACGTTTCTATGGCAGAAGCCAGTCTTTCCTTGGAAAGACTTTCCAGAGAGAGTGAAACCCATTTGATCAACGCAATATCGATGACGATGATGAATGAGTCAACATGCAGCCTGGATTCTTGGACTCACAATTCGGGAATGTTTTGCTTGCAACTTCCTGCTTTAGAAATGATGTGCCTCCAGTTACTCTCCATTGGACATACGAAAGAAAACACCATCATCACCGCAGCCCCACTCACGTGAAACATCAACAACACATCCGCGAATGCTGCCGACCACAGCTTTAACACCAAGTAATTCTTTCCGGGGCAGTTTAAACCCAAAGCGAGCTCGCCGCAGTTACATCTGTCCAAGGAAAAACACATGGCTAGAGAAGCACTGCATCCCGTGAATTATTAATTAGGGGTAAACCCCTACAATTTACTCTGCACTCTGGCACTCAGGGGGCATGATCCAGCAAACAATGTCATACAATCCCTAAGATTCACACACGTCAAGTAGCAGCCAGTCAACCGAAAGACAAAGTTAGGGCACCTGCATCTGAAAATGAAGGGTTCGAATACTGGTCTGTTGGGGCTTGACCATCAGTATCATCCCCGCAGGGTGACGTGAGATGAGTCCCACTTTGTGGGAAGTCAACTGCGGTCATCCCACGGGTGACATTGTTTGCTTGCCCGTAAACATTTCCTGGAAACAATGTTTTGTGAGTGTGACATATTTCTCCATTGACTCCAGGTCACAGAAATGTAGGAGTACAATACTCTGACATTACAGCATGTTTAGTTTATAAGGAGGACTTTATGAGCTGGTTTCAACTTCATCGAGTTGCATCGGCTACGTGTGGCCCACTGAGTACAAGTATATGTGAGGGATTCTCCTGGCACCATACAGGTTCTGAGAGCTACTTGACAATATTTCACCACAAAGCCAGCCCGGGTTGTTTACCGCGGGGAGCATAGACGTTGCAGCAAAGATGGATATGGCCCAATCCCATGAACGTATTCACAGTTTGGATTGTCGATAAATGGGGTACACGTTCTCTCATCCACGTCTTCCTCTTTCTGTCTCCCAGTGTAATCCCAAGCATGTCACTGCAGACAACACTCCCTCATTAACATAGCAGTCCTTCCACATACAATAGTGTTTTTACACATCCCATCAGCAACACTGCCTGCTGGGACTGTAAGGCCGTGTGACCGATGAGATGTGTGTAAAAACGATGTTTTATTCATACCTTGAGACAGTGATATGAACGAGACGTATTGTCCGCTTATTCACAATGTTACTGATATTCTTCACACCAATGAATTATTCTGGACTTTTCGGCAGCAGAGGCAAGTCACCCGTGGACATTCGAAGCAGCGCATAGCAACAACAGCTTTAAACATTACGTTTCCTCCGCCGATCCAACAAATTACTGCCGCAATTCACTAAGAGGATTTGCCAATTCGCTTTACACAGCTCAAAGGAAAATCCACAGCCAAGTTTGGAATCAATACAATGAACAACCACCGAACAAAACACCGGCATGTACACGTACGTCGCATTTGATTTACACCGCGCGTACGCAACCCTGCTAATCGGATGTGTGGGTCGGTGGGGGGGCAAATGCACGCTGGCTGCAAAATACATTTAAGCAACCATGTAACTTACACATTGTATGCGGTTTCAGACAAAGTGGTGGGCATCGGCCTCAGCTGTGAAAGCCACTGCAGGGATGAGCAGGACCCCCCCAACCTCCTCCCCACGCCGTGTCGCGGTAACCGGTGTCACTTGACCATACTTCACCACGCTGGTGAGTGCCGGGACAGGTGAGAGGCAGCGAAGGCTAGACGGCGGTGGGGGGGGGGGCAGAGGGGGTGGCATAGAAGTGCAATACAACAACGTGCTGTACATGAACGCAGCGGTCAAACATGATGCGAATCGAGCGAGTTATTGTTTGTGAATCGTGAGGATGTTGCTGCTTTTCGGGCAGACTCTCGCCATCATACAGCAGAGGGTGACATTCACCGGGGAGAGACGGAGCGGCGGTGATGAGTGAACTCACAGAGAGAGTGGACCAGAGGTGGTGGACCAGAGGTGGCGGACCAGATGCGGACGGGAAGATTGGCAGGGTGGCCAGCACGGGCAGGAGGAGGAAAGGTGCTGGCGAGGGAGGAGGAGGCACGCACCGCAAAACTCCCGGAGCAGAAGTGAAAGCGGAAAGGGCAAGACGCAAGGAGGGCCGGGGGAGGGGGGTAGGAGTGAGTGTGTGTGTGTTAGTGTGAGACTGTGTGTGTGTCAGTGTGAGACTAGGGGTGTGTGTGTGTCAGTGAGACTAGGAGTGTGTGAGCATGGAGTGTGTGTGTTAGTGAAAGACTAGGTGTGTGTGTGTGTGAGTGAAACACTAGGGGTGTGTATGTGTCAATGTGAGACTAGGAGTGTGTGTCAGTGTGAGACTGGGAGTGTGTGTGTGTATGTGTCAGTGTGAGACTGTGTGTGTGTCAGTGTGAGACTGGGAGTGTGTGTGTCAATGAAAGACTAGGGGTGTGTGTGTGTCAGTGAGACTAGGAGTGTGTGTCAGTGTGAGACTGAGAGTGTGTGTGTGTATGTGTCAGTGTGAGACTGTGTGTGTGTCAGTGTGAGACTGGGAGTGTGTGTGTCAGTGAAAGACTAGGGGTGTGTGTGTGTCAATGAAAGACTAGGAGTGTGTGTCAGTGTGAGACTGGGAGTGTGTGTGTGTATGTGTCAGTGTGAGACTGTGTGTGTGTCAGTGTGAGACTGGGAGTGTGTGTGTCAATGAAAGACTAGGGGTGTGTGTGTGTCAGTGAGACTAGGAGTGTGTGTCAGTGTGAGACTGAGAGTGTGTGTGTCAGTGAAACACTAGGGTTGCGTGAGCATGGAGTGTGTGTCAGTGAAACACTAGGGGTGTATGTGTGTGTCAGTGAGAGACTATGAGTGTATGGGAAGGAGTGAGACTAACAAAGTGTGTGAGGCTAGGAGCGCAAGAGTGAGACTTATGAATGTGTGAGGTTTGGAGTGTGAGTGTAGGAGTGAGACGAGGGGATTGCGTGAGACGAGGGGGTGTGGGGGTTAAGACAAGAAGTGTGTGAGGCTTCTCATGTTTACCTGCCTTGTTCAGCTCCCTCTATTCGCCTGGATGAACCTTCACTGGTGTTCGTGTGGACACATCGACTCGCGCCGACGTGACTCGATGCGTGCTATAATGTACTAGCGCCAAGTACCCGGCGTTACCCGGGCGAAAGAGACAGACACACACACACCGACTTACACACAGACATCGACACACACACATAGAAACACATGGACTTACACGCACACACACATATGGACTCACACACAGACATCGACTTTAGACACACACACACACACATGTAGTCACACACACAAATCGACTCACACACACACCGACTTACACACAGACATCGACACACACAAATAGAAACACATCGACTTACACGCACACACACACATATAGACTCACACACACAGAAATTGACTTTAGACACACACACACACATGTAGTCACACACACAAATCGACTGGCACACACACATAGACTTACACACAGACATCGACCCACACACATAGAAACACATCGACTTAGACGCACACAGACATGTAGTCACACACAAAAATCGACTCACTCACACACACACATAGAATTACACATATCGACTCACACAAACAATGACCTACACACACATTGACCTACACACACATTGACCTACACACACACATATGGAGCTTAACGTCCCCTAGCGGGGACGATGCACTCACTTGAACCTTGAACTCCGTGGGACCAGCAGCAGCACCCAAGTGGGTGACTACCTGCCCACTTTGGGGGGTGACGAGGTAAGTGGCCTGTGGCCTCAGTGGGTGACTATCTGGTTGACGAGCTGGTTGTATTTCTGGTTCACCGAGTGACTGCCGGATTGACAACCAAGCACTTGCCCGACTTGCCTATCCAGCTGAACTATTTTTCAGTTTTCAGTTTCATTTATTAGGTATGGCTCTGTGAGCCATTCGGCTCTTGAATCGGGTGCAACCGCAACAACCAAAAAACAAAAACGAGAACAAGAAAACATCTTAAAGTGACTATGCGCAAACAGAAAAAATCTGCAAAATCTTTCAGAAAAAAGCACCGTACACCAACGCACTCTACAAAAATCCCAGTGGGATGCAAGTCAAACAACAACAACCACAAGACAACTTAGATTAAAGCCATCAGTCTATTTAGCCAGCCTACCAATTGACGTGGCTATCTGCCTGTTTGAATGTCGGCACGACCACGTCCCTGACCACATTGACCGACTCCTCTCTGAATGTCATCGCTTCACTGACCCCATGACCAAATTTGCCCGGCGACTTGCGAGAAAGACTTCAGTCTCAGATACAACATGCACATGCAACATACATACAACATACACATACATACACATACAACATACAGATACAACATGCACATGCAACATACACATACAACATACACATACAACATTTATACAACATACACATACAACATACACATACAACATACACACACATTCTAGATTTGAAGCTTTCGTGACTGCAAGGATTCATATTCTTAGGTTTTTTTCGGTAAAGTCACGTAGGTAAAAAATTTAGATTAATAAAAGGAAAAGATTGAATCAGACGCCATGCAGACATCCACCCTGCGTCCTTCCCTGTGGAAGAGGTATGTGGATGACACTTTCGTCATCTGGCCACATGGCCTCCCAGCATTGAACCACTTCTTGGACTACATCAATTCCAGACACCCATCCATCAGATTCACCATGGAAGTGGAGAAAGACGGTAAACTACCATTCTTGGATATTCTGTTTGAGAGGAAACCTGACGGATCCTTGGGACATTCTGTCTACAGGAAAGCCACCCACACAGATTCCTACTTGAAACCGGATTCCCACCACCACCCATCTCAAGAGAATTCTCTCATCAAAACGCTACACCACAGAGCCCATGGCATTTCTGACCAACACCACCTGGCCGGTGAATTAAGACATGTACATCGGGCCCTCAGGATGAACGGATACTCTGACCGCACTATCCGCCAAGCTGTTTCTCCCACCACACAGAAACAGCCACATGAAACTCCGACCAAAACCATCACGTTACCATACATAGCAGGCGTGACCAAAAAGATCTCCAAAATTCTAAACAAACATAAGATCCAAGTCCGATTCAGTACAGTGCATAAAATCCGTGATCTGATTCCATCTGTGAAGGATGTCGTTCCTGACTTACAGTATCCTGGAGTCTACAAATTGAGTTGCATTTGTGGTGATTGCTACATTGGAGAAACGAAACGTTCTGTTGCTGATCGTGTCCGCGAGCACAAGTCAGATCTGAAACACGGCAGAACTGAATCTTCGGCTGTTGCCGATCATTGCTACAACTCGGTGGGCTCTCATGAAATTGTCTTTTCCGAGACCAAGGTGCTCTGCAAACCTCCTGGCTACCATCAAAGGTTTGTACACGAAGCCATACAAATATACAAACACAGACATAATTTCAACCGTGATGAGGGTTACAAACTGAGTAATCATTGGAAAGATGTGATTAACTATGCAAAAAAGATGTAACTACACTTATTTGGACCATCTTATTTGACAGACAACTATTACAGGTTATTGATAGACAGCCAGTTTGTTGTTTTACCAGTTTTAGTTTTTACTTGCTTTCTTTTTTCACACTTTTGTTATGTATGCTAGGTGTTAGTTACAAACCGCACCTCTCCATTACAAAGGCTCAGTCCTTTGTTATGCAGTCTATTCTTAGTCTTAAGCCTCACCTTACCATATTAATAAAAAGTGTGCCGTTCCTGGCCCTTCCCCCCTCAACCATTATATATACGGGGTAGTATTTCTTGTGATGTCTCATTTACTTGATACAGCTGTCGTGGCTGTGACGGTTCCTCCTGAAGACGGAGGCTTGTGTTGCCTCCGAAACGTCGTGATTTTTTATTTTGTTTTATTTTACTTTTATTAATTTAAAAATTTTACCTACGTGACTTTACCGAAAAAACCTAAGAATATACATACACATACAACATACACACAGAGACGTAAGTCATATTCAAGTAAACACACACAAAACACTTTGTGTGTATAGTTTGTTATCCTTACACCTCTACACCTCCGATTGGCACGGTTGGCTACTTACGATGCGAACAAAGTTCAACGAACAAACATTCGACAACGTTAGCAAGTGACATTCGCCACTAAGCGACGTCCCTAGAGTGCCCGTGCCAGGCTAGGTGCCCTTAGTTCTGGCTTGAAGACGCGCGACTTTTGACAACTTTGACGTTCTGAATGATCCTCGTTACTTTGAGGCCACGAGAGACGTCAAGGGCTCGCTGTCAGGCCAGATCAGATGTCTGTGTGTGTGTGTGTCATGGGTGAACCGAGACGAATGTACTCTCACAAAGACATGGAGTGACCCACTCTCTGATACGGAATAGCCGGCGCACAGACGCAGGGCACTATTCATCCCTGGACCGGTCATTGAAAGCAGTGGCGGTCGTGAATGACAGCAGAGAGAAGCCCCTCCACACCACCACCACCACCCCCCCACGTCAAACAACAACAACAGCATCGTCAGCCTTTCACTGGTCATCTCCCATTGCTGCCGAGAGCAGCCACCGCATTGCAGGTGCGTGTGTGCACGTGTGTGCGCGTGCGCACGTGGGTGCGTGTGGGTGCGTGGGTGCACGTGGGTGCGTGTGTGCACGTGGGTGCGTGGGTGCGTGTGCGCACGTGGGTTCGTGTGCACGTGGGTGCGTGGGTGCGTGTGCACGTGGGTGCGTGTGCACGTGGGTGCGTGTGTGCACGTGGGTGCGTGGGTGCGTGTGCGCACGTGTGTGCACGTGGGTGCGTGTGTGCACGTGGGTGCGTGTGTGCACGTGGGTGCGTGGGTGCGTGTGCGCACGTGGGTGCGTGTGCGCACGTGGGTGCGTGTGCACGTGGGTGCGTGGGTGCGTGTGCACGTGGGTGCGTGTGTGCACGTGGGTGCGTGTGTGCACGTGGGTGCGTGGGTGCGTGTGCGCACGTGTGTGCACGTGGGTGCGTGTGCACGTGGGTGCGTGTGTGCACGTATGTGCACGTGGGTGCGTGTGTGCACGTGGGTGCGTGTGCGCGTGTGTGCACGTGTGTGCGTGTGTGCACGTGGGTGCGTGTGCACGTAAACGTGGATCTGGGCTCACCTCCAATGCACTCGCATGCCCCTACAGCCTCGCCACGAGCCACGAGCTGCTGGACATCCCACGGGGTACCGCTGCTGCTGCTACTGCTGCTATCACTGCTGCTGCTACCACTGCTGCTGTTACTGCTGCTATCACCGCTGCTACTAGCACAGGGCACGCGTTGACAGGGCCACAGCAGCCGGGGCGAGGGCTGCGCGGCGTGATACTCGAGCAGACCGCGGGACCCCGGGCGCTGCGGCCACTCCTCCCGTGGTGGGGGGTGGGTGGTGGGGGGGGGGTGGTGGGGGGGGGGTGGGGGGAGGTGGTGGTGGGGGTGGTGGGGGTGGGGTGGTGGGGGGTGGTGGGGGGTGGGGGAGGTGGTGGTGGGGTGGGTGGGGGGAGGTGGTGGTGGGGGTGGGTGGGGGGAGGTGGTGGTGGGGGTGGGTGGGGGGAGGTGGTGGTGGGGGTGGGTGGGGGGAGGTGGTGGTGGGGGTGGGGGGGGAGGTGGTGGTGGGGGTGGGTGGGGGGGTGATGGGGGGGTGGTGGTGGTGGGGTGGTGGGGGGATGGATGGGGGTGGTGGGGGGGTGATGGGGGAGTGGTGGTGGGGGGTGGAGGTGGGGGTGGAGCTGGGGGGGTGGTGGAGGTGGGGGGTGGTGGAGGGGGTGGTGGGGGGGTCGTGGTGGGTGGGGGGGTAGAGGTGGAGGGAGGGGGTCGTGGTGGGTGGAGGTGGTGGTGGGGGGGGAGTGGTGGGGGGGAGTAGTGGGGGGGGGCGCACATGGGGTGCCTCTGATTGGTCAGTAGCGTCGCGCGTCGGCAACGGGCTCTCGCGTGGTTGGTCATTGAGGGACACGCCCACGCGGGTCGAAGGTCAATCGGTTATTGACATCACGTGACAAACTCCACAGCAATTCCTCTTCCGGAAGATAACTTCTGAGTTAGGAATGTGAAGAACTGAACGAGAATTAATCTGCCGGAAGTAATCTTCTGAATTAGGAATACAACCAACTGAACTATATTTCGTCTTCCGGAAGTTATCTTCTGAGTTAGGAATGCGACCAACTGAACAAGAATTAGTCTTCCGGAAGATATCTTCTGAGTTAGGAATGAGACCAAACGAACGAGAATTCCTCTTCCGGAAGACGCCTTCCAGAATCGGTGGCGGTAAACTCCCGCGCCCCACGTGACCTGTGCCCCACCCCCTTCCCGCTGTAGCCGGAAGTGCAGTAGCCGGAAGTGGAGGGTTAAAGGTCGCGGCAGAGGCTCTCTGGGAAGGTGGAGGAGACCGCACGTGGACATCGTCGCCAGCGGGGAGAATGGTGACCCACTCCGCGCGCACCGCTTTCTTTACTCGCTGCTCAATGAACGCCGCGTCACCGTTTTGTTCGGACATACTTCACCACGCCGGTCATCGGCAGGGCAGGGCGGGGGACCGCTTCAGATCTCGTTCGCCGCTGGTCGTGGCCGCGGCCTGGTTCACTGCGCGGCGCATTGAACCGCTGCGGTGGTGAATGATTTGAGAGCACCGATTATTGTGTGTCATTTAGCCTTGCTCAATCCACTGATGGATGAAGGGCCTCGCCAAGCTGTCATCTCGAAATATCTCGCGATTTTAATTGAGCAATTGTGGGAAGCAATAAGCGGCTTCCATCGTAATGTGGCCACGGACTCGCCCCCACCCCTTGGCTCGTTTCGAGAGTGTGGGGGGGGGGTGGAGGTAAAGGTCGCAACCGGGTACCTGATACCCGTATCCTACCCGATACCCGGCTACCCTACCCGATACCCGGCTACCCTACCCGATACCCGGCTACCCTACCCGATACCCGGCTACCCGTACCCATTTGCGACCCTGGTGTGGCCGGGTACGGGTAAGGAATCAAAACCCGTTTGCGACCTCTGGTGTGTGGAGGGGGGGGGGGGGTAGACGCCGACGCGGTGTGAGAGAGCGAGTTCAGGGTGACGCTTGTCATTCCCCGCGTTTGGCGTAGCGTTGGTCACCCGCTGCTGTTGTCTGTCACCGTTCCCAGGGCAAGGCTAAGAAGACCAAGAAGTTCGCGACGATGAAGCGCATGATCAACCTGCGGGACGAGCGCCTGTACGTGGTTCAAGCAAACACCGCGACGTCGAGCTTCGCGCAGTAGCCATGCTGCATCGTTCGCCTTGCTGAACCTCTTCTCGATGAAAACTCTGTTAGACGTGGCGAGATGTTATCTCCCTCGCCTTGTATGCAAGGAGGTCGTGGGTTCGATCCCGACCCTCTCCTGTATATTTGGAGTTTGCGTGTATCTCTGTCCGTGGTCGCGTGTATTTTTTCTCCAGGTCCTCCGGGTTTTCCCTCCACATTTCAAATCAACGTGCATTTCGAGTATTTGGCTGCAATACATTTCCACGTGATAACCCACTATGGTGGCCAGACCGCTTCTGAAAGAGCTACATAGCTCAGTGGGCCTTACCTGGTATAATACAAAATCTTTTAAGATATCGGCAAAATACAGTAGATGCTAATAACCTATTACCAAAGTCACGTCATTTAGAGTAAAATTACCAATTAACTACACCGTGTAGTTTACATATTACTCATTAAATTACATTTAAATCGCATGTAAAGCTTAAACTCGGGCCAACAGTCCACGTAGGCGACACGGGAGACCGTGGTCTTTATGTGCACGCTGGTCAAGAATAGTTTTTACCCTTTCCGGCAATAATAAAACAGGAGGTGTTAAGATGTTAAAACACCAAATTGAAACCTTTTGCAAGGAGTCATGGCTGCATTAACCACATATACTTGTGGTAAACATGCAAACAAAAATACATGCTCTGATAGTGTATGCATTGTCCACACCAGAGACAGCTTTCTTTAGAGCCTAGTCTCAAAGTGTTAGCCTAGAGGACGCCAAAAGGCAAACAGCACAAAGACCATGCACTGGTCTAACACCGTTTGAGACGAAGAAAGCAGTCTCTGGTGTGGCCCAATCAGTTTCAAAGACAATGCATCATCATATACTACCAGAGCATGTTTTGTTTGCATATCCACCACAACTACCATGCGTGGTTAATGGAATAACATGATTTCTTGCCAAATGTATCTATTTTGTGTTTTAACGCCTTGTTTTATTGCCAGAAAGGGTAAACCCTTTTCTTATATTGTGATACTGGCAAGAGAGGTCCCATGACGTTGTTTTTGTCACTTTTCTGCAGGAAAGCCAAGGACCGGGTGAAGCCGAAGGAGATGAAAAAGAAGAAGGACCTGAATGCCATTAAGGAGGTGGACGCGTGAGTCGACCTTTGTCCCCCGTTCACCCTGCGAGCCGCTGGACGCGAGGAGATTATGAAGTTGTATTTACTGTCCTTGGGGCCGACCGTGATATTGGAAATTGTCTCGCGCCGTGTCCCCCCTGGGTCTGGACTGCAGGCCCCAGTACCCGTCGTGTCTGTTCTTCCAGTACAACACCCAGCTGGGTCCCCCCTACTATGTACTCGTCGACACCAACTTCATCAACTTCTCCATCAAAGCCAAGCTCGACGTCATGCAGTCAATGATGGACTGCCTCTACGCCAAGTGTACGACACCTTGTGTTTGCGTGTGGGTGTCTTGTGTGCGAGTTTGTGCGCACGCGGTTTGTGTGTTTAGTGGTTGTGGTGGTGTAATGGTTTTGGCACTGCGCTACAATTTCCGACGACCTGCGTTTTGATTTCTGGTCACGGTTTATATCAGTGGAAAGTGACATCTGAACCAGTCCTGGACCTCCACAGGTTGAGTGTGTGTGTAAATCCGCACAAGTGTCATGTTTAGCATGCTGTGCTATGAACCCAGCAACCTGAGTTGGATTCCCGCTCAAGACCAACACCAGTAATGATTATCTAAACCGGTCCTGGGCCTCCCATAGGTTGACTTGGCTTCAAATTGGTACCTGGTGCAGTGTATAAACATCACCACTTGGGAGACAAAGGCGGCCGGTGGCGTGGTGCTGGCCACCCACTCCCGAGTATGCCATGCCAACCTTCATAGGTGCTTGCGAACAGCACTTGCCCTAACAGTATGTTCAGGCCATATGGGGGGGATCTTTGTCTCGCTTGGAGAGTTTTATTGGGCTAATTGGGAGCTGTGTGTTCAGTGCTGGTGCATGTGGTTTGACACGTGTGCATTTTGCTTGGACTTGGCAGGTGTTCCTTGCATCACCGACTGCGTCATGGCCGAGCTGGAGATGCTGGGACTCAAATACAGAGTGGCGCTCAGGTGGGCCAAGCTCCCGACTCGCACACCTCAAAACGTTACCGTATTTTCCTGCAAATAGCCCGTAGACGCATATAACCCACAGACGCATATCCCCCACAAAAATTGCGTAAAACTAATTTCAGATAGCCTGCACCTCCACATACCCCGCATGCATAAATATCTTTAACGTCGTTACTGCAGCTTAATTCCATCATATTAATACGAAGTTTACATTTGTAATACATTTCACTATCAATTGTTAACATTAAAATCATAACGTGCACAAAGAAAACAAACTAACCGGAAACGAGTGAACTTAAAACAGTAAATAAGTAAAGGTAAATATCCATTAAGTAACACATAACTGGTAGATAAGTAAGTCAGTTTTAGCACTTGTAGATTGCGCACTGCGCATACAATAGCGGCACTACGGTAACACCGTTGCCTCCCCCCCCAACCCCCCACCTCTCGCCGGTAAACAAAGTGCGCCCACTTCAAACATTGTCGTTTCATTGTACAATCAATTCGAATAATTTAAAACGTGATAACATGTGCAATTTTAGTGTGAGTGGTTTATTCAGCAGTGCCTTAGTCAAAGGTAAGTGTTGCAGAGTAGATAGTCCTACCTTAGAAAAACATAAACGAGTTATGACATGTCACACGTGCAAAATATTTTTGGGATAGCCCGCACCTCCATATACCCCGCAGGGTCTTGTTTTGTTTGGAAAAAGTGGTCTACCCCGCGGGTTATATGCGGGAAAATACGGTGGGGCCGCATAGCGTTGAGGAACGAACCCAGCGACGTGAGTTTGATTCCTGTGTGCGTGCACGTGCGTGGCATAGCTGTACATGTGCACGGTGCCTCTGCATGAGTGCACATGCATCAGTGTGTGGTTACTCAGAATCAGAATATTTATACTCGAGGAATCCGATGAGCTGTAAAGCTCTTTTTCATAGATGTCCAGTAGAGGCGGTTAAGGAACGTTACAACAGACAATACAAATACGTGATAGCAGTGCAAAGTATAGGAAAGGTAAACCAATCACTTCAAAATATAAAAAAACATCAATTTTCATCTTGCAAGATAAAGCCCAGAGGTATTAGCTTATTTTTCAAAAGCGACCTGGCCACAAATGATGGTTCAACAAAGTGGCTTATCACCTGGGTCTGTTCCGTGACCTCCTCCCGGCGGGCCTTCAACACCTAATGTGGCCTCAAAGTGCACCTAGTATGACACCAGCGCCATGGTGACATCACCGCTACTTAGTGGTGAACGGTGGTTGTTGGTTCATACGTGTCCGCGGTGCGTGCTCATGTGCATGTGCTTATGTGCGTGCATCATTGTGTGTGTGCTCATGTGCGTGTGCTCATGTGCGTGTGCTTATGTGCGTGCATCATGTGCGTGTGCTCATGTGCGTGTGCTCATGCGCGTGCATCATTGTGTATGTGCTCATGTGCGTGTGCTCATGTGCGTGCATCATTGTGTATGTGCTCGTGCGTGTGCTCATGTGCGTGTGCTTATGTGCGTGCATCAGTGTATGTGCTCATGTGCGTGTGCTCATGTGCGTGTGCTCATGTGCGTGTGCTCATGTGCGTGTGCTCATGTGCGTGCATCATTGTGTATGTGCTCGTGTGCGTGCATCATTGTGTATGTGCTCGTGTGCGTGCATCATTGTGTATGTGCTCATGTGCGTGCATCATTGTGTATGTGCTCGTGCGTGTGCTCATGTGCGTGTGCTCATGTGCGTGCATCATTGTGTATGTGCGTGTGTGCAGGATCGCTAAGGATCCTCGCTTCGAGCGGCTGCCCTGCTCACACAAGGGCACCTACGCAGACGACTGCCTCGTGCAGAGAGTCACACAGGTACACACGGGCGTGCGTGCTTGTGGACATGCAAGGGGATACACAGAGTACACAGGGCATACATAGGGGTCACCTAGGTTTTTTTACAGGAGGATATAGGGGTCAAAGGTGTATATATTTTCACAGGGATACGCAGGCGACATGGGTACATTGGGGATGCAGGTTAATTGGGAACACGGTTAAGTAGGGTTATAGGTACCCAGAGATTGAACACATTCCTGCGGAGGGAGCTGGTAGGAACGTTGGGTTGCTCGGTCAATGGCCAGGGTCAACGGCGGCGTGGTGCATTCCGCAAATATGCCCGACTGTGAGGGCGGGCACAAGCCGGCGTGAGTAGGTTAAACGTTGAGTTTTATAAGGGCACCATGGGGTGACCAGCCCCTCCCCACCCAGCCCCACCCTTCCCACCCCCCACCCAGCCCCACCCAGCCCCACCCTCCCCACCCAGCCCCTCCCCACCCTCCCCACCCAGCCCCTCCCCACCCAGCCCCTCCCCACCCTCCCCACCTGGCCCCTCCCCACCCGGCCCCTCCCCACCCTCCCCTCTCCACCCCTCACATTTTTGGATGCACGATGGACGGATGGACACAATAATCCCCTGTGGGCTGGTGTAACCAGGAGGTTCCTACCAGTAAAAGGGTTCATAGGGGACATGAGAGTGCAAAGAGCATCATCAGAGGTATTTAGGGGTGCATAAGGATCAGGAGTACATCTGTGCTGTCGACTGCCACCTGCCCCAGTCCAGGCAAGATAACTTTCTCTGCTCTTCCAAATGAGTATCTCATCATCACGGTCCATGGGCAGCTTGCCCGTAGGTGTCCACTGCACATTTCGTTATTTGTAAACACTTTCATCTGTCTTGTGTGAATGTGCTCACGCAGTGCCACATCTTTCTGGCACCAATCTCTGATGTCGTTAAGCTATTCATTTTCTGTTCGGACTTAACTCTTTTGTCTGGTTCCTTCGATTTTTTTTTTACGTGACAACCCATACGAGTTGGCCGTTTCGGGTGGTGGCGGGTTTTAACAACACATTTATATATTTACACGATCTAACCCAAATAAATAAGTAATATTTAAAAATACTTTTTTTAAACACGCTTTAATGAAATGTACCGTATGAGTAATGGCAGACTTGCCACAACGCAAGGGGCCGTGGTGATTTACAGCCAATGTGGACAATTAGACCCAAGCCGAAACATAACATAAAAAAGATTGTTTAAAAAAAATATATTTTTTATTTTTAATGATAGAATATAGTATTGTCACCAGTATGACATACGTATACCAAGTTTGCAGTCGATACGACATTGGGAAGTGGGTTAAAATTGAGGTACAAGATTTGAGGATATAACAGACAGAGTTGAGGATACGACAACAGACAGAGTGAGTTTATCAAAAGCGTGTAAAACAATGTTTTAAAATGTTTTTATGATAGAATATAGTCTTGTCATCAGTATGACATACGTATACCAAGTTTGCAGTCGATAGCACATTGGGAAGTGGGTAAAAATTGAGTTACAAGATTTTTTGAGGATACAACAACAGAGTATAAGTTAAATAAAAAAGCGTGTAAAAAAAACCTCTATCCTCCTTTCCCCAAAATCAACATTCCATTTGCTGTACTGCCACCTATTGGCCAGCTTGCAGCCCAGCAGGCTTGGGAGTTTCACAGATCTGCACGATCCAGCGTGCCTGATTGTAGATGCTGGAGTTGTGATAGCGATGCGATGGTTATGCAGATTCTTTGCTCCACTGCGTGGTGGTGGCGGTGCTGCTGGATACGAATGTGAGGGGTTTGTGTCTGCACGTGTCTCTGTCTCTCTGCAGCACAAGTGCTACATCGTGGCAACAGTCGACCGTGAACTGAAGAGGCGAATCCGCAAAGTCCCTGGAGTCCCCATCATGTACATCTCCAACCACCGGTGAGTGACGGCGCACACAGTGTGCACCACAACAACAACAACCGCCATTCGCCACTAAGTGGCGGTGACATCACCACGACGCTTGTGCCAGGCCATGTGCACCTTGAGGCCACGTGAAGTGTCGAACGCCCCCTGGAAGGAGATCACGGGGCAGACCCAGCAGGTGCTACGGGTCGACTGAGATGACTGGCTGATGCACCACCTGTGCCCCCTACTGTGCCACCACTACACGCACACACACAACCCCCCATGATACATGTGTACACACACACTATTCTACACCAATCACCATACACCCCCACTATTCAACACACCACCGTGCACCCACCACACTTTGCACCATGCCATGTCACACTACAGACACCATATGCATGCTTTAATCTACTACATTGTCCACAAACTGCCCGCCAACACTTATACACACACACACATTTAGAAACATGCGTTTAGAGAATTTGGCCGCTGTACATTTCTACATCAGGCACTGTTTTAGCTATAATTTGTGGCCAGGTAATTTCTGAAAGAGCTGTATAGCTCAGAGCCTGACTTGGTAAAATAACAAAAAGGTTTTGTTTATTTGACACACGCGTGCACACACCACTACACATGGACACTCACCGAAACGTGGTGCCGTTCTGACCTCTGGGCAGTGGCGACGCTGCCACACTGGTCACCACCCAGCTTGATGGGCCCTGTGCACACTCTGCAGGTCACGCGTAACCCCCCCTTTTAGGGTCACCTTTTAGCGTCACCGCACCTGCACATGGCTCCGGGTGAGCGGAAGTGACATTCGAGAAGCTGGGACAGCGAGCAAGTTGCTGTGTTGCCGTTGACTTTGCACACAGGAAGCTGCTGAATGGTTTGCCCGTGCAAGCCTTGATGCTCATTATCCACTCCCTCACCCTCCCCGTCCCTCCCCCACCTCTGCCCAGGTACAACATCGAGCGCATGCCAGATGATTTCGGAGCACCCAGGTTCTGAGATGCTGTGCCCTTTCCGCTCTCTTCCTCTCGCGTCGCGGATTCAAACCAATCTTACCCTGTCCCGGTGTACCCTGAGTATAACTGGATCTATAAAGTCCGTGCATGACCTGGCATAGGAGTTGTGCTAAGAATGACGAAGGGTGATTGTTCAGTTGAAAGTATTTTATTGTATAGGGTCGAGCAAATTTCTTTTCCTAGTGGTGAATCAACTGTTGTTTTTCCAGAAAATACTGAAACATGGATGCACATCTTGAAAAATCCAGAGACATTTGGAGAGAGTAAAAACAGAGAAATCTAAACAGCCATACAACACTCACCAGACCTGGCTCCCCCTAGTGTCCTTGCATTCTGCTCACCGTTCCATATTTGGCAAACACCCGAATCGTATAACCTGCATCATCAAGAGGTTGATTTTCATGTCTGAGGATATTAGGTTTCATCATTGTATAACTGTATATATAAATGCCTGTGGAATAAAACAAACTTCAGCCCACAATTTCCTTCCATGCTCTGACTTTATTGAACTTTAAAAAAATAAAAATGAACGAACTTAAATTAACACTTAAAATTGTACACAGCGTTAACTTAAAAAGTAACAGACGGCCGGTTGACGAAATACGTCACCAACCTGCGAAGACAACCATCTGCGGTGCGGTTGGGGATGCACAAGGCAGAGAGTTTGAGACGTGAACAGTCGTGGTCTGTGATGAGATCTCGATGCTTGAAACACAAACCTCGAGTCTTCCTGTGCCACTGACGGATGGGGGGGGGGGGGGGAGGCACATGCATTGACATGGGGGGGGGGTCCAAAAGCCCCACAAGTATTTACACAAGTGCTTGGCTCATCACTCTCAACAGATGCCTGTTGCAGCGATGGTAATTCTCCTTCACAGAGATCTATTTGCAGTGACCAGCATTCACCAAGAGAGATCTGTTAAAGCAGTGTTCTTCACATTTTCAGAGGGGGGGTGGTACATTTGCCAATAAGGCATCATCAGTGTGAGGGCTGCCACACATTTGAAACCATTGGGGATTTCACGGCACGAAAGACCACCGGGGGCTTTGCAATGAAGAACGCTGAACTAGAACGCCATTCGCTCGCATGGAGCTCGCAAGCAGTTCCTGCCGGGTTGAGGCGCGGCCAAGGTGGCTTCGATGGGGGCGCGAGGTGGCGAGATTGCTACACGGATCTCCTCGAAAGGGAATGTTGGTTGCTCCAGCAGCAGAACGCAATGGGAATGGTTCCCGACCGATGCCCTTTTTGCAATGCTTCAAGTGTTTACAATAAGCGCCGGAATAAAATAAATTAAGTTACAGGTCCCACGAACGCGCGCACAGTGTACAAAAATAAAAAACTAAATCGAGGAACTCTGCGCGTTGACACATGGCAAAGAGACTTCATTGATGGAAGCAGCGGGGGAGAGATAAAGGTCCACTCTTTTACAATTAAAATAATTCACTCCCAACTGTTATAAGACTCATGTTAACAACTACGGTACGTTGCCTAGGAGGTGTGTTCGCAGCTTTTTAGTTTTTGTTTATAATCTTAAATGCGTCTATACACGGGTACTCTTTGGTTCTTTCGGTATTGTCACGTAGGTAGAAATTAAATCACGACGTTTCGGGTGCAACACAAGCGTCCGTAATCAGGTGGGACAACCACAGCAATTGTTTCTTGATTTATTTTCTACCGACGTGACTTTACCGAAAGAACCAACGAGTATGGATCCCTGTAGTCACGAAAACTTCAAACATAGATTATACACGGGTACCAAGCGGAAGAGAGAGAGAGATACAAGTCGGGGCACAGGTCAGTCTTTCGGCAAGCAGGTTTGCCAAACGTTGAATCCTTGCCGGCAAAACGAAACCCAACTCGTACAAACGTCTCAAAAAGGTCGTAAAGGTCGCAGTCGTAAAGCACTTCAAAGCGACATACATTACAAGCGAGGCAAGCCAGCCCAACACGACGACTTGTGTATATACAGTACAGGCATAATTTAAAGCAGTTGTTGGTGTATTGGAGTGTTTCATAGGCAAGGCAGTCCCTTTAGCGGCAACTGTGCGTACACGGGTTTCTAATGTATTGCATTTACAGCTGAACCTTAGAACAGTCCGTAGGTACCATTACAAGTTCGGCAAGCCATGTGGACTTCTCTGCAAGTGGCCCATATTTTAAAGAAGGCCGCAGCAACAGCGTTAATATAAAGGTGTGCGGGTCGGCCAGGTAAAGTGTCATAGGCTTGGAGTTTAAATCCGTTTCACAGCATCGCAAGCCAGCCACGCCAGCCTACTTCATGGAGCCTGTTGAAGTCGAACCATGTGTGTTGAGAGATTAGGGGGGTTTCCATAGGCCAGCTAGCTAGGGCGTTGTTAAGACGTGTACTTTAATGCAGTTATATACAGGAGTGGCGTTACGAGCTAGGCAAAGCCAGTCCATTTAAGTTATACATTTTTGTTGGCCTGTGCGTTTTCAAACATTGATTTCTCCAGTACAAAATAAAGTAATCAGACGAGTAATCAAGCAATCAGATTTTGTTCCAATTAAACCACCACGTATGGAATTACACGATACAAGTGAGAAATGCATTGTGTGTGTGTGTCTTGTGTGTGTGTCTTGTGTGTGTGTGTGTCTTGTGTGTCTTGTGTGTGTGTGTGTCTTGTGTGTGTGTCTTGTGTGTGTGTGTGTCTTGTGTGTGTGTGTGTGTCTTGTGTGTCTTGTGTCTTGTGTGTGTGTCGTGTGTGTGTGTCTTGTGTGTGTGTGTCTTGTGTGTGTGTCTTGTGTGTGTGTGTCTTGTGTGTGTGTGTCTTGTGTGTGTGTGTCTTGTGTGTGTGTGTCTTGTGTGTGTGTCTTGTGTGTGTGTGTCTTGTGTGTGTGTGTGTCTTGTGTCTGTGTGTGTGTCTTGTGTGTGTGTGTCTTGTGTGTGTGTCTTGTGTGTGTGTGTGTCTTGTGTGTGTGTGTCTTGTGTGTGTGTGTGTGTCTTGTGTGTGTGTGTGTGTCTTGTGTGTGTGTGTGTCTTGTGTGTGTGTGTCTTGTGTGTGTGTGTCTTGTGTGTTCGTGACGCGCTTCTGCTAATGGTCAGCGACGATTATCTGAACCGGTCCTGGGCCTCTCCTAGGTCGACTCAGCCTTAAACAAGTACCTGCTGCGGTGTGTAAACATCGCCACTGGGAAGACAAAGGCGGCCGGGCGTGGTGCTGCCCATCTTCCCCAGCCTTCGTAGGTGCTCACTAACAGCACTTTCCCCAGCAGTCTGTTAAAGTCTATCCGGGGGGATGTTTGTCTTTCGTGTACGCAGGCATGTGTCTGAGTGCACGTGCGCATGTGGCTGCCTGTGTGTGTGTGGCCACGTTGGAAGGCAAGGCAACAGACATTAGAATGGCTCAGAGCAGCGGCTGAATCGGGGCACAGTCGCGAATTGCAGCAGCACACAGCCAGGCACTCGCGCGGTCCTGTGCACAAACACCCCTCGCCGCACGCTCAACAAAGCAGGGGGGGGCAACGCTGTATCTCTCTCTCTCTCTCGAGCGACGAAGGGTCAGTCATCCCGCACGTCGCATCGCGGAGCGCGCAGTGCGACTGCACGCAACGAGACGTCGACCAAACCCGGTTGGCTACGCTCACGACACTCGCGCGCGCACGGATTATCCGCACGTTGAGAGTCGATTATTCGTGATATGTGCAAATTATATGGAAGTCATGCGCGCTTGCTCTGAGGCTCTCGGAGCAAACGACACAGTCCGGACAGAACAAACAACACAAACAAAACAATAGATTCTTGAATTGGATCACCACCCACCTTCTGCACGGTACAGTTTTGCCTCAACGTCCAGAGTTCAATTGTAATTTCCCCCCCTCTATTTCGTCAAACAACGACCTTGCCGTCGGTGCTCTCGCGATGTCATTCGCGAGAGCAGCAACAGTCGCCCCCCTCCCGCAGCTCGTGCAGTCGCGGCTGGGTCATCGCGTCGCCTCATCAGGGGAAAGGACCCGGAGGGCAAAACCCCCACGGAACCGGGGCACCCTTCTCTCACTGAGTCACTTCCCGCAAGGCCAACCTCCACCCAGCACCAGAGGGCAATCGTTCACGCGCTCGGCTCTACAAAAAGAAAGAGAAGCTCGCCACCTTGCCGACGCTCCGACAAAAAAAGAAACGTGTCATGAGACTCTGGTTGAAATGCCACCTCGGGTGGTGGAGGGTCTTGACAACACAAATCTGGCTAGATCATTATTCGCACCGAACATAGCCAACCGTGCTAATTGGATATGCGGGGAGGGGGGGGGGGTCAACAATTATTACTCGGCATAACCCAAAAATCACTCGTGAATAATTACATTTTTCTTAGGTTTTGTCGGTAAAGTCACGTAGGTAAAAATTTAAATTAATAAAAGTAAAATAAAAAATCACGACGTGATTTTATTTTATTTTAAAAATTAAAATTATTTTTATTTCACTTTTATTAATTTAAATTTTTTACCTACGTGACTTTACCGAAACAACCTAAGAATATCAATCCTTGCAGTCACGAAAGCTTCAAATCTAGAAATAATTACATTGGCTGCGAAAACCTCCGTGGTCGAGTTTAAACTTGTCCTTCCACGTCTGCTGGTCTGTGGTCACGTTAAACCAAGTGGCTGGCTGACCCCGTGGTCCGTGTGCTCACCCAGCCAGCTGGCACGGGGTCAACAGCTCCAACTGCCGCCACAGCCGTGCACGAGCATGCGGCGTTACGAGTGACCACAGCACACGGACACTCAGGTCGCGACGACTCGGGTCGCGAGTTAAACATCTCAATTGGGGAATGACTCGGCCCATCATCCCACCGGGGTTGATAAAGTCACACCACTTTGCAGAGGACAACGACTTGTTAACTTCCCACAGAGGACTGTCCCTGCCATGGGAATGCAGAATTTCCTCCACCGATTCTGGGTTGCCTAATGTTCGGTTAAATAAGGGTCCAAATGTAATGATGGGTCTCGATGGGCGTGTTCCTGTTCTATAGATTCAGAGGCTCTCTGCTGAAGTAAGAGCTTGTCTCCTTTGGCAACCCTAAGCAGTGCTGAAAATTCCACATTCCCATGATGAGGACCAGTTTATCCATAGCAAGCCCAATGCTGACTTCACTCAAAGCAGTACTCAATTTCTGACACCCAAGAGCAGGGCTTGGCAACCCGTGGCTCTGGAGCTGCAGGCGGCTCTCAAAGTGCGACTTCATGACGTGATTTATTAAGCGCCACCGCCTCGAATTCACGTGGCACTACGGCTCTTCAAATATATATATTGTTACCGAATCTGAAAAAAATGGCTATCCTTGTTATTTTGGTTGCTGACCTTCTGCCCGTGTCGACTCCAGAACGGGATTTGAACTTGCGACCCTCCGGAATGCGAACCGAGCGCCTCTTAGCACAGGCACCAGCCGAGTTAGCGGGCGCTGGTTCACGACAGCGAAGCGTGGGGCGAGCGGAGTGGCGGAACGGCGTTGCCCTCTTCTGCCCGGGAGGTTGACGGACGCGTGCTTAGCGAGCAGAGCACTGGTCACTTACCGACGTGCAATATATATATACACATAAAAATCAACGTAATAAATTAACGTATACACATTATGTACACGAGGGAAGGTAAATAAATGCTGTAAATAAAGTATACACAATTGCAGGCTTCCCTGGACGGAAAGCAAATGAACATTCAACACCAACGAGTTTAAACTTCGACAACAGAAACTCTTAACTCCGCGCCACCGACAGCCCTTGACTCGCGAGAGGACATCAAGCAGCACACGGCCCCACCAATCTCACAAAACAAACCCCCGGCGGCTTCACTCAACCCCTCCCGCCATTGCACTGTCGAACTGGAGCGATGAAAAGCACTTCTCCACCGTCGCACGCTCTAACCCGACCGCCCCACCACGAATTGCATCGTCCCAAAAAATGTTGTTGTGAACGATTTCGCTAAAGCCGTTCTGCATCGTCTCGTGTGCGCAGGGGCCCATGACCTTGCTCGTGCGAGAGGTTTTTATTTGTTACACAAATTAGCAGCTACCTTTAACTCACAGCAGTGAGTTTATCAGCTAAGGTTTCCACAACTGCAGCATTCACTCATCCAAGCAGCTGTACTTGGGTGTTTAAAACTATTAAGCATCACCGCTTGTATGGCCATCGTGACCAGGTTGAACTTGTAAAAGGAACCCGTGCAGGCCCAAGTTCTAACCTGGTAAGACCAGATGTTAGTAATTGGGTTAAATCTGGCTTTCATCTGGGTGGTCACCACCAAGCTCCACAATTTTATCCGAACCGGAGCGTGTCAGTGACCACCATATGAAAAAAATTAACTCCGTGACTCTGACCTCTTAAATATTCACAACTTCTTCAAACCGGTTGCATTTGCACTAAACGTTTAATAATAAAAAAAAAAACGAAAAAGGGTGGCAAAAAAAATGTAAACGTTGCCTTAATAAAACCTAAACCCCACTTGGCTGCAAATCTCCTCCTCGGGCACCTGGCTGAGCTGGCTCAAGAGAAGACGACAGCGACCGAGGGGCGACGCTTTGGGGCCTTCTACGGCATCCACGCAGACTACGTGACGTCGGAGACGACCACAAGTGGTCACGGTAGAGTGGGTTCTACCGCTGCGCAGGTTTTCGTGGTGTCGTTCTCCGATGCATTTTCTTGTACAATTCACTTCCTGAAGAAGCTGTCGGCGTGCAGAGAGGAAACGTCGGACGTCGTGCCGAGCAACGAACGTCTTTCTCAACCCCAAGGCGCATCGCAGCGCTCTACGTGGTTACATTAGTTCGGCGATTACGATGCCTCCATGGCGACAATTCATCTCTGGCGATTTTTTTTTACCAAAATCTGCCGCAACATGAGAACGCACGCCGCGGCACTCGGCACAACGGTTGGCAGAATCGATGGCTATCGAGTTGTAATTTACGAAACATGGTTGCTGAGAAGTCGCCCGCGATGAAAGCGGATTATCAGGTATAGCGGGGTCAATGGTCTCAGCCCGGTCAAAAATGACGGAACAAATGACGGCACAAAATTTGGTACGGCACTTGATTTGGCTAAATTATCAGCTCAGAATTGAAGTGATTTGTTTTACCGTCGTGCAGTGAACATTACTCTCATGTGTCAAGCCGGGTGCAACAAGTGCTGCTCCCTACCGTGCGGACGAGCAGAGGTCACGTGAATGAAGGTTATGGAGCAATGCCCTGGCCATTATGTCACCCTCAGATGTAATCAGAATACTGATATTTAGCATTTGTGATTTGCTTCCATTAAGAAAAAAAATTCCCAAGTGATTCCAACTCGATTAAAGTTGGGAAACGACCGTGTCGGCAACTTGGGTTCATGCGAGGAAAGCAGCGGAGAACACACAAATCACGGCTCACAGCCTGGGAGGGGTTGCAATTTGTGATGTTAAATTAACTTAGCAAATATTACATCGGCAATAAAATATTGTTTCATTTCGAGCGAAAAATGTGGGATTGTTATATTAATTATATGCGCTTGAATAATATGTAATCAGGGATTGTTTACTATTGAAAAGTCACCCTCCAAACACTCACCCTATAAACTCTTCCTCGACCTTCCCAGCCTCATGGTTCTTAGCCATGTGTCAAATGACTCGAGGGTTCACTGGAAATTTCATCTCAGCTGAAGAACTGGTACCCAGATGAACATGAAAATTAGTTTCTAGCATTGATTTAGTTCCAGAGGCAAGGCCGGATATCCAGAGACACGACTCAGCAATTCTATGCCTCATCCCCAAAATAACTTGACTCAGATATCCTTCAAATACAAGGCCTCTGCCACATGGAATGACACGGCTTCTGCCCCACGTGAATCATCCGTGATCGAGTTTCATTTCACATTTGTACGCTACGGCCAATGCTACTCATTTCACCACAACCTCACCGTCGCTCCATCATCCTGCGTCTCGTGTACACGTGGCAGGACCATTCGTAGCATCTCACCTACTCCAGAATGCACCACAACGGTAAAGATGTGTTTGCTCGACTCCTTCGAAACCTTCGTCATCAAAGTGCTTACGACAAAAATCACAAAGATGACTCATTTTTTGTCCTGTCCGGATCATTTAACTCAAGCAGCTCTCTTCCTTCAATCAATAACAACAGCTGCTGCTGCTGAAACAGCTCCGATGCTGTAACTCCGGGGCTGGCCACTCGCGGGGGCAATGTCGTGTGTTTTTATCGTACGCGGTCAACGCCAGCCCGCCGTTTTTTTTAATTCGCTAGCAAATCGGGGAATGATTGTCATGTCTTGTTTTCTAAAACATTTAAAACGTTAGCCGCGTGCATGCAGGTGCACGTAATGGACGCGCGATGGAATTGTTGTGAATTAAAATCCCATGTCGAGGGTAGCGAGATTCAGCCCCACGATTGCCATATCCTCCGTGGTGGAATAAAAGAAGTGTTCGCTTTGCGAGACATCAATGGGGCAGTTGTGCTGGAGAAACCGCTTCCGCCATGGGAAAGTGGAATTTACAAACCGCTGACCCAGAGCTGCCAATGGAGAGATGAGCGACAAATTAAATGCGCTGGACAATCATAAAACACGAAACCGCAATTGTTATCACCGCCTTGAAACAGACAACGCACAGAGGAACGCCATAGCCGTGCACAATGACCACTCTTTGACGTTTTCTAAGAAAGTGTTAACGGCAAAATTTGGTGAGTTTTCGGTAGTTTGTGCTTGTACACCGATGCCAATGCAGACCCTGGTGAAATATTCGTAATGCCATTTTGTCGCTTCAATGTGCGTCGATGTCAGTCAACGTAAACGTCTTCACGGGCAACCACTCGGGCGCCCAAAAAAACCACGAGAGCGATTTTAACGTCGGAACGCAAATTCACTCAACTCAAAGCTGCCTCACCGCGTGGCCGACCTAAACAAAGCATGCGCTCGTGGCTTTTATAAGTTTGCTTAAGCTCTACAACAGGTAAGGCCCACTGAGCTATACAACTCTTTTTTTAGAAGTGACCGAGCCACACATGACAGCTCAACTAAGTGGCTTATCGCGTGCAAATTTACAGCAGCAAACAACGTATGTTTATAAATGTGGAAGGGAAGCCCAAAGAAATATCCACGCGACCATGGGGAGAGAGACATGCAACCACCAAATATACAGGCATCAGTCGGGATCGAATCCATGACCTCCTGTATACCAGGCGAGGTAGTTAACATCTCACCACCGCGGCGCCAATTTGGAACATCAGCAATGCACTCTCATTCTGCACATTACCTACAACAGGGGCTAAAGGCGCTGTGAAATTCACAGAACCGCGTCTCAGTTCATCCCAACTTTGGCTTCTCAGCCTTGCGATTACAATGTCAACGAATTGCGGAAGAGTACAAACGTGCAGATTTGCTGCAACGAAAATTACCGACACGTAAATACGGGAGGGCGTTAGGCGCACGGTCACCATACTGCCGTGATGCGTGCGGATGTGAGGCCTACCTCTGGGATGCAGACGTACGTGCGTCGCTATCTGCGCACACGCGCGGTGCATGGGGTGACGCACTCAACAATGGGCTGCGAATCGCGATCCGAGTGGCCACAGAGAGGTTACGGTGTCCTGCAAACTGCCTGCGAATTGTGTGTAGGTGCTACTTATGCGTACTGTGTACATGCACACATGCCAGCCGACTTGCAACCCTGCATGTGTCCGTGCGTGCAAATGGGCACGTGTCTTCACGCGTACACTCATGCATGTGTGTGTGCGCCATCACGTTAAGTAGTGCCGAGCGATACAGGCAACCACAATGCCGGAACATGAGGGACACTGCGATACGCACACGTACCGAAGGCCATCTTGGGTATCGCTTAGCAAGCAACATCTGAGAATTGCCAAGCACAAAAATACTGGGCCATTGTACACACACGCTTAAAAAAAATGTTTGCGCAATATCAATAAAATGACTTTTCCTCAGCAATACCATGGTAATTCAACAATAATTCCCTGCTCAAGCGAGCGGCGCTCATTTTATCAACGTTGAAGTGATAACAACGATGGTGGAACACAATATGACCGGCGACTGGGAGTTGAGCTCTTGAACCATGCGATGGCGAGTGGAGCGCTCTGCAGCGCAACTTGACCGGTCGTCGTTCGGTTTCGCGGTCACGCCAACGGTGCTCTCCCGACACCGCATCAACGACGAGCGTCGTCAGTTCCGGTGTCGTGGGCGTCGTCTCCGACAACCGCAGGTATCGCTCAGCGCTACCGCACGCCTATATACACACACGCGCGTACTGGCGATCCAACGCTCATCACATCTGCAGCGTAAATTACAGTGAACGAAGTCCGTTTCTAAACCCAAACATCGGCATCAAGCAATGCCGACCTCTCAACACTCCTCCCCTTTCCCACAATGCTGCGCAAATTGTCAAACCTTACATCAGGTTTTCACTGCGTGCAAATGCTTTCTTCTGGTTGAATTAGCCTAGGAGAGGCCCAGGGCAGATGTTGTGCATCACAACTTGGAAGTGAACTTAAGTCGCTGGGATTGAAGCGCACTGCGCAAACCGCTACGCAGTAGCTCCTCACTCGCACGCACACACAGACACAGACACGCTCACAAGACACACTCAAGACCCACGCGTACGCACACGTGACCTTGGAAGCTAGCAGTTCTCGCGAGGCAAGCGGAGCTTACGGGCGCCAGGTCGCCGGGCTATCTGCTCAGCTTGCTGCTGCGCTTGGGCCTCCCGTCCCTTACAGCGGCCGTCGCCGCCCTCTGCCCGACGATTGCTCCGCCGGCGACGAGCGGCTGACCGGCCGAGCCAAACCGCCCGGCGGTGCCGGCAGAAGTGGCGGTAGCAGCGCTTGCTTTAGAGGACACGCCGGCCCGTGCGGAGGTTCTGCGAGCGGATCCGGATACGTTGGAGGAGGAGCCAGGCCGGGCCTGGGAGGCCGTGCCGGTACCTCGCTGCGTGGCGGTGGTTGTTGTTGCGGCGGCGGCGGTGGGTCGGTGCTGCCGAGGACGTTGGGGCCCTGGCCGGGCGGGAGGAGGAGGGAGGCGACGAGGAGGAGAGGGCGCCGTGTGATGGCGAGCGGGAGGGGCGGCCGGGCGCGAGGGAGTCGGAGTGCGGCTCCGCGTGGTGACGCGAGTCCAGCCTGGAGGGCGGCAGCTTGTAGCGGCGCAGCCTGTGTTGCGCGCGCACACGACAAAGGCAAAGATATAACCGATTCTTGGGGGGGGAAGTGCTGTTGGCGAGCACCTGTTATTGTCGGCAAGGCACGCAAGGGTGCAGGTGGCCTTTAACGTGCTCATTAAAGGCCGAGTCGATCCAGGGGAGACTCCACACTGGTTAAGGTGTTCGTCACCGACGTTGGCTGAAATCGGGAATCGTGTCTTTGGGACCGTGGTGCAGTGCACTAAGGACAATTCCACACAATTCCCTATACCTCTGCTGTAGCAGACCGACAGAGATTGTAACATCCGTGCAAACCTGAAACCACATTGGGGCTCTGCAAACTTCTTCTCGGTGTGCCTGGCAAAGCAATGTTGAATAATATTCACAAGTATGACTACATAATCCGTACAGTTCCACTTCTTAAGAAAGGGTGACCAACTGGGCATCCTTACAACACTGCAGAGCCTGTCCTGTGGTCTAGGAGGTTGGGATGTACGTATTATGTTGAACTTTTTTCACACCGTGCTTAGTCAACTGTGCTAATTGGAGGTGCGGGATGATAGCGTGGAGTGCAGGCTGCACACAATCGCCTTGGGGGGGTCACCTCCACCCCAGGCGCATTACCCAGTCGCAGGCTCCAGGATCTTTCTCCGCACCTCCTCGGCAGATGGCACCACACCGACCGGCCACTTACCCCACCAATACCAATACCTGCCATTCGCCACCAAGTGACGGTAACATCACCATGGCGCGCGTGCCTGGCCAGGTGCACTTTGAGGCCACGTCAAGTGTCGAATGCTTGCTGACAGGAGGTCACGGGACAGACCCAGGCATCATGGGTTGACCGAGATGACTGGCAGACGCACCAGCTGTGCCCCCTAATGTGCCAACTTACCCCACGCACGCACACACTCGGTGGAGGTTTGCCCATCGCTCACCGTGACTCCAGGGCCGGTCGGGCCGGCGGGCGCCCGGGAGGCGGCCGCGGCACGAACGCACGCGGCGACGACGGCGCTCGCGACGACAGCGACAGCGACACAGACCCCCCTCCTCCTGCCGCCGCCGCCGCCCCATCCCCGCTTGGCGTCACGGGCCGTGGAATCCGGCTACGTTTGCCTCCGCCGGCACTGCCGAGCCGTCTGGAAGGGGAACCCGGCCTGGCGGCGGGGGGTGGCGACAATGATGACGACGGCGCCGGTGAGCGCGATGGCGCCAGCGGCGGTGGTGACGAAGGAGACGGGGGCGAGGAGGAGGTGGCGGCGGTGGCGGCGGCGGTGGCGGCAGTGGGAGCGAGGGCGATCGGCGAAGCCGCCTCGGTGTCCGGGCGCGCGTCGCCCTCGGCAAGCAGCAGCAGCGACACGTGGAGCCGCTGCTGCTGCTGCTGCCGCCGCTGCCGCTGCTGCTGCGGGAGCCGCCCCACGCCCTTCTTCATGCGCAGCAGCTGCTCCTTGGCCGAAGGTGGCGGAGGTGAGGAGAGCTCCGAGGCGGATTCGTTCCGGCTCGATTCCCACCCACGGAGGAGGAGGGGCAAGCCGTCGTGCAGCGAGCGTTGTTTGGCGTCGCCCTCCGCGTCCGAAAAGACGTCCGGCTCGGCTCCGTTGAGCGCCGCCGGGCTTTCCGAGCGAGGCTCCGCCTGAGCAGAAGGTCAAGGTCAGGAGGTCGCCGAGTGCAACGCCGGTGATTGTACCACAACATTGAGGGCATCGCTGCCTTCCTTTCTCACGACCCAGAAATGTGTTGGGACAGTTAGGTTCTTATAAGTGACAAGATCAAATTTAACCCCTCTATTTAATACCGAAGACAGGAGGATTTCTCCACAATTCTGGCTGTCGACTGACGAGGCTGGGTGTAATTCCCGGCAAAACATCACAGTACTTGAATTGTAAATCTTATGGCTTTACTCTCCAACACGCCGGTGTGCTGAACTAGTAACTAATTGGTATGTTTTGTTTACGTGACAAACCTTACTAATTGGCTGTCAGGTTGTGGCAGGTTTAACGACACATTTTTATGCGATTCTAACCCAAAAAAAAACTATTATGGATACCTTCTTATAATTCTATTACTACTAATAATAATGCCATTTATTTACGCAGTAAAGTCTCACTGAGATCTTGTGCATTTGGGATGTTTGGCCAGTTCTCTGAACGAGTGTTTGGCGTGTTGGGAGGTAGTTGGAGAACCCAGAGAAAGATCGTGCACATTTATTCGGTCTCGTTTGGTGCACACAGAAATGGCCACGAGAAACGAAATCCCAGAATTTCTTCTCAAGTCCCCTACACACGCCTCTCACCCCCCCATACCACCCCCTTCTTACTTGGCCTGTACGTAGTGTAATCCACACGTCCAGCAAACCAACGTTGTTCATTCTCAAAAGCTGGTAAAGCCGCATGAAGCGACATTTGATAACATTTTGTGCCTCCTCAGATCACTGGATCAGCACCGCTCTAAACCCCACTCTGAATTCTGCTTTCAGCCATCCGCCAACAAAACCAGATGCTCGTTGGTCTCAGCCTGGGCACCGATGGCCACGCACACACACAACAACCTCGCCGTAATCAAGTCCCTCACCCTCCACTTGTCTCCGCCCGTCTCCGACGTCGCTAAGGAATGGACGCCGGCCTCTTCTCGCATCGCTGGCCTCCTCCCTGGCGGCGCCGGCTGTGCCGCGGCCTCCGACCCGGCCACCGCCCCTCCGGCGCCACCGCCGCTGCCGGACATCCTGTCCGGAACGCTCCGAACCGTCTCGGCCTCGGACTCGGAGTCGCCGTGGTGGTCGTGGCGTCGAGCTTGGCGGTGGCGGCCTCGCCGCTCGCTCCGGTTGGGGTTCCTATCGAGGTCGCAGGCGGCGGGGTCCGGCAGGCCGTCATCGGCCGGCTCCGAGGGCGGCCCCGCTGCGTGCCGGCGGGCCGGGCGCACGCCCAGCTGCGTCGTCTCGGCGATGGCCGCGAACGTGCGCTCCACCCGGGTGAGCGGCGCCGACTCCCCTCCCGGCGTCCGGATCGGCACGGAAGCGGCGGCGGCGGCCGGACCGAGTTCCGCGGCGAGGGCAGACGACAGGGTCGCGGGTTCCGACGTGTTACACGCGCCGCCGCCGGTGCTGCTGAAGCCACCCCTCTGAGCTGCGTTTTCCACTGTGGCGCCACCAGCAGCAGCAGCAGCAGGCTTCTGTTTGTCCTCTGCGCCGTCTGAGTTTGGCGCCGCTTGCCGTGCCGACACGACGGTGAGCGAGGGGTCGTTGTCGGTAACGGGCGGGGCGGCTCTCGCTCGCCCACGCTCGCCGTCGCAAGGTCGCTCCGGCTCCATGTCACCCTTGACTGCCCCTTGCACGGCCAGCACAGGAACGCTTTCCTCGTCCTCTGCCACCTTTTCCTCCACAGCCTCCTTTTTCTCCTCGTCCGTTCCTCGTCTCCCACCGTCCTCGATAATCTGGGCCGAGTCCTGGATGGCGTCGATAAAGGAAAAATAAGTTAACACCTCATCACGATGGCGAGATGTTAACTACCTCGCTTGGTATGCTTGAGAATGTGGGTTCGAGACCAACTCTGACGTCTGCTGTATATTTGGAGTTTGCATTTTCTCCCCGTGGATTTTTCTCCGGGTCCTGCGGTTTTTCCCTCCACATTTACAATCAACGTGCGTTTAGAGTATTTGGCTGCTATAAATTTCGACATAAGTCACTTCAGTTGAGCTATCATTCGTGGCCAGGTTGCTTCTGAAGAAAAGCTATATAGCTCAGTTTTAGTAAAAAACATTTAGTTTAGTTTAATTATGAAGTTATGACCAAGGAAACTAAAGGTCTCCTTTTTAAAGCTGAGACCAGAAACTGGAACCACTTTTGAATTCAAAAGGTGCGTGTTAAGTCACAGACGATCGTAAATCATGATGGACTACTTGATGCACAAACTAAAATGGAGTGCATGGAAACTGATGCCGAACGTATAATAATGACATGTTATTCACAAATATATCTAGAGCTTATTTCATACCGTACGTAGCCAACCGTGTTAATCGGAGGTGTGGGGGAAAGACAACAAACTAAACACAAAATGCAGTTCTAAACAACTTAGTTTTTCAATCTAAATTTAGAAGTACACAGCTTCAGTGTCTTACTAATATCGGAAGGTGGTGTCATTTCGTGCAAATTGCACATCAATAAGCTGTAGACTTTGTAACGTGGACAGTTTTCGCAGGGAGGCATTGAAAACCAGACAAGCAGGAAGGCAGCCAAAACCGGCACCACCAGATGCCCAACCTCTGTGGTCCTAGATTGGTGTGTTGAGCCAACTCCATTAACACATTCCTGCGGAGGGAGCTGGTAGGAACGTTGGGTTGCTCGGTCAATGGCCAGGGTCAACGGCGGCGTGGTGTATTCCGCAAATATGCCCGACTGTGAGGGCGGGCACAAGCCGGCGTGAGCAGGTTAAAAGTTGAGTTTTATAAGGGCACCACGGGGTGACCAGCCCCTCCCCACCCAGCCCCACCCCTCCCACCCCCCACCCAGCCCCTCTACAGCCCCTCCCTCCCCACCCAGCCCCTCCCCACCCTCCCCTCTCCACCCAGCCCCACCCCTCCCATTTTTGGATGCACGACGGACGGACACAATAATCCCCTGTGGGCTGATGTAACCAGGAGGTTCCTACCAGTCTTTAATATGGCTCAACGAGCAACTGGATCGAACGATCGATCCAACCTGCTAGTCGATTACATCAACCGATGACATCTACTGGTTGGAGCCAATTGTTAATCTTAATTTCCAAAGTCGACCAGTCAGCCAAGGCCGCCGCCCGCCGCCCCCCGCCGCCGGCGACGACGCCTCTACCGACCGGTAAAGGCTGCGTCGCTGCAAGGGCCCGGCTCTGCTCCGGCTCCCTCTCCTGGACATCGCGCTGGTGTTGTGATGCAGGGGGTTGCGCGGCCGCGTGAAGGAGCGGCGGCACCTCACGCGCCGTGGGCGGCCGTAGCGGAGGCAGCGGTGGAGGCACCTCCCAGCCACTCGACAGCTGCACAAACACACGTGCGCATCGTCACGTGGTGCTCAAGGTACGATGGGAGCCGGTCTTCATTTGTAATGTTTGTTCACGTTGATAAAGTATATGTCCGCAACGGTGGGTATTCCCGAAGTTTACTTTGTTCACGCCAAGCGAGAAGTCAGAGTGACCTGGGGCATTAGTCTGCCAGTAAGGGACAATGATTGCCATGCATTATTGCACTTTGTTTAATTTGTGGCCAATTTTCGAATTTGGAAAATGTGGGCCCTTTGGTGCCGGCACACAACCGGCCTACTCTTGCGAATGACTTCGGGGGATCTCCAATGTCCACTGTGAAGTAGGCGGCCTGTGGTATTTTCACGGTTAATCCGACCTCGGTGTTAATCGGGGCGACCGCTGGATTCGAACGGTGAACCTCTGCAACAACAAGTGGCAAACGCAACCACGGGCGCATGTCACCGCACCACAAGTGGAACCGTGTGAGGTTGAATTGCAACAGTAGGGTGGGAAAGAGCTTCATGAGCTCTTCGGATTCTTCCAGGGTAAATAAATATTTCGATTCTGAATACTGGGGCTAAACGATGCCCCCGTTCCACCTCGCTCGACCTTGCCTTGCCCTGATCACCTGGCTCAGCTGCGCGTTGGAGATGCGGATGACGGAGGGCAGCAGCTTGATGCCCGAGGCGCGGGGCAGCAGGGGCAGCTGGCGGCGCCCGACGGAGCCCAAGGGGCTGCTCGAGCCGGACGCACTCCGCGGCACAGGGGACTGGGCGGGGGGCGGCACGCCGGGGTCGTGACCTCGGCTCACATCTGGTGGGGATGTCCGCTGTACGCCACATCAAAGACAAAGACCCCCCCACACCGTATAGTCTTTAACGGACCTGCGAGGGCGAGTGCCGTTAAGCGAGCACCAATGAAAGCCTGCACGGCACTCGAGGGGATGGGTACCAAGCACCACGCCAGGCCGCCTTTGTCTCCCCGGTGATAATATTTACACACTGAACCAACGGGAGGCTTAGGACCGGTTCAGATAATTGCGATCGGTAATCAAACTCAGATCACCGGATTCATAGCACAGCACGCTAACCGCTAGACTACCGCTCCGCACACACACACTCACATGTAATACAAAGATCCCCCGAACAGCCTTACCAGACTTTTGAGGCAAGTGCTATTAAGCGAGTACCAATGAAAGCTGGCACGGCACACGAGGCGGTGGGTAGCCAGTCCCATTCCAGGCCGCCTTTGTCTCCCTAGTGTTAATGTTTACACACTGGCACCAATAAACTCATTTAAGGCTCAGTCGACCCTCGGGAGGCCCAGGACCAGTTCAGATGTCCGTAACTGATATTGGTCGTGAGCGGGAATTGAACTCTGGTCACGTCATTAATAGTGCAATGTGCTCACCATTGCACTACCGGTCCTAACTTTGTAAATACACACACATTTAAAATGCGTGCACGAATGCACAAAATAATGAGAATAGACTTTACCCTTTCTGACAATAAAACAGGAGGCGTTAAGATGTTTAAACACCAAATACACCTATTGCAAGGCATCAAGTGTGCATTAACCACACAACTTGTGGCAAAACATGCAACCAAACAAACACGCTCTGATAATAGATGGGCATTGGCTTTGAAACCGATTGGCCTACACCAGCCTTGTTTATGGCCTAACACTCGCCAGTGTTAGACCCGAGAACGCCAAAAGGCAAACGGCACAAAGGCAGTGCAAATATCAAAGCATTAAATAGCTGGGGTTGAGCAGTTACATCAATGTTATTGCCAGAAGGGGTAAAGCCTATTCTTATTATTTCATCATTTTGCTACTGGCAAAAAAGGTCCCCACAGACACGAATGCACGTGCGCTCGCATCGGCACCATCACGGTCAGAGCGGCGAAGAGGCTCAAAGCATTCAAAGTGGAATCCATTCAGTGACAGCAAGTTCAATGATGTAGAAGCTTGTTCAACGGGTATTCTAAACCAAACTCACCTCAACTCTCTTCCTTTCCCTGGCCCCCTCCGAATCCAACCACAATTCTGGGTCCCCGAATCGGATGGAAGTCAAGTGACCCAACGGTCCAATGGCGCCCACTTCCTGTGCCGCCCCCTGATCTCGCTCGGGCGATGACGAGTCCATTTTATCGACGGCCACCCCCTTGGCTCGAGCGCTGCCGTGCGCCCTTTTGCCTTCTTCCTCCGCCGGTGCCGCACCATTTCCACCACCCTCGTCGCCACCTTCATCGTCGTCTTCCAGAGAGCAGAGCTCATCGGCGGCACCGTCTCCACGCGTCCTCCCAGAATGCACCGCGGCGTCAGCGGGGGGTCGACCCCCGTCCGGCGGGAAGTCCTCGTGATCCACGACGACCCACTCGTCCGTCGGAGTGGTCGCGGGTAGCGCGCTGCCACCGCCCTCGTTGTTGTCACCGCCGTGGACGCCGTCGCCAAAGTGACCATTTTCGTGGTAACCGTCGCCGTGGTAACCGTCGCCGTGGTAAACGTCGTCGTGGTGCCACACGTGAGCAGCGGGGGCTGCCACCGCCCCCTCCAGCTTTGGGTCCCACCAGGTCTCCCCGCGCGTGTCGGGCCTGCACATTGGAAATGGCGGTGTCACATTGTTAGCCAAGTTAGACATGGGCAAATACTCACCGATTTGCTCACCCAGTACCGCCAAATTCAGCCGCACTTTTGCACGATATACAGTGTTTGGTTTTGTAGATAACAGTGTCTCTACTCTACATTTTACTATTATTGGGCCTCTGACCAAATCACCCTGAATACGCCCCAATATGATCAGACATCAAAAAGCGAGGCAGGGTTGAAACGTGGTTGGTATTGGGGCCGAAGGCTCGCACCTCCTATAAGCACAGCTGGCAACGTACGGTGTGAAAGAAGTTCAACATACATACATACTGCTTGGGAATACCAGGTGTTATAGGTGAGGTTGCCAGAAGGTGACAGTAAAGCAATGGATTATCATGTCACCTCTGCACAGCTCTGAGTTATCGATCGATCAAAGTCGTCCCCTCTTTTGGGTTTGCTTTCTCCAAGTTCTCCATGTGGCTTTCTCCCCCCACATTAAACTATTCTATAAAATGTATTCCACCAGGTAACGCCCACCGAGGTATATAGCTCTTTTCAGAAGCGACCTGGCTATCACAAATGAAAGCTCAACCAAGTGGCTTATCACGTGGAAATATATAGCAGCCAATTACTCTAAACGCATGTTGATTCTAAATGTGGAGGGCAAAACCGGAGGACCTGGAGAAAAATCACGCGACCACAGGGAGAACATACAAACTCCAAATATAGAGGCATCATCATGGTCGCGATCAAACCCATTATCTCCTGTATACCAGGCAATCAAACCCATGATCTCCTGTATACCAGGCAATCAAACCCATGATCTCCTGTATACCAGGCAAGGTAGTTAACATCTAGCCACCGTGGCACCCACAAGTCGACCACGTTTGTAGAGAAACCGGGCTCCACCATGAGAATGTGGAAGTTTCACCATGGCGCTCAGGGCCACGAGCGGCGACGAGCGCTGCGCTTGTTTAAGGAAGGAGCCGGTTTGATCTAACACTGCGCCGCTCCCTTGAGTGCGGTGTGGTACGGTGTGGCGTGGTGTGGCGTGGAGTGGCGTGGTGTGGCACGGTGCAACGTGGTGTCACGTGGCATGGCGTGAAATGGCATGGTGTGACGTGGCGTGACGCTCAGTGGCGTGGTGTAGAGAGTGTAAGAGAGGAGTCATTACCTTCCTCCGACCTCCCCGTTCTCCCTCACCGTGGACATGTCTCCTTGTTCCAAATGCCGCTCATCCTGGAACGCGTACACACGGGTTAATATTCGTGTGTGTGTGCGCGCGTGCATGCGCGCGCAAGTACACGTGTGTGTCTGTTCGGTTGAAAACACGCACGCTCAAACGCACAAAGATCCCCCTATAGCCGTACAGACCGTCGGGGTAAGTGTTGTTAGCTAGCACCAATTAAGGCCGGAACGGCGCACGAGGGGGCGGTGGCGAGGCCGGCACCATGCCCGACCGACGTTGCCTCCCCAGTACCGACGTTTAAGCAACGTTCCAGATACTCATTACAGGCAGTCTTCCTAGGGAAGGCCCAGGACCTGTTCAGATAAGCGCCACTCGACTAACCACACAAGCCTTCGCAGCCGCTCGTACTCCCGCGTGCAGTTTGCTTGGCCGAGCCGTCCGTTGGGAATCTCTTCTCTCAAGCTTTCACCAAGCGCTCTTGCGCGGAATATGGAATCATCTCCCCTAGTGTACACACTCATGTCCTGTTTTAGCCACTGCTTCCTCCACACATCTCTGTGCCTGTTTGATCCCCGGTGGTCGATTAGCCATTTGCAGCGGCTGGAAATCGAACTCAGGCAGGCTGGGTAAGTCACACGGTGTACACGGCTATACGAGGGATCTACATCTTTTTGGCTCTCGCTCTCACACGGACGCGCGTATGCACGTGTTCCGCAAAGAACGTTTTACTTGCCACAAAGTAGTAACAAAGCGTTCACATCATCGCAATTATCCGGGTGGGATTACGATGCGGTCAGAGCGAGAGCATTCACAGCTCGGCCGTGGAAGCCCACGAGGTCAAATCTAGCTCAAGGGTGGACCTCAGCCAATCACCACCTCCCTCCACTCTCGTCAAAATGACCGCTGTACCACTTGAAAATAAGTCCACCGTGGCTGGCCGATAGAAGGGAATGGCTCTTGCTAAGAGAATGTGGAATTTCCACGAGTGGCTTAGGGACACCAAATTAGATAACCACTTGGTATGTTGAATTTATGTCGCACCGCACGTAGCCAACCGTGCCAATCGGAGGTGCTTGCTGGAGCAGGAAGACACTTTGAGGATGCGGTGCTTTCCGGCTGGGCAGGTTACAGACGAGCCTTCGAGTAGCGCCCAGAGGTCGGGAGCCAAGGGGATGACCAAAAGCCGGATAGCGGCGATGATGATGCTACGAGAACAGTCCTTGAAGGACGAGTCGACAGCGTGGACAGGAAACTAGGAGGCCAGTGGTTATAACGAAACTCGCGAGCAGCAGACTTCGGGGGTCGGGTGCCAACAATGCAACGTCCATGGGATTCGGCAGAAGGAAAGAAGCGACGGCAAGTCGTTTTACCCCCCAGCACGCATCCGCGCCGATCTTGTTGCGGTTCTGGTCGGTGCGGTTCTGCCGACGCAGGTCGCCCGGCGACAGCGGCGGTGGCGGCGGCGGCGGGAGAGCGCCCGGTGCCCGCAGCGTCGGCGTCACCGGGGCGGCGCTCGGTGGCGGCGGCGGCGGTGGCACGGGAGGGGGTGGCGGGGGAGGGGCGGGGGGGGGGCAACCCGGCGGGGGTCGCACCGGCTGCAGGGGCGACGGCGCGTTCTCCTGCTCGCTCAGCTGCTCGTCCTGCAGCACGTCGTAGGTGCTTTCGCGCTGCTGCACGTCGCCCAGCAGCAGCGGCGGCGTGGGGTGCGCCACGCTACACGCACACAACAGACAAAGATCCCCCGTGTAGGCTTTCACAGACTTTCTTGTGTTGGTGGAGTAGCGCCAACGAAGGCCGGCAGGGCACACAAGGCAGTGGGTGGCCAACACCGTGCCCAGTCGCCTTTGTCTCCCCAGTGCTGATCCTTACACACCGCACCAGGTACTCATTTGAGGCCGAGTCCACCTGGGGGAGGCCCGAAACCAATTAATATATTCGCAGATACTGGTGTTGGCGGTGGCCGCGAGCGAGAATCGAACTTGGATCTCTGCCGGGTTCGGGGACGTTCCCGAGGGTAAATTTTTGGTAAAAATTTGCATTAAATAAGTATCCATAATATAAGTTTTTTTGGGTTAAATCGTGTCCTTAAACCCGCCACCAGCCGACACAGCCAATTAGTGAGTTTTTCACGTAAACAAAACGGGTTAATTAGTTACTAGTTCAGCACACCGGTGTGTTGGAGAGTAAACCCACAACATTTGCAATCCGAGTACAACGTTTCGCCAGTAATTATAAACAGCCTCATCGGGCGACAGCCAGATTTGTAGAGAAATCCTCCTGTTTCGACCTTAAATAAAGGGATAAATGTGATGTCATCACTTGTGAGGCAATGAGGTGCGAAGAACAGGGGGGGGGGGTTAATGTGTTCATAAAAATTACAATGAACTAGTAACTAAATGGCATGTTTTGTTTACGTGAAAAATCTTAATAATTGGCTGTGTCGGATGGTGGCGGGTTTAACGACAGACTTAGATTTACACGACCTAACCCAAAAAACCTTTTTTTATGGATAATATTGGTTGCGAAAGCCTACTACGTGTTAAACATTAAACAAGTAGCAAAAAAGATATCAAAAGAAACCCAAAAATATGCTACGTAACAAGTTTAAACATACGAGTTGACAGGGTACTCAGCAGAGATGACTGCGGAGATTGCATTTAGAGATGGTAAGTACAGCGGCATCACGTACTCTGCCCAAACTACCGCGTAATATTTAATTTCAAATTTTCTAATAAAAAAATAACATCCCCTAATTCGTCGGCAAACGTTATAGCGAAACAACGTAAATATGAGCAACGTAAATGGAGGGGACCCCTGTTACATAGTGGACTCACGCTTCGGGCAACGTCCTTTGAGAGCCAGATAGGTCACTAAACTATACCACTCAACTATTTGTATTTTACCACTGAGCTATATAGTGGCTTATCACCTGCAAATCTATAGCAGCCAAATACTCTAAATGCAGAAGGTCCATCTTCCAAAACACATGCCTACCCGTGCATTTTCCTTGTGCAAGGCAGTATCAATGATGAAGGTGGCGAGATCACGTTTGGCCTCTGCTCAACAAGGATTCCGTGCGCCGTTCCCAAAACTCAAAGCGCCAAACCGAGGGAAAATCCCGGTGCAGTGTTCCGCTCACCCAAGCGCCGCGGCTGTGTGCCTCGTGTGCTGCTGCTGCTGCGGCGGCGTGGAGGTGGTGGTGGTGGTGGTGACGGACGCGTCGGCGCCGCTGCGCTCCCAGTCATACGGCTCGTTCTCCGTGACGCCCAGCTCGTGCATGCTGCTCTCCAGCAGCGACAGGATCAGCTGCACGCGCATAACGACGCGCACGGAGGACGCGCACGGAGGACGGAAACACAGCGGTGCTCGGGGGATGCACGGAGACCCGTGGAAAAGTGCTGGGGATGCGAAGGAGCTTGTGGGTGAGCCGGTGAATATTTGCGCAAATGAATGGGTGAGTTGAGCCGGTGAGCGGGCGAGCGGGTGAGCGTGTGATCGGGTGAGTAAAATGGATGAATGAGCGGGTGCGTGACTGGGCGAGGGAATCGGGTGAGCGGGCGAGTGGGTGAGCGTGTGATCGGGTGAGTAAAATGGATGAATGAGTGGGTGCGTGACTGGGTGAGGGAATCGGGTGAGCGGGTGAGTGAGTGAGCGCGTGATAGGGTGAGTCAAATGGATGAATGAGCGGGTGCGTGACTGGGCGAGGGAATCGGGTGAGCGGGCGAGCGGGGCCCTCACCTCGTAGTCGGGCTGGGTGAGGTATTCGAGTGTCGACACGTGGTCGAGGAAGGCCTGGAAGCCTGCCGGCATGTGCTTGAGCAGCAGCCGATGGTCGTACTTCTCCTTGATGAGCCCCACCTGCTCCTGCTCGCCGTGGTAACACGCCACGACAACCAGGACGGGGAGGAAGAGGAAGAGGACGGTGCGCGAGGGGAGAGATAAAAGGCTGCCATAGTAAAGGGAATTATGTCTCAACGAGTAGAGAGATGATACGTTTGCACGTATGAATCTGAGCGATTCCCCTTTGTTAACTGCACGCTGCATGTCACGTGTTAATTGTAAAACGATTCAGTTGGCCATGCAGCTCGAGGCTACTACTGAACCTGGGATTGAGCGATCCACGACTACACCGAGTTCTCAAGATCACAGTGCTGATGGTCTCAGACCTAGTCACCAATGCCTGTCTTCAGGTGTTTTTTTTGTAATCACTTATTTAGGCTTATTTCCAGCACTGATGACTACAACGTCTGGTTTTTAAGTGTGAAGAACACACGTTGCATGGCAGATAAAAGTGATGCCCCCCCAGTTTGGATACATAAGCCAACTTCAGAAGAAGTTGAGTGAATTAATTTTTCAGCGTTGAGCTCAGGGGTCTTTGGTGATTGCTGGCTCTGTTTCTAACTTGGCCTCACCAGTCACGATTGCCGTGTACAATCCACTGGCGTACATTTGGGGGTAATTTGTTTCAAACACGGACGCTGACACCGGCACACACAACGGCCTGCTCTTGCGAATGACGCCATGGGATCTTTTAAACGTCCGTTGCGAAGAGTGCACGGCGCGTGCGGGTAGTATTTATTTTTTGGTCAATACACACCGCAGTATTAACCAGGACGGCCTGCCGGATTCGAACCGGTGAACCTCTGCGATGAACGCGCGACCACTCGGCCGCTGTCGCCGCTCACTGCACGAGCCTCCCCCCCATCCCATCTCACCTTGTCCTTGATTTTCCTCCACGGCAGCTGTCCGATAGCGAATTCCACGAGCATGTAGAAGAGGGACCACAGGTCGTCATGGCGACCCATCTCCTGCACCGCGCGCACACGGCGACACACACGGGGGCCAGGGGGCAGTGAGCGCAGCATCTACGTGACACAACTATTGCAACTTGCCGACCCGCCCATCCTGGACGTCTACGGAAAAGAGCTTCATAGCTCATCAGATTACTTTCAGTCTAAATAAAGATTCTGATTCTGATATCCGTTCATTTCATGGGTCTCACCGCTTACATTATAAATCCCCCGTCAACGTTGTAACCCTTTCCAAGCAAGGTTGAAAGCACATATGCATTAACTCTGTCCTTCTGTAAAGCCATATCATCGTAATGGGCTGATTGTCTTCCATAGAACAGTTGGATTATCTGTGGGTCTGAAGATGGCTCAAGAGACCGATCTGGGAATGCCAGATTCTGTCACGGCGAGGGCTCATGTGTCCAGAAAGAGTGGTGGGTTGAACTGGACTAGCAAGTCGGGCTGCAGCATTGCTGTTTCTGCCGTTCCTGCCTTTCCTCTTCCTTCTAGATTTGAAGTTTTCGTGACTGCAACGGTCCATACTCTTTGGTTTTTTCGGTAAAGTCACGTATGTAAAAAATTTAATAAAAATAAATTAAATCACGACGTTTCGGAGGCAACACAAGCTTCCGTCTTCAGGTGGCACCGTCACAGCAAAATAACTGTATCAAGTGGGAGAACTCTAAGAGACATGAGACTAAATATAGGTTAAAAGGGGGGGGGGGGGGGAGGAGCCAGGATGGGCCGTGGGGGAGGGTTAAGTTAAGCCTCCTTTTGTTATGCTGCTTCCTGTTTCCGCCATTGAGTTTCAAAATATTTGGATCCTTGAAACAGACTCTCTGTGTGTCTCCATCTGAGGTGATCCTGGGCCAGCCTCCCATGAGTTAGTGTCGATGGAGCAGTTCTTCATGTGGGCCTTGAGGACATCCTTGAAGCGCTTTCTCTGCCCTCCTCTTGAACGCACATCCCAACTAAGCTGGGAGTAGAAGACTTTGCTTTGATGGAAAACGATCCGACACGGACGGCCCCCTAAGACACAAAGTCTGAAAACCGGCGAAACGGATCGGTGTTGCCCAAAAACTTGAGTGACACAGAGCAGAACCAGAAAATAGCAGGGCTATTAGCTCCTAGGCAAACGTGTTTTGCCAATACAGATGGCCATCGGCTTCCCATACCACCGATTCAATATTTAAATACTACGCAGGACAAACGCGCGTCGGGCAGCGTTACAGAATCAATCCGCATGGATGATTCTCCCCTAAAGCTTGTTCCACATCAGCATGTATCGATTACCCTACCACCCCCCCCACTATGACCGCCACAGCAAAATCAATGAAGCGTCATCATTGGGAGTCAAGCATTCCTCTTTGTCTCGCGTTCACGACCCATCTCGTCTGTATTCTCACCTCAGTTGCTTACGGTTTCATTCGCGTCATTCGCTGCAGTAGCCTAAATTACGCAAACTCCGCAGGGCAAGGAATCTTGGCTGGGGCACTGCCGCAGCTGTTGGCAGTTTCAGACACCGGGGTCTTAACGTGAACTTTGACCTGCAACGAGTTTTTGACGTCGTTGGTAAAGGTGTGGGTCTCCTGTGCACCTTCGTTACGGATGTGAGGAAGAAGTGAGAATGTGGAGGCGACAGAGGGACTTTGTGTGTTCAGGCAGTGGTGTGTAAGCGTCGTGGTGACGTCACCGCCACTTAGTGGCGAATGGCGGTTGTTGTTGTTGTGCTTAGTGCAGGGGGCTGTGAGAAGGAGATGTATCGAGGTGCGTTGTGTAAGCAGGAGATGCATTGAGCAGGAGATGCAATGAGGAGATGCATTGAGGTGCTTTGTGTACGCAGGGCACAGCTTGTATTATCCCCTTTAGTCTCAAGAGGCGGGTCAATGACCAAGAATGAATGTCCACTTTACCGTACGAGTTCGAATGCGGGCAGCTGCCCGTGATTAAACTGTGTAGTGAGTTGATGGTGTCAGTTACAAGGTGAACGCACACAAAAATACGACTTGTAACATTACATTTGTTATTTAGGCTAAATTCCAGCTCTGCACGACAAGCATTGATTGACTGAACTTTCAAAATGTACTATCTGGAGCAGGTCGGGTGACAAAATACTGTCCCTTACTGTATGGAGCAGAGGTCACCCGAGGGGATTTCAGAGGTGGCTCTGTGATATTCCCTTCCGAGGGCCGTTCTACATCACGGAGGGTGGGACCTGCCCTGGGCGAGATCTTAATGGAGTCTACGTCTCAGGGCACGATGCCAATCGCACGATCGGAACAGAATTGGGGGGGGGGGGGATGACAACGAAGGTTTTAAACTAAACAGGAAGAGAACACGGGGAAAACATTGAGGAAGTCGCCCCAATGATGAACTCATCCCAGTGAACGTCGCCCATCGCCTCCCCAGCGTGGGGCTCACGTACCCGGTTCTTGTGAGCGTTGACCGACGCGTATCGCACCGTGCCCCGGAAGCCGGCCACGGCGCGTGGCTGCAATCAACAACAAACACAACACAGTGTCTGTGTCAAGGCTGTGGAGCCAGCTAGAGTTCCAGCTTCGTATCCCAAGCTCCCACCCGCCCGCTCACCCGAGATGAAGCCGGGTTCTCAAGTGTAAGAGAGCCGATGGTCACAGCCCCGGTCAACAGTGACTGCGCTAATAAAAACGCATGGCGCATATGAGGTTGTTGACTGAAGCTGGACTTATCCTGCTTCGAGAATAAAATGCATGACTAAAATCACGTAATAAATTGTCTGAAACGTTCTCTTTATAATTCAACAGCTGCTTTGTTCATTGAAAAAAATTCGTTCGTCATGTCAATAATTCGATAAACATAAAAAAAAATTTCATCCTTGATGCTATGCTACAACAAAGTCAGTGAAAAACCAAATTTACTGTAGGTTTTTGTCTGCTTAGTCACTGGTGAACAGGCCGAGACCACGACTTTGCTACAGGTGACAACCTAGGTCTGGGGTCGGCAACCAAAACAACAAGAGCGGCAATTTTTTTTTAATTGGTAAAAAAAAAACGCAATGCATGTGAAGACGGAACGGTCCGTAATAAATAACCTCAACGAAGATTTTTTTTTACGAGCCGCATGCAGCTCTGGAGCTGCAGATTGCCAACCCCTGTCCATGGTAAACTGGACTCCCATGGTGAACTGGACTTCCATGGTCAGGGGTCAGCAACCAAAACAACAAGATAGTATTTTTTTTCGAATTTCAAAAGCCGCACACTGCAGTCCTTAAAGAGCCTCAGGTTGGCGACCGCTGACGTTGGTTAATCACAGGCGGCTGAAACCCAAACATGAACCCAGCATCTCAGTGACGCTGGCTCAGTGGTGCGACAAAATATCAGGCCCCTGAGTGTACCACCCGGCTATGTCGGAAGGTATATATAATGCCTTGGTAATCCAGCATTAGTTATTTTTAAGGGAGCTGACGTAATACCTATTGCTATGTCAAGGAAATATCATCGTGTTGTTCTCAGATGCACAGATGTAATATTTCATAATGAGTATGTCCATACATCTGTGAACACTACAAAACCTTAAACCATGCTATTCTATTCTTAAATAGTCTTAAATAGAATAGAGGGAGCAACCTCCGACGTACGACATCACCGTGCATTCATTCGTGCGTATGCGTCCGTGCAGCCATTTGCTTATTAATCTTAATCTCCAAACACAATTCGTTTCTTAACTTTGCTTACATTTCGGAATTTCCCACGGATATTTGGGACCTGGCTTAACGCCTTGGCGACGCCGTGAGGTCGGTGGGTGCTGGCAACCCACCCCATGGCCCAGCCATGGTGAGCTTCTGTGGTCCGTGTTGATTGAGTACCGGAGATGGACCGGTTTAGCAGCGGTTTTCCCAACCAAGCCATTATGTATATGTATGTATGTGGAAATTCTTTCGTACCGCATGTAGCCAACCGTGCTATTCGGAGGTGCGGGGGAAGGACAACAAACTAAACACAAAAAGCAGTTCTAAAGATATGAGTTTTCAATCTAGATTTAAAAGTGCATAGCACCAGTGGCTTCCTAATAAAGCACAATGTACCACATTCTCCTCCTTATAGCGGGCACCCTGTAAACACTGCTACCTGAGGCGGTGCAGCAAATTACATCATTGTACCATACTTCTGTGCTTCCACACCATACGCTCCCCACCTTCACCAACCCGCACTGATGGTCCATTTACCACACCGACCGGCAACGGCGTGGGAAGACTTCCGTTCAGCAGGGCGATGGACAAAAGGGCTGCACGTGCACGTTTGACAAAATGTGAGGGGCTCACTGAAACGCATCGGACCGCCAGCTTGCGCTAGCGTGCGCGTGTGCTACACCGCTGGGCGGGATTACCGGCCGGACTTCCCCAGTGGAGCTGGTGTACTGGCGCGCCAGCCCAAAGTCCAGCATGTAGCAGTTTCTGTGCGTGCCAGGCAGCCGGCCCATGGCGAAGTTGGACTGTGGGCGCACGCACACACACACAGATACCGACACACACACACACATAGACAGATATAGGAACAATATTACAAATATGGTCACACACAGATTATTGGCACACAAATGCAGGTATAATCTGTTTTCCTGTAACGTATGTTGTTTTCATAACGCGAATTGGATATAACGCGATGAGTGTATTAGAGAACACATTTCATATAACGTGGATGTGAATTGGATATCACGCGATTGAGTGAACAGAATTACGTCACGCGAATAAGAATAAGTGGTTGTACGGCTGCATTGGCGTAGCATCACAAAATGCGGGATGCTGCTGGAAGCTTCTAAATGTTACCCACGCGCCTCGGTCTTTGTTCAGCCTGCGTACGCATCTCACGTGTTATCGCAGACTTGCTTTACCCTATGTTATACATTATTTATTATAACGCGAGTTTTCCATAACACGGTGTTCTTGTGGAACGCAACTACCGCGTTAAAGGAGAACAGACTGTACATAGCTACAATAGGAGGTTTGTGAAGGTAACATATCCAGCCCCACCCTCACGCACAAGACAAAGATTCTCTGTATAGCCACCAACAGACTGTTGGGGCAAGTACTGTGGGCGTCTATTCATCCACGCACGGCACACAAGGCAATAGGTGGCTGGCACCCCGATGCAAATGTTTATACACTGCACCATGTTCTCATATGAGGCTGATTCGACCTTCAGAAAAATCGTAACTGTTATTGGTCATGGGCAGGAATCGAACTCGGGTGAAACAGGTTCATAGCAAAGTACGCTAGCCACTGCGTCACCGCTCCCCAAAGATCACCCATATAGCCTGAACAGACTGTTGGGGAAAGTGCTGTTAGCGAGCACCTATGAAGACCGGCAAAGGTACACGAGGGGGTGGGTGGCCAGCACCATACCGGGGCCGCCTTGGTCTCCCTCGTGGCGATGTTTTTACACATCGCACCAGGTACTCAATTGAGGCTGAGTCGACCGAGGGGGATGCCCAAAACTGGTTCAGAAAAGTCGTAACTGTTATTGGTCGTGAGCGGAAATCAAACTCGGGTCGCCGGGTTCGTAGCAAAGCGCGCTAACCGCTGCACCACCATTCCCCAAACACACACACACACACAAAGACAAAGATTCCCCCCGTATAGCCCTAACAGACTGTTGGGGAAAATGCTGTTAACGAGCACCGATGAAGGCCGGAACGGAACACGAGGGGGTGGGTGACCAGCACCAGCCACACACCCACACACGCACACACGCACACACCCACACACCCACACACACACCCACACACACACACACCCACACACACACCCACACACACACCCACACACACACCCACACACGCACACACGCACACACACACGCACACACCCACACACGCACCCACACACACACCCACACACGAGGGCGTGGGTCTCACAGGCTTGATGTCCCGGTGCAGGAAGCCCAGGCTGTGGATGCTCTCTATGGCCTCGAGCATCTGCTTGCCCAGGCGCAGAGTGGTGCTCAGGCTGAACGTGCCACGCGCCTGGCTCCTGCGCAAGTCCGCCAGGTTGCGGCCCTGCGCGAGTGACAGCGAAGGTGCGGAGACAAAACACGGGGTCACGGAGCACGATGCGGGCCGGAAAGACAAACGAGGGAGGTGTGGGGGGGGTGCGGTGGGGGGTTGGTGGGGTTAGAAGCCAACTCCGGCCGGAGGCATGCGCCTCCTCGATCGTGACATCGTTTAACACGTGTGTACCAGGTATTGATGCTCTCCATGAAAGGGTATTGAACCTGGGTCACTAGATATGTAGTGCAGTGTGCTTATCACTGCACTACCACTCCCAGTCCAAACGCACATTCACACATTCAAAGATCCCTCCTATAGCCTTAACAAGCTTTAGGGGCAAATGCTGTTAAGCCAGTAGCACCTATGAAGGCCAGCACAGCACACGAGGGGGTGTGTGGCTAGCATCATGCCCAGCTGCTTTTGTCTCCCCAGTGGCGATATTTACACACCGCACCAGATACTCATTGGAGGCCGATTCAACCTAGGGGGGGGCTCAGGACCGGTCCACATAATCGTGAGCGAGAATTGAACTCGGGTTACCGAGTTCGTAGGCCAAGTGCGCTAACCCCTAGACTGCAGCTCCCCACACCCACACACACCGACGTGAAATACACACACGGGTTAACATACAAGACCCAAACATAGGAATAGGAGTCAGTGATGACGTATAAACGTGCCCCACTCTACACACACACACACACACCTTGGGAGGTTTTCCCAGACGACTTGCAGTGGCGGTAAGACAAGTCAAGGTCGGTATCAACAATCTTAATCATGTGGCTGGATTATAGTGCACATCAGCACACGGCACCACTCAGATTTCACATATATATTTAAACAAGGCTTACGGATGCACGCACGCACGGGTGTATCCACACGCACGTGTTATATCCACATTACCGGGCGTACACACCAAGGCCGCAATTATAATATCTATTGGGGAGGGGGCACATCCCTCCCCCAATATTCAAATATGCTCAAAATGTCCCTCCCAATATATTGATATAAAATAGATTTCTGTTTATATGATTGTGGTTATGGTTGTACTTTATTAACCCCTAATCTCTGCCATTACATACAATGAAACAAGAAAAGGTAAAAAAAGGAAAAACAGAGCAATGTAATACAATACACTATTAGACATTATTGTAAAAAAAAAAAGTCCATCCCATGTGTTAGTGATTTTTTTTTATATTTTAGGCAGGAAATTCTTTTCAAATTTAGATTTTTTTTTCTGGGGGGGGGGACCCCCAGACCCCCTGGAAGATTTGGTCCCCCCCAATGTTGACGCCATGGCCACGGCCTTGGTACATACACACGCGCGTTGGCCGGGAGACAATCTCACAAGATGAGCTGACAGAGAGAAAGAAGGCAGACAGGAGACAGGAAAACAACGAGGAGAGCAGAGACCGTGACAACGTTCGCCAAGGTTTGAAACAGGGAGGCAGGGAGAGAGGGAGACAGCGAAACAGGTGCAGGGGGAGAAGGGGAGATGGCGAGAAAGAGAAACAGAAAAACCGGGGTAAGAAGACGGAGGGAGATAAAACAAGAACGGGGAGCGGGGGGCGACGATGGAGAGAAAGAGACGAGGAGCGTTGAGTGAGAGAGACAGGGAGACGGGGCTGAGGACGGGGGTTGTCACCTGCAGTTCCATGACGACGTAGTTGAATTTGTCATTGCGGCCGCATCCGATGAATTGACACACATGGTCCTTGCCTGCAGAGAGGTCGGCCAGTGAGCGACTGAGTGTGCCATTGAGTAAGTGTGAGCAACCGAGTGTGCCATTGAGTAAGTGTGAGCAACCGAGTGTGCCGGCGAGTAAGTGAGTGAGTGTTCACTGAGCGGCAGCGAGCGAGGTTCTGAGTGACTAGCGAGCGAGGTTCTGAGCGAGCGAGGTTCTGAGTGACAGCGAGCGAAGTTCTGAGTGAGAGTGAGTGAGCGAGGTTTTGAGCGAGCGAGGTTTTGAGCGAGCGAGGTTTTGAGCGAGCGAGGTTTTGAGCGAGCGAGATTTTGAGCGAGCGAGGTTTTGAGCGAGCGAGGTTTTGAGCGAGGTTTTGAGCGAGGTTTTGAGCGAGCGAGGTTTTGAGCGAGCGAGGTTTGAGTGAGCGAGGTTCTGAGCGAGCGAGGTTTTGAGTGAGCGAGTGAGCGAGGTTTTGAGCGAGCGAGGTTTTGAGCGAGCGAGGTTTTGAGCGAGCGAGGTTTTGAGCGAGCGAGGTTTTGAGCGAGCGAGGTTTTGAGCGAGCGAGGTTCTGAGCGAGCGAGGTTCTGAGCGAGCGAGGTTCTGAGCGAGCGAGGTTTGAGCGAGCGAGGTTTTGAGCGAGCGAGGTTTTGAGCGAGCGAGGTTTTGAGCGAGCGAGGTTTTGAGCGAGCGAGGTTTTGAGCGAGCGAGGTTTTGAGCGAGCGAGGTTTTGAGCGAGCGAGGTTTTGAGCGAGCGAGGTTTGAGCGAGCGAGGTTCTGAGCGAGCGAGGTTCTGAGCGAGCGAGGTTTTGAGCGAGCGAGGTTTTGAGCGAGCGAGGTTTTGAGCGAGCGAGGTTTTGAGCGAGCGAGGTTTTGAGCGAGCGAGGTTTGAGCGAGCGAGGTTTTGAGCGAGCGAGGTTTTGAGCGAGGTTTTGAGCGAGCGAGGTTTTGAGCGAGCGAGGTTTGAGCGAGCGAGGTTCTGAGCGAGCGAGATTTTGAGCGAGCGAGGTTTTGAGTGAGCGAGTGAGCGAGGTTTTGAGCGAGCGAGGTTTTGAGCGAGCGAGGTTTTGAGCGAGCGAGGTTTTGAGCGAGCGAGGTTCTGAGCGAGCGAGGTTCTGAGCGAGCGAGGTTTTGAGCGAGCGAGGTTTTGAGCGAGCGAGGTTTTGAGCGAGCGAGGTTTTGAGCGAGCGAGGTTTTGAGCGAGCGAGGTTTTGAGCGAGCGAGGTTTTGAGCGAGCGAGGTTTTGAGCGAGCGAGGTTTTGAGCGAGCGAGGTTTTGAGCGAGCGAGGTTCTGAGCGAGCGAGGTTCTGAGCGAGCGAGGTTTTGAGCGAGCGAGGTTATGAGCGAGCGAGGTTTTGAGCGAGCGAGGTTTTGAGCGAGCGAGGTTTTGAGCGAGCGAGATTCTGAGTGAGCGGGGTTCTGAGTGAGCGAGCGAGCCAGCGAGAGTCACCCTGCAGCTTCTTGAGCACGGCCACCTCCATGCGCAGCACCTGCTTGGGCTGCGTGGCCGACTCGACTTTGAGGGCAACGCTCTCGCGAGACTCCAAGTCCACGGCCTCGTAAATCTCACCAAAACCCCCGCCCCCAATCTTCTTCAGCTACAGCAGCACACACACACACACGTGGGGGTGAAAGGGGGGGGGAGAGACAGTGCATACAGCCTATACCTTCCATCACGCCTGCCCAAGTGCAAACACCATAACCCACTCTGGCGTTAAAGTCACCTAATACGACGGCTATCTTGAGAGGCTCCGTGAGCCAACAATTGGGAAGGGGGGTTACGGAAGGCATCTGATTCATTAGCCACAGATATTCATCTACAGTGAGGACGTAGATAACCACCATCAACATTCCTTGATTGGGAAGTGAACCCATACCTCACCGCCATGTTCCCAGGCCCCGTGCGTGTGTCTGTGTACATGTGTGTCTGTCTGTGTAACCTTGTGTGTGTGTGTGTGTCTCCAGTCCAAATGTGTGTCTGTGTGTCCATGTGTCTGTGTTTTTCTGTGGGGAGCAATGATGCAGTGGTTCGTGCACTACTCTATGAACCTGATGTGTATATGTATGTTGAACTTCTTTCGCACCATACGTAGCCAACCGTGCTAATCGGAGGTGCGGGGGAAGGACTGATTTCTATAGGATGCTTTTTGTGTTTAGTTTGTTGTCCTTTCCCCGCACCTACGTACAGTGCGAAAGAAATTCAACATACATACAACCCGAGTTCAATTCCCACTCACGGCCAAACACCAGTGACGATTATCTGAACCTGTCATGGGCCTCCCCTAGGTCAACTCAGCCTCAAATGAGTACCTGATGCGATGTGCAAACATTGCCACTAGGGAAACAAAAGGCAACCAGGCGTGAAGTTGACCACCGACAACCCTTTGTGTGCCGTGCCGGCCTTCACAGGTGCTCGCAAACATCACTTGCCCCAACAGTCTGCTAAGGTTATACGGGGGGGGGGGGGGGGGGGGGGTGCCTTTGTGCTTTTCAATGTGGATCCGTTTCTGTTTGTGGTTTGTGTGCGTGTGCATGTGTTTGTAATGTGCCCAAGCATCTTTGGATATCCGAAACTCTGAATGGATAAAATCTGGTCAAACTTTGGTATTGCTCATCTCCAATGGTGTCAGTGACACGGTGCTGGATTTCAACACAGTGACCAAAGCCCACACAACACCATCATTACCCTCCATCACCAACACATCAGTCTTACCGTTCAGACAACACCACTGCTATTATCAACACAACACAATTGCCGTTAACATCGCTGCCATGATGACCACCACCATCAATATGCATCACAGCCTCAGCAAAACCACCACAACCGCCACTGCTACCGACGCAATAAAAGCGCCATTGGCATAGGCACAAGACAATTATTCATATTCTTTGGTTCTTTCGGTAAAGTCATGAAGATGAAAATAATAATAAAGTGAATACAATTTTAAACAATAATTTTTTTCATAAAAACAAACACCACTCATGTAGACTGTAGCCTGGTTCTTAATCGCCCATTACGCCAGAGCATCTCCAACAGGGTTTGCATGCCATAAGCCACTTGCATCTCATCTCAACACATTTTAAAGGGCACCCTCAGTGGCAGCTGTCCCTGTGTGCCACAAGGTGACTTCAGCACCTGGCCTGCAAGTGGGCATCGGTCTGCCAGGAGGAGTTGACAATCGCTGCTGCCGCTCGGCTGCTGTGTATAATCCCAATGTGGAGAAAGAGAGGGAGGGCGAGAGACAGACAGAGTGCGTGTGCGAGTGCCGTTACCACTTTCCAGCGTTCCTTCACCAGGAAGCCGATGGCCAGGATGTCCGTCTGCCCGGGTCCCCCGCTCATCTCCCCTCGCGCCGGGGGGCACAGCAGCCCCCTCCCCGCCCGGGGGCTCAGCGACGCAGCCACCTGACCGCCCCCCCCTCCTCCTCCTCCTGCTGCTGCTGCCCCATCATGCAGCCGAGCCAGGCACGGCCACGCCGCCCTCTCTCCGCCACAACCGCAGCCGGAGCCGCAGCAACGCCGGTCCCTCTTCCTCCTCCTCCTCCTGCCGCCGCCGCCGCTGCTGCTGGCGCTGCCGGCGTCGCCGCTGCTGCGCTGCCGACGCCGCCGCGGGTGCCGATCGAGGCACGCGAGTGCCGGGCAAGCCTGCGCTCCGAGCGGCACGCACGCGCGCCGGGGGCACAGCATGAGCCGCCTGAGCCAGTCCATTAAGCGAGCCGCCGCGAGGAGAGGTGGGCGTACGGAGCGGAGCGCGGGGATCGGTGGTGGGCGTGAGGAGATGACCGCACAGAGCCGTATGGTTGGTGAGAGGTCCCCGCTCGCTTACTCAGCCAAGTTCCTTGCTCAACTTGGTCACCCGGTTTTGTTCAGTCGTTCGAGCTAGTCACTTGCTCGTTCACTCAGTCACTCGCGCAATGACGTCCACACTCGCCCATTCACACACTCGCCCATTCACACAGTCGTTTGTTGATTCACTCACGTGGCGACTCACCTGTTCACGTTCACGCAGACAAGTACTTGTTCACTCACTCATTTGTTTGATTCGGTCTTTCTCACACTGAAAAATCACTCAGTTACTGACTTACTCTCTACACTCAATCACCACTCTCACATAACACTCATGTGCTCACTCTCTGGCTTGCTCTCACTCACTCACCCACTCGCTTTCCTTTTGACTCTCTTCTGATGACACTCACTCATTCTGTCAGGAATCCACAGACTATCTCACTTACTCACTCACTCCCTTATTCACCCACTCACTCTCTAAATTGCTCTCTCATTTGCTCGCTTGCTCTCTCAGACAGACATTCGACCGAGGTGCTCTGGTGTGAGAATATAAAAATACTCACACCGATACCAGCCCAACATGTTCTAATTATTAAGCCCCATGGGATGTAAATTTAGGGTACGGATCCGAACACAATCTGGCCAACGCTGTGGGAAGCGCAGGTTTTGGCAGAAAGCTGTGTGCGCACGTGAGTGTGGTGTGCACGTGTGTGTGTGTGTGTACGTGTGTGTGTGTGTGTACGTGTGTGTGTGTGTACGTGTGTGTGCGCACGTGTGTGTGTGTGTGTACGTGTGTGTGTGTACGTGTGTGTGTACGTGTGTGTGTGCGCACGTGAGTGTGGTGTGTACGTGTGTGTGTGCTGTAAAATCATACACCCTTATTTTATTATCTCTCCACACAGGGTTACCAGCAAACCATGTACCTAATTCAAATACAGCCGTGTTTATAGAACTTTTTTTTAACTGGTTTGCTCCATTGGGCTCTGCTTAGCTCATTTATTTAAGGAAACAACTTCCACGTGCTTTTGTATGATTAACAGCGGGGCGGTTGATTGGAATTGAGCGGTAGATGTATTTATACAATGTGGAGCACGTGGTTCAAAATATGTTTCTAACTCTACAGAACCCGATCAGACACCAGTCTGTCAGTCTATTGGTCGAGAGACCCGATTAAAAAAGTATCTCTGACTGCGCACAAAAAACATACACGTGCGCTGAACTTCTTCCACACCGTATGTAGCCACCCGCGCTCATGGGAGGTGCGGGATCAGAACCTGGCTTTATTAGGGATGGGGCAGGCACTTGGCGTCGAACCCAGCCCCTCAAGGAGGTCAAGAGGATAAGCGTCCCTGATCTGATATGGGCCAATGAGCCCTCGTTAGCCACATGACGTGTAAAATAAGCCGCTGTGGTTTTCACTCATTCCACGAAGGGGAAGCACAAACTATAGGAACTCTCTCCTGAAGCCTTCTCGCAGCTATCAGACCTCGGGATTGGCGTTCAGCTCCTGAACATATTGCCATACGCAAGAATAAAATAGCCAACACGAACACCCCTAGACCAGCTCTCTGCTCACACACACACACACAGTGCACTTAGGCCACCGCCGTGGTAATGGGCACGCGTTAAAACACTTTTACTGCGGGTCCAAACAAGCACTTAAAGCCCAACCTAATAAATCGAAATATTAAAGCAGCGCACAGGGCCACAAGGTTGAGAGACGCAGACGCAGTGCGAGGTAGGAGAGCGAGGAGGGTTTGTACAAGAATAGTAATAACATTTACGCATGCAACAACAGCAACGTGTATGAAGGACACTGCACGTAGCATTCATTGCAATCAGCCATTCAATGCTGGATGAAGGCCTTCCAAAGTGATCAACATTGCTCACAGACTCACAATACAACAATCCATTTAGCTTCGGTATATCAGCCGATTTATCTGCTCCATCTCCGCAGAGGTCATCCTCTCTGTTGGCAGTCTTGACGAACGGGCTGTCTTCCCTTCCGAGCGGTGTACTGACCAAGCACACGTACTTTTCGTAACAAGTCAACAGGGTGCCGCTAATCTGAATTTGTTCTCGAATCCACATGTTCCTGTTTCTGTCGCTCCCTGTCATGCGCATTCCCCGTGATCTGTGTAGCAACTCCCACAGTGAAGTGCAACCGTTCCACGTTAAACAACGGCCCGCGGCAACAGATACCACAGATCCCACCTTTGAGATCCCTTCAAGTGACCTCTGGTCCAAAAACAGTAGAGGCAAGCAGTTACCCCAACCGTTCTGCATGTGATAGTGATGTTTGTCACGTCAAAGTCAATCGATAATTTATAATTACCAGAGCTAGAATTTAGCCAAATTAAATTCAGAACCAAATTTGATGCAATGATTTCTACGCACAGCCACTGGCGAACGGGTTGAGACCATCAGCTCACTACACTTGAGAAGGCGGCATAATCGCAGGCGACCACCCATGTTCTAACTCATGATCTCAGCGGTGTCGGCTCAGTGTGTGATGTGTTAGTTTAACCAATCCTGTAGTTGGGATGGCTGGGCTGAGTTGAAACCTGACCGGGATTTGAACCATAACCCCTCTAGTGCCCTAACCACAACGCCAGCTAGCCTGAAATAAAATTTACTGACCTCTTAGTGAATGCATGATTACACTGTGTAACATTTTTTTTTGTTCCTGGGTAGGAAGTGTTATTTCCTAATTGCTTATGCCTCAAAAGTACAGAAATGGCTATTATTCCCCACAAACTTTGCTTTCGTGACCAGGACAGTGATATTTTGCAATGTACCCTATTTTCCAGAAGATTCCAGATAGATTCAGTGCTGAGTAAACTTCCATTAATATAAATAGTAGTATAAATACAGGGGCCTTAAGCCCACCAGTTCAGTTTAGTTCCAGCTGCCTAAGTGGATACATGTCTGCACTTTTTTGAGATGGCATCAAGAGGCTGCAAGCATCCGGCAGACGTATTTTGCTATGTCTGGGGCCAATTTATCAAGACAAGAGTGAAAAAGTACTCTGTGGAAGCATCTGCTATAATGTGTGAGGCCTACAAGGCATATTTTGGCATGCCTGTCAGGGATCAAGGACAAACCCTGGGCACCTCATTTCACCTGCGAGCAATGAAAAAAACTCTGGCAGGTAAAATGGACAATTTTTGCTCGGAATTTAATGTTATGAAATTTGTTACAATTTTTTTTTTAATTGTTAAATTTTTTAATTTTAAAATGTTTTACTATTTTCAATATTTGAAAAAATATATCATATATAAAAAATGTTGCGAGAATCTCTTACACATTAGTCATGAGTGAAATAAATGTATTTTTTTCTAGGATGGTACAGAGGAGAAAAGAGAGCCATGAAGTTCGTTATCCCAAGAATTTGGCAGGAACCCACTGACCACTCAAGCAACTGCTACTACTGCATGGTGGACCCTTCCAAACGTCGGACTGGCAAGAATGCACCTGCTATCACGTATCCGGATCTTCATTCATCCATCGCTCCGGTGCCACAGTGCCATGAGCTCCCCGTACCCACTCCTCCGGTGAGAGAGCAGCCGTCTTTAGAAGAGAGCAGCAAGTCAGAGAGCGAGGAAGATGTTGTAGATCCAGATGGCAATTTCAGAGGTGGAGCTGAGGAGAGAAACCCATACTACCCCAACCAAAAAGACCTCAACGACTTGATCAGAGATCTTAGTCTCACCAAGTCCAATGCAGAGCTTTTGACATCTAGGCTCAAGCAGTGGAACTTGATGTATGAGAGTATGCAAGTCGCAGATCAGAGAAAGTGTCATAAACCTTTTTGCAGCTTCTTCACCCGTCAAAATGGGCTCTGCTTCTGCTACAATGTGACTTGTCTGTTCGAGGCAATCGGAATCGCCTGTAACCAGAATGAGTGGCGCCTCTTCATTGACAGCTCATCCAGGAGCCTCAAAGCCGTGCTGCTCCATAATGGTAATAAGTACCCGTCTCTTCCCCTGGCTCACTCGGTGCACCTCAAAGAGGATTACAACAGCATCAAGACCTTGCTGGACGCCTTGAAGTATGATCAGTATGGCTGGGAGGTCATCGAAGACTAAAAATGGTGGCATTCCTGATGGGTCTCCAAGGCGGTTTTACCAAGTTTCCCTGCTATCTTTGCCTTTAGGACAGCAGGGACACCAAGGCGCACTACCACAGGTGGGACTGGCCACAGCGGACCGAGTTTTCTGTGGGGAGGAACAACGTCAAGTGGGAGCCACTCGTGGACCCCCGGAAGGTGCTGATGCCACCCCTGCACATCAAATTGGGCCTTATGAAACAATTTGTCAGAGCTGTAGATAAGGAGTCGGCAGCCTTCAAGTACCTTCAAGACTTCTTCCCTAAGCTGTCTGAGGCAAAGGTCAAAGCCGGTGTCTTCATCGGACCAGAGATAAAGAAGATCCTGGAGTGCAATGAATTCCCTAAGAAGCTCACTAGAGTAAGGAGAAAGCGGCTTGGAACAGCTTTGTCGCAGTGGTTCGTGGCTTCCTGGGCAATCACAAAGTCGAAAACTATCTGGAGCTGGTTGAGACTCTGGTGAAGAACTACGGCACAAAGTCCATATCCTTGATGCTCATCTTGATAAATTCAAGAACATGGGAGCGTACTCGGAGGAGCAAGGCGAGCGCTTCCACCAGGATATACTGGACTTTGAACGCCGCTACCAAGGACAGTATAACGAGAACATGATGGGAGACTACATTTGGAGGCCGATTCGTGAAAGTGATTTACAGTATAATCGTAAATCTCGAAAAACTACTCACTTCTAAAAAATGTTTGTCATGTTTGCATTACTTTAGTTTAAATACATGTTAATTTTGATTGATATG